GTCATAGTTCCTACCTCGGACTTTGACTCCACCTCGGTCTTAGTCCATTGCATTGGTGACCTCATACTAGGTAAACACCATTGCCAATATTCCTTGGACTTTCAACCCTGCCTCTGTAAGCTCCGCAACCTCCAAGCTTCGCGGATCATCTTCGGCACTTTCACCGCTTGTAATGTATTTCTCGCGTCTCCCCCTCATCCCTATTTGGACTGCTGCTTCTTCCCATTCTAGCCAGTTAGTCATCATCCCCACTTCCCCTCATCCTCCTGCCCCTCTGGGCCTCGCCCTCCTTACCTCCTTTCAGACGTATCACAGGTTCTGCCTTATGACCTTCGGTACCGCTCCACTTCTGTCATCCCTTTGTTCCTGTTCGGATGCCTTCGTTCCGATTCGGTTCCCTTTCGTTTCCTTGTGCTTTTGCCCCCTCCATTATATATATCGGCGCTTGTACATACTTGCAGGAGGCTCAGTCCGAAATTGACCTGAAATGCCCCCTAGAGACTTCCTGCTCGCCTACTGTGAAATTAAGGACCAAATGGACAAACAGCAATGGCACAGCGCTCCGCTTGAGTCGCTGAGGCCAAGGTCCCTCCACGCTAAGTCTCCGATTCCACTCTGGAGTCATCTGAATCGGCCCGTCTCTAACAGTCCGGTGTCTGAGCACTCACCAGGCCGTTGAGGTTTTCTCACAGATTGTAAGAATATCGATGTAGACATTGATATGGACCAAGTCAGATGTTACAGAGAAGGCTTACAGTGGTGGCACAATGGTGTGGCAGTTACAATCGCGGTACAAGGTTTTGTGGGTTATGTATTAGATAAGGAAAACCTCTTTCGGCATTTGCCTTTACATGTCATATGACTAGTTTATATCTAATATAAAAGTTGTAATGGTCAAGGGAAGTCCCTTGAAATTCAACAATTCCCCCAGCCAGCACCAAAACCCAGTGGGAAAGCTTGGCATGGGGTTTGGGTAGAGAAATAGGGGAAAACAATAAGGAGGCATACCTGGTTCTACTTGCTTGTAACCATGGACCATAAGATTCTGGTCCATTCCTATAACAGGTGGAGTGGGGTCAGGTGGGTGTGCCCTGACAAGGGGAAGTGGTTCATAATGTTGTACAGGTGATTTCACAAGTGGTTTGACATGAGATGTAACATGTAGTTTGACACTAGCGTTTTTGTGGGTAATTAATTGGATAACATTCAATATTATACAAAACATGTGATAAGGGCTGTGCACAGAGCCCATAAGAGTCTAAAATGGGAAATTCCCATTTTGATGTTTACAGTTGGTTGCACAAGCAGTGGTTTCAGATGATAATCATTGGATAATATTCATTATAACATTCAGGAAACAAACATAAGTTAATATACAATGTTTGAAAATCCCCCCACAAAGACATATGGTCTTCCAATAAATGGGTCTATATAGTGAGCTTTTTGAGGGCAGGAGAAATATCAAGAATGAGGACTTGGCCAAATTTGGTTCCAAAAGCTACCAAAAATCCATGGGAATCCTTGGTGGTCAGAGAAAGGTGAAGGGGCAGAGCAAAAATGAAAGCAGCATCAACACAGATCCATTGCCCTTGCCTGGTGTTCTGTATGCTAAAAGACCCACATGCCTCCAATTGGGGGTGGGTTTCAAGTGTCTTGAGGTGTCCCCCAGTGTTGGGATCCCAGAGCCTGATGGAATCATCATGTAATGCTGATGCCAGGAGTGACCCATCTGGGGAGAATGCCACAGATGTTGCTGAATGAGAATGGCCCTCAAGTGTCTTGAGGAGGCTCCCAGTGTAAGGGTCCCACAGCTTGATGGTATGATCATCTGATGCTGATGCTAGGAGTGATCCATTTGGGGAGAAGACCACAGATGTCACCCAATCAGAATGGCCCTGGAGTGTCTTGAGATGGCTCCCAGTGTAAGGGTCCCATAGCCTGATGGTATCATCATGGGATGCTGATGCCAGGAGCAATCCATTTGGGGAGAAGGCCACAGATGTCACTGAATGAGAATGGCCCTCAAGTGTCTTGAGGTGGCTCCCATTGCAAGGATCCCACAGCCTGACAGTATCATCATGTCCTGCTGATGCCAAGAGTGATCCATCTGGGGAGAAGGCTACAGATCTCACCCAACTATGATGGCCAAAAGGTGCCTTGGTGTGACTCCCAGTGTGAGGGTCCCACAACCTGATGGTATCATCAAGTGATGCTGATGCAAGGAGCAACTTATCTGGGGAGAAGGCCACTGATGTCACTGACTGAGAATGGCCCACAAATGTCTTTGTGTGGCTCCCAGTGTGAGCATCCCACAGCTTGACAGTGTGATCACCTGATGCTGATACCAAGAGCAATCCATCTTGGGAGAAGGCCACAGACATCACTGAATGAGAATGACCCTCAAGTGTCCTGAGGTGACTCCCAGTGCAAGGGTCCCACAGCCAGATGGTATCATCAAGTGATCCTGATGCCAGGAGTGATCCATCTGGGGAGAAGGCCACAGATGTCACCCAATGAGGATGGCCATGAAGTGTCTTGAGGTGGCACCCAGTCTGAGGGTCCCACAGCTTAATGGTATGATCACCTGATGCTGATGCTAGCAGCCCATTTGGAGAGATTGGGGAGAAGGCCACAGATGTCACTGAGTGAGAATGGCCCTCAAGTGTCCTGAGGTGGCTCCCAGTGTGAGTGTCCCAGAGCTTGATGGTATCATCACCTGAGGCTGATGCCAGGGACAATCCATCTGGGGAGAAGGCCACAGATTTCACCCAACCAGAATGGCCCTCAAGTGTCTTGAGGTGGCTCCCAGTCTGAGGGTCCCACAACCTGATGGCATGATCATCTGATGCTGATGCCAAAAGTAATCCATCTGGAGAGAAGGCCACAGATGTCACCCAACCAGAATGGCCCTCAAGTGTCTTGAGGTGGCTCCCAGTGTGAGGGTCCCACAGCCTGATGGTATGATCACCTGATGCTGATGCCAGGAGCAACCCATCTGGGGAGAAGGCCACAGATTCCACTGACTGAGAATGGCTTATCAGAGTAGCAATGCTGGGAGGCCATTCAGAATCAAGCTTGGTGTGCAAAGTAACAGTTGGATTGGGACATTGCTGGAAAGCTCCCAACAGGTGGCTGTTGGTGGGAAGGAATGGTAAAATGGACTGGCTGATGTGTGCTGCACTAGCTTCAATGGTTTGTGCATAGGTCAAGATCATACGGAAGGCTTCATGCAAAATTGTAGCAATGTGATCCAGGAGCCTTTTTGTCCTCTAATTCAATAGTCTGTAAAATGGTCCTCAATCAAGCGGTGAGATCACTAACCATCCAGGGAAGAATCTCCCGTATACCTCTAGCAGCATCACCCACATACCCCATCATACTCATCACGGAAATCCATCGTAACAGCAGGCCCTCTCCATCGGTACTCCCAAGACCAGTAAACCTCTCCAACACATCCCTAACCTCATCATCCACCACCCGAAGCTTTCCCAAATGGGATGTCCAAAAGCGGCAGGCATACTGCACTTCATCCCCCACCTTCATGGCCAGCTTGGCATTTAGATTCTCCACACCCGCATTAAGTGAATTCCATGGAACAATTCCATCTATAGCCGGAATGAGGTTTTCATTGAGAAGATTGAGGCAGCGAAGGGCCATCCACCTCTCATGCCGCTCTACATCAACTCTAAGTTGGGGGTCCTCACACCGTTCTATGATAAAATCCGGAAAGGAAGGGTGGTAGACTTCAACTTTGCCTTCTGGCTCTGAGGGTAGCGGAATGATGGATTGTATGCGAGTCAGCAACGATTTAGCATCGGAGACTGTGGCAAAAGTGCTGAGTGCTTTCATAGGCAATGGATCCTTCAGTAGAACAATAACATGTAGAAGGCGGTAGAGCTGGGCAGGTACATCTCGAGGGATCCTATCGACACTTGCGGACAAGACTGTTTTATAAAGGCTGTCCAGGTCAGCGTAAGGACTCGCATCATCCGGATCTGCACCACCCAAGATGGCATCCAGTCGACGCTCGGGAAGCATAACCTGACCATCTCCAATGAAGTTGGCTGCCGTAGCAGCCCAGATGAAAAGTCCGCCGGCTTTCTTTGCGAGATTATCGACAATACGGGATGGGGGCCAGTCATCCTGGAGCCTGTCACTAAATTCTTTGCGAATAGATTCGAACCGATGTCGCAGATACAGCTCAATGTCGCGCGAAACAATGTCTTTATCAACTTCGTGAATCACGACCTTGTCTACATTCACAGCCTGGTTAAGCCTGATAGTGATGTGGTGCTCCGGGCGACTTGTTATGAGTATACGGAAGCCAGGAATGGCAGTGCAGCCGTCAATAAGGTAGCGAAGTATTCCTTTCGCACCATTTGCTTCGCCTGGGTCACACTCATCCAGAGCGTCAATCACCAGGAGAAGAGGTGCGGAAAGCCCATGAAGTCGAAGGGGTCCGAAGAAAAGCTCAGAGAATCGGGTGGCAAGGGACGCATGGGCAAGCTTCTCATTCTTCTTCAGCGCATCCACAATAGCCGTGCCAAAACTCGGAAGATTCTTAGCCAGATCCCGCACGATCGTGCCAAGGAAGACCTCCGCACTGGACAACTTGGTGTGTTGACGGACAAAGAAGAAGCTTGATCCGAGGAGGCCAGACTCTTTGGCATACTGTGCAATGGTGCGAGCGATGGTCGACTTGCCAATCCCAGCCAGACCGTTCACCCAGTACACAGATTTGCTTGTATCATTGGTTGGTCGATGTAACCATTTCCTGATATTCTCGATAATTTCAGTTCGCGTTCCGGCGAAACAGCCTGATGGAGCACCCGGCCGGTCGGTGTCATAGCTGGCGTCGAGGGCATAAGGAAGTTTATTAAGGTGGGACTCGAGTTGCTCCGCTTCTTTATCCGAGAGAAGTTGCTAAGCAATTGGTTAGGTTGAGGGCTAACAGATCAGGTGTAAACTGAACTGTACCTCGATCCCTAAGGAAATTCGGACTACTTGCGCAGCCTATGTCCATTAATCAGCGCTTGGTGCACGGCTTTCAGGAGGTGGAGGATACCCACTTGAAAGGCGCTCACAGCATCGCGTACCCCTTCCCCAGCTGCTACGATATCGCCCCCGATTTTGTCACGATCCGCCCACTGTTGAACAACATTTTGGCCGCGGTACAATTTCAAAGGCGAAATAGCCTTATCAAAATTGCTGAAAGGGACATTCAGATTATTCCCTACCAGGAGAAATACTCGGGAGACGTAAACGCACGCCGATAGAATTTCGATTGCTTGGGAAAGCTCGGGTGGAATACCTTTTTCTTTATATTTTTTGAGTGGCTCTGATACTGATTGGTTAAAGAATTTGACACTGTTCTCAAGTTGACGAATCGCATAGGTGCTGTCAGTGCCCTGCTGTGAGGGCGAAAGTCATTAGCGTTAAGGGACCCCGAAGCTGCCCGAGAACTCACTTGCAACCAGTTAACTACTTGAAGCAAGACGCTGATCGCACTCTTGAGTCCAGGAACCGGGACACCATCCAAGCTCTGTTCAGCGATACCCAACAAGCCCACAACTCCATTCCAAACAATGCCACGAGCGTTACCCCTGGCTGACGATTGCAGCGTGGGTGCGGGTTCCCCTGCGAGTGGTTGACTTTGCAATTCTTTCTTCTTGAAAAATTTCTCCTTGACTTTCTCCTTGCCTTCCTTGACTTTCTGTAACATTTTGGACAAATTGTTGGGACGAACGAGCAAGGTTGTACGTGACTTAGCAACAGCACACAGCTCTCAAGTCGCTTACAGCCGTTTTCAAATGATTCACCCGTTGGGATGTCCATTGTAAGGGCAGGACAATCATATACCTAAAAAAGCTAAAAAAAAGTTGGCGAGAATCGACTCACAAAAAGGGATTCCCTTATTTAGAAAAATGGCTCAACCGCCGAGGCCCTGGCCGATAACAATGACGGTAATGGTTTTCTCCTTGTACATAAGCAGCAGTACTGGGCCCCCAGCGGTGAAGCACGAAGCGGCCTTACCGAGATTTCTAGATTATGTAAGTAACTTGTGACATCGAGTCATGTCAGACCTAATACGAGACAAAGGCAGAGAAAACACATAACAGAACATCAGACAGATATGAAGACACGAGAGAGAAGGGAAAATACAGAAGTAGCGTTTAGCGTGGCATTCCGAACGTACCACACAAGACCAGGCCTCTTTGGCCCAGAACTCGCATCTTGTATCACTCGGTGCATTTCTGGCGCCGCACCTACGTATGATCCAAAGCAGCCACGAAACGTATATTGTACAAATCTGGTGTAGATTGGACACATATGATGAGCGCAACGACGAGTAGGCAGGTTACCAGCCTCTATAAGTATAGAAACGATGAGGGTCAGATGTGTGACCGGAAACCTCCGGACTTCAGACAAGCGCACCCTGGATCGGGACATGTACTGCCCATAATGCCGGGGCGACATATTAGCGCCCCACGCTTCAACTACACTAATCGGACTTCCTGGCGATCTCTTCCTTATGTCCCCCAATTGTCAATGGAATGCATCTCAAGACTTAATTTGTAGCAAAGTGGGCGAAATATGCTGGCCTCAGGGGGAAAGTCATAAGATCCAAAAATTGTGCAAGCGCTACGAATGCGCACTTTTTAGCAGCAACTAAGCCCAAACAAGTAAAGAAAGTAAATCCAAGACGTCTCAACATCAACAACGTGAGTTGGCCTCAGCGTACTTACGCTTGAATCCCAAGAAATCTAATAAGGAACCCATGTCCAACCTCACAAGCCCATCGATGGCCACGATCTTTGAGCATAAGGGATCATGGTGGAAAGCGTCTACCCCGGTTACCAAGTGTCCTAGGTCATAATCCTATAGGTAAAATACTGCAATACTTGGGTTATTCGACATTTGTTTCCACCGCAATTTACTTCCAAGTGGGATGAGTTCATACTACTTATTTACGTAGCTACACAGACAGTGAAAAAAGGAGAGAATTTGATTATTAGAGGCAGAAGAAGGATAAAGGGGGGGTTGGGGTTTTCGGAAAGGGGGCGCTGATGAAGCGTTGAAGAAGCGCATTCCGCCATCACATGACGTATTGAATTGCGAGTCGGACGATTCCGCGCATTTTGGGCTCGTCGTCTCCCCCACACACTAACACTGTAAGTGCATCCTGCACACATCCTAGCCACTCTGGGAGATATAAGAGGGCTATTTGCGTCCTTGTGAAGTTGAATGGACCTCTATATCGAACCAGAAGAGCTGGATGCATTTTGCTGACTTTGGATGCAAATTCTGATGAGCCTATTGGTCTCTTCGTGCATAATAGTACTTTCTTTCCCAACATGGGTGCCTACGCTTACGTGCGTATTTCTTCGGAATGTCTGGCGTACTAGCCAGTTCGTTTAGGAAATGACTGCTCAGATTTCTACGCTCGATTCGACAGATTCAGCACCTATGGTACAAGAAGCAGAGCGATGTTATGCGCTTTATCCTCCGTCTGCGCAGCTGGGAATACCGTCAATTGCATGTCATTCACCGTGTCCCTCGCTCGACCCGCCCCGACAAAGCTCGCCGCCTAGGATACAAAGCCAAACAAGGATATGTTATTTACCGCGTCCGTATCCGTCGTGGAGATAGAAAGAAGAACGTCAGAAAGGGTGAGTGCACCAGTATAGTTAATAATTACTGGTGACACTCAAGATTGCGAATTATGTCAGGTGCCACCTATGGCAAGCCCACCAATCACGGTGTTAACAAAATGAAATCTGCTCGCAGTCTCCAAGCTGTTGCTGAGGAACGCGTTGGGCGACGGTGCAGGAATCTTCGTGTTCTGAACTCTTATTGGGTTGCCCAGGACGGTATCTACAAGTATTACGAAGTCATTCTTGTTGATCCAAGTCATAAGGCCGTAAGTTGTTCAACGCCGGAGGATTCCATCGTCTGATGGCTGCGCCTTTTAGATTAGGCTTGACCCCAAAATTCGCTGGATATGCGCCCCTGTTCATAAGCGCCGTGAAGCTCGTGGTCTCACTTCTCAAGGAAAGAAGAACCGTGGCTTACAGAAGGGACATCTCTACAACCATACCCCTCGCCGTGCCACCTGGAAGAGAAACAACACGTATGTTCTCCCGCTCGACTTTGTTTCCATTCACCATCTCATTCGTTTCTATGTCCAGTCTATCCCTTCGCCGTTACAGGTGAGAATACCAGTGTCGCCAGAGCGCTGCTATCGCCTTCCGTCCCTCGTCCGCTTTATTTCACATATTCCATGCTTTTCCCTATGTGCGCATGCTACTGTCAAAAACGTGCATACTTGTCCTGACCTACTTATGATATGACCTACGCGTTGAAATCCTGAGCTTACCACACAGAAGCTGCGCTTCGGAAAGGGTTTTATTGAACGTGTGTAATCAAGTGCAAATTTTGAAGATGTCGCGCTAGCTCATACCATTTGGCATCTCCGCGAGTCGCCAAATTGTCTATTTCGGCGTCATCACGGCCGCGTGAGTTTCCCACGATACAACCTGTCCTATCCGCTTGCGGTGAACAAATAGACCTTGGGTCTTATTTATGATTGCTAATGTTCCCGGTTGTCTGGGATGGAGAGGACGTGCCATCATCCCGAGAACACACGCTCAATTGCCCATGCATTGATGCAACAAAATTCCACCCCATCCCGGCCACCTTGATGTTGCTATACATGTCCGGCCCGCCCTAGCTCCCAAAATCCCGGAGCTTCCTCAGACGAATTACCATCGCTCAAGTCATGTGGGTGGCGGATGTTCAACGTTCATCCTTCGTCCCAATTACGGCACTAGCTCTGTCATACCCAGTCTCTTCCTGATGACGAGATAGAAGGAATTGCCGCCTCCTCTCTCTGCCTGGCACCAGTACTAGTCAACCTGCGCATCCTTTTGACACTGACTTGAAAGCAATTTGTCTTGACGACCCTCCATTCGTCCTTACCTGACGTATGGTCCTTACGATCTCTGAAGGGTTCGGAGCATATCTTTCTGGCATCGTCTTGGCGAATATGTGCGTACTCCAAAACAACCCGGATCAAAAACAACGCATTCAGCTCTGCCATGATGATGGGTGCCAGAGTTCTAGGCATAAACACCGTGCAAGCTTTTCATTATTTTGCCCGATTCAAGCAGGATAGCTTGGGAAAGAAAATATCTGTGATCGTTTTCCTTCCGTACGTTCCAACTCAAGTCCTGACTGCCCGTCTGTGGCGCAAGGTCGTTCTTCTCCCGTACGGCAGTTACTAGTTAGGCACACATTCTGGCCTACGGAGCTAACTTGTGTGCAACCCCATAGGTCCATCCAAGCTTTCCAATTGTTCGTGTATCTTTTCCTTGCGCAACGTCATTGCACCCAAGTTGTCCCTAGAGGCTGCCAAGCTTGGGCTTTTTGGTGGAGCCTGGTGGAGAATGATGGAAATAGCGACATTATCATTCACCCCATCTGGGTAAGCGTCGCTTCATGCTCCTCATGCTGGTATGAATGATGATGAGCTAAAGTTCATTTGTGCAAACCACCCAAGGCCTTGCAAGTTTTCGAAGCAACGTGCACATCCACGTCCGCCATTGTGCAATCGCACTTTGTGCGACGGATCTTCGAGAGTGAGTGTTTTCTTCAGCATATCAGAGAAAAGCATGAGATGAAGCGACAAATCCGAAGTGGTGCGGAACCCCTGGATGCCTTGTCTTATCGTGCGTATTTTCCTTTGTCTGTGCGTTAGGCCCCTGAGCTGTGAATGTAATTCGGTTGTGTAGGCCTTCATGATATGCGTAAAACTTGGTTTGTACGTTTCCAAGCTAGTGCCTTCTTATTACGCTAAAATGAGAATGGGAACAACGTGGCAGGTTTTGGGATCAGTCAGTATCACTTTTGCGACGTAATGGTGGATACGAGTGTGCTGACACATTAATCCTTCTCTCAGCTATCATTATCATGTGGTAAGAACCCTAGACACGGATGATGTTCCCGATTGGCGTGCCTCTGATGTCGCCTAGGTATATACATCCCGATTTAAACTGGTTCATGATACACCGCACTTGGATTTTGCGGTGTTTCGTGTTTTCGGACGTCGCAGTGGACTCCATGATAGCTTCTTCGCTTTGCATAATCATGATGAGACGTCATGGGTACATCCAAACGTATGATAGTTCCTGAACTCGATGTCCCTGCACAACTGGTGATCTTCGGCACGCTAGGGACACGAGACTTGTTACGCGTCTCATTAGTTATGCCATGAGCAGTGGTGTTATCACAAGGTGCGTTTCTGTTGTTATGGGGTGCTAGTGGTCACTACACTGATCGCCGTTCTGAAATCCATGCAGTGCCTTTTCGCTCACGGTTCTTGGAGTGCGTTTTGTTTGTTCCGTCGCGTTGACCTTCCGCTCATCTCACCTGTATCGAAGATCACCTTCCATCATATTACGTACCCTCTTTTGATGCTTGGCTCAACATACGCCGGACGTGAGTTTTCTTGCTCTCACTTAGCGGGGCTACAGAACCGAACCTCTCTCAGTTTATAGTTTCGTGTTATTAACGAGGTCAGCCACACATCACCTCGATTTCAATTTCTCAATATTGTGCAACAGCCTTCATTTCCGTCCGACGCCCCCCGCCCATAACATTGTTCCGAGAACGACGATTTCTTACGCTCCGCCCAGAGTCCAGCCACTAAATTACTTTCCACCAGGACCACCTACTGTATGTCTACGGGAGCAAACCGACATTACTGTAATATTCACTTTGAATAATCTCGCAACCGTAGCCTCCGCTCAGTCAAATATCTATCTCCAGTACACGAGACTCAAGATCAGCTCCCGAAGGCACTGGAAAGGTTGCGAACCATTCAAAGGGGAAGAATGTAGAACGCCAGAGCGGCTATCGCTCTTCGCCCAGTTCCCGACTCGGATGGAGTCCAAGTACTCGATGGTTCGATTCATCGCATGCGCATTCATCTGTCACGAGTGGCAGTGATTCAATGGAACTTCGAGATGTGGAAAGGGGCACACGGAGATTCAAGGGAAAAGGTCCAGCAACATCGTTCAAGTCTTGGAGCACACCTTCCACTTCTGCAATCAGTCGAAGCACTCGATTCGATGAGTCAATGATTCATGCTTCGTCAAGTAGGTTCTCCCGAGAATGAACCCGCTATCATCAATTCATCCGCCGTGTCACAAGCATGTGTACTCTGATCCTAATTAGCCTCGTTTCCTCAACTGTCATCCTCGATGTTCTCGATTTCGTTCATCCACTCTTTCTCCCCTCTCAGAGCTGGGCGTACTTTTATCGCTTTTTGGGTTGCATTTGTCCCGTGAGGGTTCCTCTCGTTCTTCTTGGCTTTGATACCACATAAATGGACGTTATAAGCATTTCTCCCCCAACCCAATGAATTCTGTAATACTGCGTTTTCCGTTCTATTATGTATTGACCCAGTACATGCGTCTGGTCATTCTCAACCCATCGAGCATTATGTAATGCACTCGCGATTTGACGTGCAAACGCTAGATCATTACAAAGGTGCCGTGTTGCCAGGGAGTTTGCATGTTGTCCAGCGCCTGTCGCAACCATTGTTAGAGTCACTCGTCCAGTCAGAATAAATATATAACCCAATGATGCCGGGACATACATGACCGAAAAACAGCGGCTAACAAGCTACGTGAAGTACTGAAATCGTGAAAAATCTGAGCCTCCCAAAGCAATAAAGAACACGAAGAAAAAAGTTGAAACGCTCCTTCTCTCTCCCTCTCTCTTTCTCTTTAATGGAACGTCGTCGGAGGCGGTGGTCCGTTATTGGCGTAAGCATCATAGGTATAACTGTTATGGACGTATGTCGGGGTCAATTCATCCATATCCGAAATGCTTCTCTCATGTCGAACGTGTTGATACTCAGACGGGAAAACCCCATTTCCTCCTGCTCCTCCATTCATAAAAGCACGTCCGTTATCTCGAGGATGCAAAAACGAATCGCCAGTCCTGTTGGGGGAGAGGAAGGGAGGCGAGGCAGTAGCAGTGGGAGCAGGAGTAGTAACAGGTGGCTCGGATGTGGTAGTGGTAGTGGTGATGATGGTGTTTCGTTGTGGGGAGAAGCCGAAGCGCCTCCCTGTCCAGAGCCAGAGGATAACGTTGAAAGTGCCTCCTGATGTGAAGAGAACTGAAGTGAGAATGACGATGCCGTGGGGTGGGTTATAATTGTTGAATTGGAGGAATCGGACGATTGATTGTGGAGCAACGACGACGGTGTAAGCTATATATAAGTATAAGGATGGAAAAAAGATGGTCAGAGAGATGATCGCTGAAGGATAATAGTTTATTTCTCACTTATCGGATACCACAGCATCTTGACTGCATCACGGCGCAGCTGACTGTCGACGGCATCAAGGAGCCAATTGATCACGATGGTCCCGTAAAGGATCGCTGACAAAACCACTGCCAGCCACATAACTGCGTACTCGCTTGCTGCAGCCGCAAACTTCATTAGCTTGGCTTCGAAAACGGGTACTAAAAGGATGATACCAACCGATACGTAACCTGCGAGTCGATTGTCCGGCCTTCAAAATCCAGCACCAGAGACTTTAGGCGTTTAGGATTCAGTAATGGATAGTAGAGCATAAGGAGGGGAGGGGGGACAGGTACGTACTCGGTGTTTCCGTAGTAAGGGTGATCGATAGTAGCCGGTACAGTAATGATGAGGAATATGAACAAGACGGTGCTTGCAATCGCCCCAATAACAAAGTATTTGGCACCATACCGGCCGAGTGCATTCGGGGACATGACTTGCAGAAATGTTAAAACGGCAATCGCAATGGTGAAGCATGCTGATTACAATTGGGAGGGAAAAAGAATGAATCAGAGAGACTCCGAGGACAGGTCGGGAGCTTGGAGTGGTCCTCACCAACACCGTCGTTTCCTACTTGCTTCAGTATAGCCTGGGCATTGCAGTAAGATCCCTCAGTGACTTTTCCATTGAAGGCCCAACGGGCGGACAATATATTGGCAAAAGATTGTCTAAGGGGATGAAAGTCAACACTACATCTCTCCCTTTTCGAGGAACTGACGGAAAAGAGAGCGAGATCCTCCAAGACTTACACCATATCCGAAAAGACAGCGAACAGGAATAGAATCGATACGGCTTGTAAGGGTGATTCCCCCCTTTCATTACCGCGGTATATCTGCCATGCACGTCTCTGCGTTTCCATGTAAGCTTCCGGCGCGTACCACTGGCAGCAAGTATCGGTTGTTACGTACGAGAGAATAAATCAATAGCCCAGACGAAAGAACGTAGGATAACAACGCTGCAGCAAAGATACCCTATGTAAGATGACGCGCAAAGGGTTATCGGTCAGAAAGATGAAAGGCAGGAGAAGGAGGAGACAGGTCACAAGTCCAAACTCACCAGGATGCCAGCCCGAATGTTGAAATTCTTGCTGAAGTCATAAGGCTTCCCCATCCCTCGCTCTCAAATCGCACCAGGAGAAAGGAACGAAAGATGAGACTCGAGAGAGGCGAGAGGAAGAATTTGACCAGAGTGTATAATATTAAATAGTTTCGTTTGGAATGCATGCAGCATAGCTTTTGCGGCTGATCATATATAATTGGAAGTTTGCCAAATCGAGAGTGCGCGCGCCAAAGCGCTGCGCTCGTTCGACGAGGAGCACTCCGGCACGTCCTCGCCCTCCTGAGCATGCTTCGAGGCTTTCTTGATGGATAGCAAATGACCTAGAGGTACTCATTGTCAAGAGCACAAGCGCGGGGTTCGTGTTTTACCAGCTTGCCAGCTGAAAGAATGCCAAATATAGACTTCTCCATCGTCATGCAAACCGTGGCTTTTGAACAAAAGTGAACGGCGCCTCTTTCGGTAAGAGCCATCATTTTCTCACACGACAACCCGAGAATTACAAGTTGAAGTACTTGACCCTTTCAACGGTCGACACGTCGCTTCGTTACTGGAGATGCGTACGTTGCGTATGCGGATTCAAAGGGGCTGGGCCTCAAAGATGCCATTGTTAGGTTTTTGCCACGAAAAGGCACTCATCACAGCCTCCCTATTCGGCAGAGCTAGAAGGTCTCATGTCATAAGAGGCGGTGCAACTTGTTTTTCGTCCTATCTTCCCAACCGCCTATGCTGATCAGACCCCCCACGTAACGCGCACTGCATATCCTGACTCGGTAGTCTTGATGGTCGAGCGACATTGGGCAGCATTAATGAATCATCATGCTATGATGGCTTTGGTGCCTTGTTCGCCAAGGGACCTTGAAACGGTTGAGCCTTTTTTTTTATATCAGGGGTTCTTTTCGAATTATCGCCCATGCATTTCCTTGGCTTCCTTGTTCGTGGGTCAAGTGAAATGTCAATAGCAATGATCATGACTCAACCCGACAACAATGTGATGGAACCCATGCATCACCGCCCCTCCATGATCGAATATTGCGTGTGGGGTTTATTCAACACCATTTATCAATGCTCTGTGTTGAACAACTCTATCAACTCCAACGTCTTTAGCCAACAATTGATGGCGGGGCTTATCGCCCGCTAAGCAGTACTTTTGCGCGCGGCTACAACAACAAAAGTCAGAGAGATCTGTGCGAGCTATTCCCATAGCTACACGAGAACGCATCGCATGGTCGGTAATTAAGCCCTCATGCATGGGTCCTTCTTGAGCCTGCTCCTTCCATGACGACCTTCGTGTTTCGCGGTGTTTTCCAGCACCGACAAGATTCATACGAACCTACGGTCAAATTGGTACCACTAACGAGACGGATCGCTGTGACGTGTCAACAGTGGCTGCAGATATGAAGCATCTGCGCATGACTCCTACGCAGAGTGGTAACGCAACGTGTGCAAAACCCCTGTGTTGTATGTGGCGGTATGGTACTAGCGCATGTCATTGTGTTTCTTCAATTGGCGCCTACGTTGTGCAAATTCGACCTGTGCATGCCCTATCGCATACAAGGCGTGACCTGCTCGCTTCGTCATTCAGCATCCAGGCATCTCATCCCTCCACCCCGTTCTGTTCCGGTACGGACGGGTACGTAGTACCAAGTCTGGCCTGTGTCGTCTGACCCATCAGCGAAACTACCGTAACGGGTCCCATACGTGCAACAACAACACATCTACGCTCATCATGCATCGCGGCGCAGATTTGGGGTCGATCAGCTGTACTACCCGATATGATGGTCAGGTGGCGGCTACCTAAATGCCAACCAGAACCTCGGAAACAGTGACCGGTGTTTAGAATTTTGGAACAAATTATTTGGTGCGCATTCGCAGTCTCAGCACATCCCAAAGTTGATCATGCCATCCTAGGGACTGTTCGCAACAGCTATATAACACGGGCCTAACATTCACGATTCATCCAAGTTAGGCATTTACAGTGATGGCACTAGTCGCTTCGAAGTCAGGGGGTAGGGGGGAGGGAAAAAAAAAATGTGGAAAACAACTACGACACGTGTTTATACACTTGCAAGCGATCTCGGAAAACCCGATCGATAGACGCACTGGTGAACATGTTACCCGCATCCATGCCTTTTTTAGAGCTGAATTCGACATACGTTAGACCTGGTGACCCAACCAAAAATGTTGTTGGACGATTTAGACGTACCGATCGCGCGCGATGGGCGAAGGACGAGTGAGTATTTGGGAAGTGCGTAAAGACACATTCGGAACGATATCGTGCGCGTGCGTCACGGGCCAGATACGTAGGCGAGGTAACATCGGGGATTGTAGGCCCGGGGGAATGAAGGGGAAAACGGAGTAAACACGCGGAGGGTGTTCACCTGACCCTTCCCTAAAGCTTTGACTGTAATACATGTAAATTTTACGAAACACGGTGCGGGTAGTGACATAACCCGGAGGATACGAAAACGATGGGTTGCGGTCAAAGAGGCTACAAAATGACAGCATGCAACTAACACGGGGACTAGCCGTTTTGATATTAGGAAGAAAGAGAGAATGGCACAATACGATGCATACTAATGAAGGGACGAGATGATAGGTTTGAAGATCGGAATCAAGAAAAGGCAGGGTCCGCCATAGGCACCCAGCATCTATGAGAGGTATAAGTACAGAAAGAGAAAAACCGCTCGGAAAATTTGAAAAAAGGGGGAGGGGACTATGAAAGATGGGCGCCTGCAATCTCCGTGGGATGGTGATGTAGATGATTGCAAGAGCCACAAGCAATGTAAATCGGGTGGAAATAAAAGGAATGAAATACGAGTCCACAATTCGGGCGATTGAAGGAAAAGTAAAAAACAAAAAGCGTTTCCGAGAACTTGCAATAAAAATCTGATTACACTACTTCGGCAGCATCGGCTCGAACCGTTCGTCACGATAGGATAAGTGTTGGACATCCACCTAACGTCGCGACGAATACCTTGAACCTAAAATAGCCCACCGAGGAATGGAGAAGGCAGCAAGAGGTGGTTACGTAAAAACCGTTAGCGAAAAAGGAACGGACCGGAAGCGTTGGAATGTCAACGCAAAAACGTAGTCATAATTGTTCGTTCGGTGTCGTAGAGCGCATGTTTAAAAAAAATACGTCAGTAACCATCAAAAATGAAAGAAGAGTGCGGGAAGGCCATATGGGATAGGGTGTGTGTAGGAAAGAGAACGTGATATGCATGAGGGGTTTAGGTAAGGGGTTCGATGTGAGAGTAACCGAGAGGAATGAATACAAGGAAGTTTGGATACATTACCTGTCTTGAATGTCCATCTTCTGTTTCTCCTTCAAGCACGAAGTCCAAACCGGCCGGTATCCTGCTGGCATGGCACGTACTAATGCAAAGGCAGAGTCGTTTTGGCAGGGTGAGACGTGATATGATGCATGGATCTTCCGTTAGCGACGAATGTAGAAAAAAAGAGTTCGCATGGAACGGCCCATTGTTATCCGAGCGGTGCATTGTTTCCATTTCAAGATCAGTGAAAAGCGGCAAGTCGTCAGACCATGTTACTCGCGTGCAACAGGAATCACAGGTTCAAACTACTCACACTTTGAGCCCGAAGACGATCCTGAACTTGATGCAGAAAATCGAATAGATTGGCGCGAAGTTGGTGAAGGTCATTATGGTCCAATGCTGATCACCAAGCACGTTCGAAGAGAAAGCACACGAAAGACGGTAATGGGTAAGTTACGTGTCAAATTTCAAATGAGCAGAATGAATCAGTATCTCGAAATGGCAAAGAGGTCGTCCTTGGTCGAAATGGTCCACTCACTGGTACCAGCAGCCCACGCATCAAAGTCGGGCAACGAACAGAATAGCTTCACGGCCGGGTGAGAGCCTAGCTCTTTGAGAAGAAGACTAAACCGCGTGCAGCGGAAAAAAGTGGGGGCCAAAAGCGCGGTCACCCGTGAACGACGGCTCAGTTATCAGAAGGGTTGACGGACGTACTTGACGTAAGTGTCAAGCGAGTCTTGGAGGTTTGGGAACTATGCGAAGGTAAATCAGACGAGATTTCTCGGTTGCTTGACAGTTGATAGAACGCACTGAGACGACGGGAGGGGAAAGACCAGGGTCGATGGGAGAGGAAGTAGGTGGTGCAACAATAATTTCGGCTGGACGGAGAGAAAGCATGATGGTCGTGTTTTTGCTTTCAAGAATGAAGAGGAGGGGGGTCAGTTGAAGGTCGGGGTGGGAGATCTTTTGGAAGGAGCCAATATATTCATGTGCTTATATACTATAATTGAATTGGGGGATAATCTCCCGTTCTTCATGGTCCCCCCCCCCTGCTTCTGCTTCTGGGCAAGTTTTCGATGAGGGAAATACCCACATTTTGGGATAGATTTGAAAAGAACCCATCCGAGAACCCCATATTGCGACGGGTCCGAGTGGAAAATACAGGGGGAAAAGGACGCCAAGGGTCAACAAGATCGTGATTGCCGCAAATCTTCCTCGCGTTCTACGCGTGGTTTGGGCCTCACTTTCTCATCAGGGTATCCTTGCTTCGATGAACCCCCTCTAATCGTGGACGATGGGTTGCAACTCTTGCCCGAGCGTCACACTTAACGTTACCCTTGTCGTCATGACCGTCACGCGACGGCCTCTTTGCTTGTCTCACCACCGGCCGGCGGCCGGGCCCTCACACATGACCCATGCCATCCTTGGGTTCAACAGGAGCAAATCCACTTTTGGGCTCAGCCGCTCAGCTCAAAGACACGCAAAAAAAAGGAACCCACGCTGGCGTCTACACTGGACAATACAGCTAGGAAGTTAACAATTGGCCCTAAAATGAAATCAGCTATTGCTGCAAAAGTATCGATCTATATTAGGCTGTATGAGCTTATGTCCATTCATATACCTACGGAGCTTCCCCTGGCGATCCTTTGCAACGCCATGAAAATTTCAGAACAGGCCCTACTCTTTCCAGTCCCAACCTTCCCATCATCCTTCTGACGATTCACACACACCCATGCACACATTCGCCGGTTCGGGTCCTGGCTATCGGGAAACGTCGGGAAAAGCAGGTATGTGGATAGGCGTAAACAGGGACCCGATCGATCGATATCGAAGATGAAACCAAGAATTGGGAAGGATGAAACTTTACATGCGCATGTTAGCCACGGTAATGAATATCGTGGTGAAAAAAAGTGTTATATCTGTAAAACCGCGCTAATGCTCACATTAGTACAACCACTTGGTGGCTCCGTTTTCCCCCCACCCATCAGCGGTGGATGACTTGAACAGCGAAGCTCCGTGCTCATCTTCTTTGGGTGAGGAGTTCATGGCGGAGAATTCTTTCCGATCATGGTATTGCGTCTTCAGTTGAGCAATCGCTCTGAGACGAAAGCGCCGCTGGATACTCCTATCACAACCTGATCTCTCACTGTGCCACTGATGGCTTAGACGTGCTCCACGCCTAACGTCAACCATCGCCATCCAACTCAAGGACAACGTCCTGCCTTCGGCAGCTCATCTTCCATGGACTCATTCCCCATTTTGCTAATGCTCCTGAGGGATTAAAGCTCCTCGCTTCACGCCATCAATATTACATATCGAACCCTTCTCTGGGTCCTCACCACCTGGGTATCTCCCTCACTTTTGCCATTGTCTATGATGACTGCTGCTTAATCACTACCGGTCGTCCATCAGCTCGTGCACGTCACAGCCATAAAGACTCTCTTACCCAGGTATTCTGGCGCTCATAACGTCATGGGGACGTAGCATCCAATTGACTCCTCTAGCCTCCGCTCCTTGATAGGGGGTTTTTTATGCTACCTCGACCAGGCCAAAAAAAAAATTCCCGTTATCCACCATCCATTCCGATGTAACCCCTAATCGCATACCTCGCTTGCACGTTTCTTAGCATTTTGTCCCTTCGAGGGGTGCTAGGACAGCGATAACAGCTCTTCAGCGTCTTGGAAAAACGGGACTTGCCTTCAGCCGCTACTTAAACAGCCAACTTCCAATCAATCAAGCCCCCTCCCCCCACCCCCTATATCACACACTCCCTTGCCCCGTTAGGGGCCAGTCAACCTTTCACCCGCGTTCCGACGACAAAATTTGGAGAACTTCTCGTGCCTCAAGCGAGAACACGTTGCAAATTTTTTTTTTTTTCACCTGAAAGTTAATTTCCAGATTGTTCAAGACAGGTCGGCGAAATGTATAGCTTTTCATTTACCCACCCCCCCTGCTCATCCCCGTCTGCGCTCATGATCGTCCATCGCGAATGCTTCCAATGTATATATACATATATATGCAATTCCCTCCCATGTTACTGCACCGCGCGGACTCACACACACACAAACTGCACGACCTCAGAACCAAACACTTGGATTTTTGCGTTTTCTTTACTCATCATGGTCTGACGCTGAAAAAAAAAAAAGTCATCGATGGACCGTAAGTACGTCTACTCACCGGCCGGTAATTAAAAGTTGGGTAACAGTCTAGAAGAGATGCGCCAAAGATCCAAATTCCAAAATTTCCTCATTTCATTCCCTGAACCCCAAAACGTTTTTGTTGATAAAAGGAGGGTTTGGTCTGCAGAGAAGGTCCGATAACTTCGGACATAGTCGGACTCGATCTTGGATATACTTCGATCGGGAACATCAGTAGTGTGGCCCCGGTTACGTTCTAGCCTTCATTTGGATGTCAATGCGCTATTGGTCGCGTGCTGCACGTAATCATGAATCTCAGGTAAAGGGAGTACAGGTGGCGTGTCGATGCCGCGTCTCAAGATCTCGCATAGATTCGTATCTTGACAACACTCTCATATCAGTACGTGTGTGTGGTAAGATGCGTCGCGACAAGTGTATTGTCAGTAATCCGAGACGGCTGTGGCGAATGCATGAGGCCCTCGGATGTAATAACTACACCTGACAAATCAGCGCACACCAACTTAAAAAGCAAGCGGGAAGCGTTCATTTTGGATTGGAAGTGTAGCTTACACGCATTATTTTATGATGAGGGACTGTCCCAGCTGGAAGATATCCACAGAAGGATGATTACGATTAATACAATTGCACGAGCATCTGGAATAGGCAAGTCCTGAACTCCCAGAAATGCCAAGGGGGGGCAAGATCCTAATTAGCTGTTCCGGTAAAATCAGTCTGCAGGGTCAGGTGCAAGATTCATAGTTGAGTTACACTCCTGAAATGACAGCAAGTAGCAAGTGCTCGGATGAGATGTCGGTGATATATCATCGCTACAATCAAACTCACCCTATCTTAGTCTTCACCTTCAACTTAGGTACATTCAATGGCTTATACCGCACGTCACCTCTCTGGGTCTTGATCGTGGCTTCTGGTGCTGTCAACCCCTGAAGGTTCAAAAGGAATATTTTAGTATCACGAGCGCGGAGAAAAGATTTTCGTGGAAGTTCACGCTTACTCTGATCTCAATATCTCCATGAGTGGTAGCAAGTTCCACAGTGTTGAATTTGATGTCAGAGCTAACGTCAAGAGCATCCATCTTGATCTGATACCAGTAAGGAAGCTCTGGGGAAAGCTGAACCTTCAGATTACCGTACTTTCGGTGGGTGGGGAGGATTAGACGGGCATGCTGTAAATGATATGTTAGAAATGCAGCGAACTCATTAACCCACGGTCAACTAAGGTTAGGACTTGGGACTCCAAAATCTTACAAGCTTGACCCATTTTGACATTTTAGGAGGTATAACCCTATCTAAGAGCTTCATAACCGGAGTTTTAACATGACAGCAATCGTAAGGAACGACAAACATTGTCTTACTTTTACAACGACGACGCCCTGGTCTTGGGCTTTAGAATCGTCGAACTTTAGCAGATCCGAAGTCTGGATGGTGGCGGATTCCGTGAGGACTTCGAATGTAATCGATTCGTCACCTTTCTCTGCTGCGATAATTTCGAATGACCCATTTGCCCAACTTGTAAGCGAGGTGAAAGTATATTGCGGAAGGTTTGTTGGGAGATGAGTAACGTGTCTTTGTTGTACGTAGCGGGTAGGGTTGGGACGAAAATCTTGCGGCTATGATTGAACGAATCAACAACAGGGTAAGTACACAAGGACTCCAGGCAGGAAAATGCGGGACTCACGATAACAAATCCATCTGGGAATGTCACAGCAATGGAAGCAGGATGTCTCCAATAAAACCACAAGCAGATAAGGAAGAGAGCACCAAACACTGAAAGAAGTTGCAAACGGCCAAGTCTTTTCCTTGCTCTGGCGGAGATGTGGACCGGCGATGATGGTTTCACACCGAGGAGTGAAGATAATCCCCAGTCATCGTCTTCTAGCGTTGATGGATTGAGATCTGCCAAGCCGCCACGCGGGACCGACATCGGACTGGGGAGATCCACTGGTCTCGGACGACGTCCTGGATCATGGCGGTTGAAGTAGTGAGGAGGGTTATTGGGATCAGAAGAAGAGGTAGTACTAGCGTGCTTCATCATGAAACCTCTCACTTATAGATAGTTTCAGCTGAGCCGGGCTAAAGGGGTTGACAACTGACATAAAACCACTCCACGAATTCCCAGGCACAGGCTCCTTGCGGCTGATGTTGCTTACGCGAGCATGATTATTCAATCTGGTCGATCCGAATCCGGTCATTGATGAAGGAACTTGCCAATAGGGCAAGTTTTATCATCCGCCCTCCTGTCCTGATTATGCAACAAGATCACTCTTTCCGTTCGACCACCTCATCTCTTAGCATCTCTCTCTTTCGGAATGACCTCCTCAGCACCAGTGCTCGTTCACTTTGATGGTCCTATTGCGACCATCACTCTGGACCGACCAGAGAAACTGAACACATTAAACTCTCCAGCTTACGATGCGCTTGCAGATGCCCTCGTCGCTGCCAATGAGCACGCCGATACTGTCGTTACTCGTAAGTGTCTGGAATTTATGCTGCCTGCATCCACATCATTAATTCTATCTTGCTTATGTAAAGTATTGCAAGCACACGGAAGGTATTTTAGCGCCGGAACATGGGTAGACGGTAGCAGCGAAGCGAAAAAGAATCAACAGCAGGGAACAAAGAGTTTTCGTCGACAGCAGGTTGCGCTAAACTCGCAAGTGACGGACATCTCTCGCCTTGTATGTGACATCCCTGATAGCATATGTCTCCCACTGACTGCGTGCTCAGCTGTACGTGCACAGGAAGATTCTTGTAGCCGTGCTTAATGGACCTGTCATGGGCGTTGTTGCTGGTAAGCCGCGTGTTCCATTGATACGTTACGTCAAACTCTTATCATATTCATTTGCGAATCAAATTCGCGCATCCTCGTGCCTGGGCCTCAGGATTTCTTGGGCATTTCGATTTTATTTATTCAGCTCCAGGTGCATGGTTGGCCGTACCGTTTACGGGTATGTATGTTATCTTGAAATCCACTCTCCTGGCGAGAAAATGCCTAGATCAAATTTCAACGGTGGTTCTATACAAGCCCTTGGGCTTGTGCCAGAAGTAGGTACGAGTGTCACATTCCCGCGCCGAATGGGTTTTGCAAAGGCAACAGAAGCCCTAGTGTGGGGTAAGAAGCAATCCGCTGAAGACTTACTCGCAGTTGGATTCGTCAAGTGCGTCTGATCCTTGACTGATTCTCTTCTGCCCCCTAACTTCTATGTTGCTCAATTCGCCAGTAAAATCTTCCCTCCCTCAGCTGGGCTCCCCAAGTCCGCCACTTTAGCAGAGAGAACGCTTGATCTCCATCGGCAGGTCCGTGAATACCTTCTGGACCTCCTCGATCCACTCGATCCACGGGGCGTAGTGGAGACGAAGCAGCTCATCAAGGACGCTACCAATGAGCAGAACAACCCAGATGCCGCTAATCTCAGGGAGAGTAGCAAGACTGCAGAGCTGTTTGTAATGGGAGTACCTCCCAAGAGGTTCGCAGAGTTCGCTAGGAGGGAGAGGAGGCACCGTTTATGAGCCGTTTTGCGAAGGGCGTGTTTGCGTCCTCACAAGGCTGCATATTATTTATTATTCTTACCTGTCATTCTTACCCCGGACTTCGCAATTTGAAGTACTTGTGTCAACAGGACATACATAGTTCTTCCAGAATTAGTTAACATTTTCTCCACGTGATGCGGAGTTCTTCTCACGGTCCGCGGTCTCCACTTCCCGATACTCTAACTTCGGAGCCTAGCCACTGCGTTGCCAAAGGCTCTCGGTCAAGCATCTCATTTAGAAGGGTCTCCAGGGGCCAACGTAAGAAAGACCACCGATCTTTTAGCAAATCATCGGACGGTTTCTTCTGGAAACTTCTTTACGGGCGCCTCTCCCTGTTTCCCTTGATGTCCACACATGATCCATCAGCTTCGTACGTTCTGTGATGCGCCGTGCGGATACACGTACCTTACTATCCTCTCCTACAGGAAGCAAAGGGAACTGTTTTTTCGCACCTTGCGTGAGCGCACTGCGCGAAGCACCGCCTCCGTCAAGCAGTTGACCAACCAGCTCGCCAATGACCCGTGAGCCTCGGCCCCTCTCATCATCACCCAATATATTTTCTCACTTGACCGATTCAGCGTATCAGGGGAGGGGCAATGGGACGCTCGTATCTACTCTCTGAACTCGGAGTTCAAACTTATTCGCGACACATTGGAAGCAATCGAAATCGAATTGTCAGTTGCAAACGCCGGAAAAAATCGTTTGATCAACAAGCGAAACCCAAGCTGCCGACTTCCTGAGAACTTAATGGGGAAGATATTTGGCACTGCAAGCAAATACACTGAACCCGATGACTTGGAAGCAGAATTTAGGACTTTAGATTCCATTACGGCCACATGCTATCATTGGAGAGCAGTTGCATTGGATACACCAGCGCTTTGGACGCGGATCATCATTAAGCCGGATAAGTTCGACCCGCGAACGCATGCATATCTCGTCCGCGCCAAGGATGCTCAATTACGACTCACAATCAAAATTTACAATCATTTCATGCAGTGGAGCGCCCAACGTTTTCAATCGTGGATGCAGTCACTCGCCCCGCATTTAAAACGTTGCGTTTCACTTTATCTCGAAGTCCCTGACTACGAGGTGATTCGGTCAATGCTACCGCTAACTCATCCGATGCCTCTTTTGGACGAAGTCGCATGGCTTGGGGGCTTGCCGTCTCTCTATGGGGAAACCGATGATCCGCCCCCCAACCAGGAGCCTCTAGCCCTGTATGACCCTGCCAAATGCTCCCCCCGTAGCATTCGCATATCACTCATAGGAAGGGCCTTGCCTGTACTATGGGACGATGCCATTTTGCTCAAACTCAACACTCTGGTATTAGAAAACATGGCTGCTCGCCCCACTCGTGATGTGATTGAACTCATCGCCCGATGTACGAACCTCACGCGACTTCGGTGGAAGCAGCGTATCTCGGAGGACGAGGTAGTGACCGAACCCCTCCCGCCGTTCATTTCAAAAAGCATAGAGATCCTTGACATCGACGTTCCCGAAGTCAGCGACCCAGAGAGAAGCGTTCTTTGGCGAATGGAGCTCCCGAACCTCAGATATCTTTGCATTGCATCAAGAGCCTCAGATATTCAATGGGCGGAGACTTCGCTAGGCACTAGTTCACGTTTTCCTCGTCTCACTTCCCTATGGTTGTCTAAACGCGTGTTCTCGGCAGAAGCTATGACGGCGTTCCTCCATGCCCATCCCACTATTGAGGAGTTTGGATGCGGCGGAGGTCCTCAGACGGGAACACTTCTATCCCTTCTCACACAGCCTCAACCTCAACCTCAACCCGAAATCCATCCATCCGAGCCGTTGCCAGAACTTCAACCCGAATCCAGCACAACAGAAGAGTCGTCAGCCAATACTCAACCTCCACAGCTTCATACCACCCCAGTTCACCCTAATCTCAAGTTCCTATACCTCCTCAACGCAGCCAAGGTGCACGATTTAGGACGCTTGTGCGATTCTGTCCGTTCACTCTTCCAGCGAATGGATCACCGCAATGATAGTTTCTCGCACAAATCCGCGTCGACACCCAGCGTCAGTGCCAGTGACTCAACGTCAGCTATGGTCGCAGACGTAGCAACAGGATCGCCTGGAGTGATGACAATACAGTTGAACGACGAATCATGGAATACTAGACACCACCTCATTCCGGCGTCGCTCACAGAGGTTGAGAGGGAGTATGGAAGGAGAAGACTTGTTCTCAGCTGGGGTGAGGACTCGGTACCGTGGCGCTTCCGGCCGATTGGAAGAGTTGCTCTGTCACCATAAGTGTTGACTCTGAAATTTGGTCTTTTTTCTACGTGCGCATTGAAGCAGCGTGTAATGGCAGTGGTTTTTTTGGCGGTGGTGGATGAGAGTTGGGCAAAGTCGTGTCATGGTGAGGTATGCGGCGGCGGCGATGACTGTCATTTGGATTTCGCGATCGTATTGTTCTGTTTGACCAAAAATTCTAGGATACCCCACGAGAGAGCACGAATTATTACGAACCAGCGAGCAAGTAATAATCTAATTCTACGCTTGTACTTACGTTTCTAAACGTCTGGAAGTTTTGTGCAAACAATTTGGAGATGTTGTGTCAATGGAACTGCAAATGTATTAGCATAGTACTTGTTCCTCGACATTAAGTATTGACGAACACTGCGCCCGAGAGAATGAATATATCCCAAAGCGGATCGAAAGCCACGCCCCTCCCGTCTGTGACCAAGTCACCAGCCAAAACTCGAGAAGCAATGACGTGCACTCCACGCAGCCATTCCCGGTGTACCTAGCTGGCGAACAATGACCGCAGCGGTATTAATTAATGTAACTTCGACTAGGTAGCGTTTCATACAATTAGCAAGAACGTGAATCAAACTATTACATCAGAGTACATGTATCCCTATACATCCTGCCAACAGAATACTAGTTACATAAAACCATCGACACTGTTCAAGGAAAAATGCCGCACATTGGTCAAGGTGCACTGAGAATAGTCGCCAAAAACGTTTCATAGTTGATCGTTATCCATCCATCTCGATCTGTGTCCAGTCTAGAAAGTTGGGAGTAGCCGGTGAGTTGCATAACGATGAAGCGGCGGTATGTTCTTACCGTTGGAATGCCTCCGTTAACGTCTTCACGGTGACGCATGCTCGTACGAATCTGGGAAGTCGGTCAGTCTCATGTGCGCTGAAAAGTATTATGCAGGCCTCCTACCTATCAAATGTGATCCCCGGCGCAGACTTCCTTATTGAGTATCCCTCATCGGGCAATGATTCGAATTTCGATTGAAGTAAGCCAAGAAGTCGATGGTTTAGATTGTATCCGAACTGGCGCAGGGCATTGGATAGTTCTTGAGAATCAATGGTCCCCGAATTATCGGCATCAAAATGGTGAAACACTCTGGATCATCAGATGCAAGTCAGTTACGAACGCTGATTACTGAATACTAGAGACAAACTTCTGCCATTCTAGATCACAAAGAGTCAGGCAACGCCGAGGCACCAAAAATAGATGATCACGCTGAGTACCTTCAATATATTTCCACAGGCCTGCAAATTCCGTGAAGTCTATGCTTCCGCTACGATCGGTGTCCTAATCCCCAAAGAGAACTATAAGGAAATTTGGTATCGGTGGAATAGAATGGCTCCTCTCACAAAAATGCTCATCAGCATCTTGCAACTGTGGGATTACCAAGCTTATGAATCCAAGTGTGTATGGACGCTAGATGAAAGATTCCTACGTGTCAACGTCGAATGCTGTGCACCAGGAGTCAGTGGCCTGTGGGGATTGGAATGATTATGAACTTCGGGCGCTTACCGGTCCAGTTTCCATTCACTAAGGCTCTTTGAAGCTCAGAAGCAGATATCTCCCCAGAGCTACTCAGGAGGTCGAACAGAGGTGTCCAGTGACCAAAGCAGAACAGAACGAGGTGGTCGTACAGCAGAAGGGAGCAAATACAAATGTGAAAACATGGTTTCCAGGAGAGAGGGGAATTAACTGACTGATCTGTATCCACTGCTATGAACCAATCCCATAACCTAGAGTCCGCATTGTGGGGCGGGTGACCTCCATGCCCATGCCCATTTTGATGTTGGGGATTATAGTTCTGATACGCTCCCGCATTTGGGTGCCCTTGATATTGCTGGGAGGGCTGTCCGTAGTTGCGGTAAGCGCCTGAGCCATCGAAGTGTGTCTGCGGAGTTGGGTTACCACCAGCCGCTGGATGCGTTTGTCTTTGGTTCCTGCGACCTGGGAAGGGCATATCTAGCCTAGTAGAGACTTATGCAGTGGGTGCGGAGGGGAGAGGGAACAAGTGACTGTTAAAAGCTATGCACTTTTATTAGCATCGTCGATTTTCAGAGGTTAGTGACTTGTGGACCTGTCACTGTCACGGTCTCTCGTGGGTCCTGAAATTGCCGAGTTCAGGTTTCCGCTGTTCTGCTTCATCGACGCTGCTCCAAGGCTCATGCTTGTTTCTGGGACACTACTCGTTTTCTCTGAAACTAAAGAATCCTGCTATCGAACCAACCCGGTTGGCATTTGCGGTGCCCGGCCCAATTTGGGCAGTCTCGTATTTTTACCTCGAGGGGTGGTGGAGGGCACGTTTTGTTAATATTCTTTAGATGCATGGCCGAAGCGACCTTTCAGGCACTTCGGTTCCTCGAGAGCCAATCACACAAACTTGGAGATAATTTTGGTGTTAGTGAGCGCCCAACCTCGAGGCTGTCCATCAATTCGGCCCATTGTAGACCTAGCTATTGCGCGGTGACTTGGTTCAATTGAGACACATTCACTTGATAGGCGCTTCTCAATCATGCGCGCGCCTCTCCGCAGGATGGGGTGCTTCCCGCATGTTTTCGTGCAGTTAGTTCGTGGTGCTTAGAGCTGACATAGTTAGCTATCGACTGGGCATCAGCTGCAGCGACCTGGCTCTTAAACTTCTGTGAGCCGAATTTCCTCACCAGTAATGTATATGATTTGCCACCAAGAGATAAAGGGTGAGGCTATATGCAAGGATTGTTAGACACTCCTGCTGTGCTACCTGGGGCACAGTCTGAGGGGAGCCACTGCCTGGATGATTCTGTTCCACACCCTTAACCGTCATTCATTTCCACTGCTAACTTGAAATGACATGAGGAGTCACCAAAAGTTGTTGAACAAGCGCGCATGCAAATTGATCAAGGGGATGTCAGCGCAATATAAAAGTTATGTATGTATGGTGATCCATGAGACAAAGCTTCGCCATTGAAAAGCTTGCGCAGCGTATCGTCCGCGCGAATTGGCTTTTAGCATTTGTACCTCGTGCTCGTTTACCCATTACATGCAGACTGCATGCAGAAACACGCGTATTCCTCGCGTTCGAGGTAAGCTCGAATACATCCTTAGTATATATGTTTGCTCGCGAGTGCCACGCTCTTGTCAACTGGGTGAAGCTGGAACGAATCCCCAGTTAGGGCGTATATGTCCATCTTCATGGAGAACTACGGGTTGGCTGGTGCCTCATGCTCATTTCCTTATTGTAGACGAAGATACATGTATTCCTCGCATTCAAAATAAGCTTGAAACTGTTTAATCAGTGCAAACGCAACGCTCTTATTTTCTTGGTGATGCTCCACCTGGCAGCCTCTTCCCAAGTTAGATGCACAAGCTCCATCACTGAGATCCGTATACAAAGGAGCAGCCCAGGTCCGTGAGTAGGGTGGACATGCAACACATGGTGCAGAGGCCATTTAATTAACGGAGACAAATAATCACCTCGTCGAAATTCCCATACATTTCAGGGCCCGCGTCGCTGTATCTCTGGTCTCGTTATCGTTCTCCCATCCTACTGCACTAGAGTCATATCCGCTAGATTCCTCCGGGACCGAACTGAATAACCCTGCAGGGGTTCCCCCTGGAGAGCGAGATTGCACCAAGCCTTTAAGAGCAGCATCTATCTCAACTTCCTTGATCTCTTTGTGCTCTGTTTGGTGTTCCACTAAATTAAGCACGCAAACCACTGCCGCTTTGCGTACCGCTGGGGACCCGGATAATAAAGAGTCGCGGATAGAGATGAGAAGAGGACGTCTTTGTAAAACCCAGTCACGATGTGCAGTAGAAAAGTTAGAAACAGCCTTCAAGGCCTAAGATGATGTGTTAGAGTGAAAATGAGCTGAATGGATTATGCGACAATGAGGATGGCTCACGGAAACAGTTGTGGACGCATCTACAGCTGGTTTGACGAGATCGCTCAACAGGCCAAGGAGATTGGGTAATGACCTAAGAACGAAGTCGACTTCATCACTTGTTCTCATGATGTTGGATACGGCGGAAGATGCAATCTCGCGTATTCGAGGGCGGGGTGCTTGAGCAAACTGGGACATACAATTCGTGAGCAATGATGAATCACGTTCGGGAAGACGACAACCTCGCCAATTCATCCCATCCGAGTTCGTTCATGATTGACTCCATCTCTTCCCGGGAACTATGACGCAATGCGTTCCGTAAAGCCCAGATCGAGTTCGTCTTCATCTCCTCGTCACCTTTTTTGATTATTTCGGACAACTTGGAAATCACACCCGATTCAATGAGGTTCTGCATTAATTTAATGTAAGCTATGCCTGAGTTGATGATTGGGTGTCATACCTTGCGTGTTGGCGAGAAGTCGTTGACCTGTAATTTCTGTCGTAACAAATGGGGCCAAGGGAAAAAAGCAAATACACCAACCATATTCGCGATTCCCATCAAGGCAACTAAGATAACGCGTTCATCCGAATCCGTCTTCACGATATTGAACAATATCTCTGCAAGTTTCGAGTCGCCAATACCCGTCCGCAGCACCTTGACGGATCGGCTAAGTGCTCGGACACATTGGCACGCACCATACCTGACACCGGCATAAGGATGCGATAAGCAACGCGATATGATATGCAACATGGTGGGGTGTTCATCAAGTAATGCAACCCTATTGTCATCAAGATGAAGGGTTAACGACGCGATTGCAGTCAACGCTGCCTGTGTAAAAGCATTATTTTCAATGTCGTCAAAAGAGATGACAATAATAATGTTACCTCTAGTAGAAGAGAAGTCGCTTCCGGCCCATCCTCGTTCCAATCCTCATTCATCTGGGGCGTTGTCTCGAGAACCAACGAAGCTAATCTTTTGAGTGTCCCGGAAACGAATGCAGCCCTTTGCAGGTCCTTGTCGTCTGATACCAACGAGTCTTGAAGGTAAATCGAGTAAGCATTTTTTCCAGTCTTCTGAAGCACTTCCCGTACACATTATGAAGCAGGCTCGGATACGAACTGTGGAGCACTGATCTCGAGCCGATAGTAAGTCATTCAATATTCCTATCAAGGTATATGGAGGCTCCGATAAAACCTTAGGAATCGGTGGTGTTGGGGGGGAAGATGCCCGCAAAATGGTCGCTGCACTGATCGATTTGAATTTTGTCATGGCAGACATGATCCCATGAAAACTTTGCCCTTACCAGTGGCAGGCAGCGAGCTTCACGCCCGTCAGGCGAGACTTACAGAGGTTGGCTACCACTAAGTATGGAGATTGATTCAAAGCGGGGGTAGAACCTGGGGAGTAGCATCGTGAAGTTGGCACATTTCCCTCACTTGGGAAATTTGGAGACTCACGGTCTGTTTCGAGGGGTAACGTGCACAGCATCAGTGAAAGTGATTGATTCCCTTTAGCGAGAGAGGCCAGTGCTTCAAGGGCTGCTTCTTGAGTCTAACACCCGATGTAATGTCAGATTGGGTGGACAGGGGTCCGGAGTGTTACAGTAATAAAGGCTGACTTTGAAAACACCACTTTTGATGAGATCGAGGAGAGCCTTGGCAGTCCAAGCCCCAGATGTGCTGGAACTCAACTCTGCTCGCTCCCATCCTCGCTTGCCTTTCGTCTCTTGCAATCTCTCTGCAATTGGCATCCAATTTGCGACACTTCGTCTTTGCGAAGAAGTGCGCAGAGATGTGCCGAGGAGCTGGGCTATGAAAGAGCGAACTTGGTTTGAAGGGTCAACAAGGAACGGAAGAATGACATCCAGAGTTTCTGTCTTCTGTATATATGCACGAGTTTAAATTGGGAGGAGAACCATTCGCGTGATAGTTATATTTACCTGAATATCTGCTCCAGCATTTGCCTTGCCGCGACTGCAGTGTCTCCTTTGTGCGGAAAGGGCCCCAAACCAAACTCGCTTGGCCAAGCAATATTTGCAGCAGCTGATATTACTGACTTGAATGCCCGGACAAGCGCCGAACGCAATGGTAATGACAATAACGTATCTGTCGAAGGACCCATCGAAAAGATTTCATTTGAATCACGAGCATTGACAGCGCCCCAAGTCGATGGACCAAGATCCAGAAGCGCATCCAGAATAAACCCAGGAGCTGAGTCATCAAGCATCTTTCTTATGACCGGCTCGGGGCCTGCAAGAAATTTCAGCCTTAACTGGATTGATTACTACAACACATACCGTATGATAATGAGGACAGTAAATGAGCAGCCTCAATGCGTGTCTTTTCCCTCATAGATGAATCACCGCTTGGGGACCGTATACATGGAGTATCCTAGAGCATCCCTTACTTCAGTACTCGGGCAATTAACGATCGCTGCCACCGACTGCAACACAATGTTGGGATCTTGAGCAATGAGGTTCACTTTATTGACCGGATTGCCGATCAGCGAGTTCTTCAGAGCACGTAGACCTTCTAGCGTGTCAGAAGATGAGGATATAATTTCGAACTCTGATGTTTCCGTAGGTGTCACGGAGCCTGAGGTGTCCATCGCGTTCGACGATGGTTCGCCCTCATTCGGCAACTTCCTGAAATCACCCGACAGTCATCTCAAAAAAAACTCTTTACTAAATTTCAACTTGGAAATCCTCAGGGTTGCCTCGCGGCCAACGGATAGTCATTCTGTCTCATTGCTGGAGCCTCTCCAGAATTGTCGGCGGAGCTACCCGTTGAATTGAAAATTTGCATTCGCTGTCATTCATGGCAGTTCCGTCGGACTTCATTTTCACCCTCGACTCGGACAACGACAATGCACCAAATGAGGGCCCCGAGATAAGTGAGAAGGAGGAAGAGACCTTCTCTTCGAATGTTAACTCAACGAAGCGTCCGAGTAACGATTGGAAGAAAGTGAAGGTGACCACTGACGATGGAGCTTTGAAGGAGGAAGCCATGGACGATGAGCTTGGAGGATTAGATCCAAATTTCGTTTTTGATGTCGGGGGAGGTCTGGGTCTCTGGGAAATCTCTGCTATGGAGAAGGATGAGGTCAAAACGGCAGCAAACCGGCGAGTTAATAATTATTCCCTCCAAGGACTGCTTTCTCATGCTGAGAAATCTTTGCTTGCGTAGGCACCTATATCTGTGGACGACATTATTGCTAGAAAAGTGGCTTCAATACCTTCAAAAAGACCGCGTGATACAGAATCCAATTCTGACGAGGATTCAGATGAGGATAGGGAATCAGCTATAATTTCATTGGGTGAATCCGAAGGAGGTATGCTGCTCACCCGTTATGTTATCGCCATACTAACTAATGTAGAAGAGTCTGGCGTGATAGCACAGAATTATGAGGACAACTTCGACGACGATGACGACTCTGTTCAATCCTTTGACGGGACCGATCATGGAGGGGAGGACGGCGAGTCGTCTCACACTCTGTCTAGCGACGATAACGAGGTCAAAAGATATGAGATCTCAGATTCGTCTTCGGACTCAGACTCTGAGGAAGAAACTCAAGCGGAGAAAGACAGGAAAGCTGCATTCTTTGCTCCTGCCCCAGAGAGACCCAAATCAAAACCAACATCTTCCTTCGTTTCCTTAAACCTTTCTCGCCCGTTGCTCCGCGCCCTGAATCTACTTAACTTCACTACGCCTACGCCTATCCAAGCGACAACTATACCCATCGCTCTGGCTGGCCATGACGTTCTTGGTTCTGCTGTCACAGGATCAGGAAAGACAGCGGCTTTCTTAATACCTGTTCTTGAACGACTCATGTATAGAGAAAAAAGTGGTCCCAACTCAGGGGAAATTCGGGTACTTATCCTGGTGCCCACCCGTGAACTTGCTGTCCAATGTGCCGACGTCGGAAAAAGTCTGGCTAAGTATATGGACGTCACCTTCGGCGTGATGGTCGGTACGTAGGGTCAGCTTCACTCTTTTGACCCTGGTGACACTCTGTGATCTTGAAGGCGGACTTTCTCTGAAGGCACAAGAGAGTGTGCTCCGATCCCGTCCAGACATCCTCATAGCGACACCTGGACGACTCATTGATCATTTACAAAATACTGTCACATTCTCACTTCATGCTTTGGACATTCTTGTATTGGACGAAGCAGACCGGATGTTGTCGGATGGTTTCGCTGCTGAGCTACAGGAGATCATATCCGCATGTCCAAAGTCCGGCGCAGCAGGGGGTGTAGGCGGGAGGCAGACCATGCTGTTTTCCGCCACCATGACCGACTCTATTGATGACCTTGTCCGCCTGAGTCTGAACCGCCCTGTCCGGTTATTCGTGGATCCAAAGAAATCTCTTGCCCAAGGACTCATACAAGAGTTTGTACGAGTGAAACGAGAGGCTGAAAGAGAAGCTATTCTCCTGGTGATTTGCCTCCGGACGGCACGAAGGCGAACCATTGTCTTTTTCAGAAGCAAGAAACTTTGTCATCAAATGAAAATTGTTTTTGGATTGCTTGGGCTTTCCGCGGAAGAACTTCACGGTGACTTGTCGCAGGAGAAGGTGTGTATATACATTAAGCGAAGACTAACAGAAGATGACTCGTGTGTCCAGCGTCTCGAATCTCTTGGGCGGTTCAGGGAGGGAGCCGTTGACTATCTGCTAGCTACTGATCTTGCATCTCGTGGTTTGGATATTAAGGGCATGGAGACAGTCATCAACTATGACATGCCCGCACAGATTGAGTTATATCTGCATCGTGTGGGCCGAACAGCTCGTGCCGGCGAGAACGGACGGTTGGCAGCTATCTTGTTCTTGGTTCTACTTTTACTTACCTTCTCGCCCTTGAAGGTCCATCTCACTCGTTGGTGAAGACGATCGGAAGATGCTCAAAACTGCCATCAAGCGGAGTCCTGAAACAGACATGGTTAGACACCGCCTTGTCCCGAATGATGCCGTCAAAAGTATGCATGCCAAACTTGTAAAACTCAAGCCGGACGTGTCAGCCGTGCTCAAGGAAGAGCAAGAGGAGAAAGACGTAAGTGGGCACAATTCACGACGGTGGCTGGATCTTAGTTACATTATTAGCTTCGACGTGCGGAGATGGAGCTGAACAAGACCCAGAACCTGATTGAACACGAAGAGGAAATCTTTTCGCGGCCGAAAAGAACATGGTTCATATCATCAAAAGAGAAGGAAAAGGCTGAAAGTCTGTGCACCCCTCTGCCGACGGCAGCTGGCACTAATAGTATTCTATAGAAATCAGCAGGCAAGAATACGAGGTCACAGTTGCCAATGACAAAACGAAAGTAGCGCAAAGCGGACCCTCAACATCGAGATCGAAGCAAGACAAATTCGCTGGGTTATCCCGCCGTGCCAAACGACGGAAACTTGCATCGGAGACGGACAAAAACCCCAGTGATCGAGCTGCCGTCGATTATGCCATTCGCAGCGCGAAGAAAGCAGCGAAGCCGCAGAAGATATGGGCCCCCGAAGGTTCGAAAATGCAAGGGCGGAAAACGGACAAGAAAAGAAAACCATCAGTCAAGACTCGCGTCCTTGGGAAGGGATCTAGCTTTTCCAGGGACATGGGCTCCGGAATAGCTCCGCAATGAATGAAGGTGTTCGAGCGAAGAAAGGTGACGGGGGTGGCTTGGGTGGGAAGAAAGGAGGGAAAAAGGGAAGAAAAAAGGGGAGAGGGCGGCGATAGCGCCACTTATCTTTTCATAATGGGTATGAATCCAGGTCCAGTTATAGAGCGATTTGACTATGTCTACAATATCTTACATCCCTATGACTATATTACTAAGCACCGTCAGTCTACAAGTCCAGCCATTCCCATGGTTATGCAGCAATGCCAGCACTGGGTCGATGTTAAATTAGAAGGCAGCAGCGTGTCGTTGCCCTCACGGATTGTGCGACTTCGTGAATGCACGTTGCGAATTTCGCTCACTGGTCAATCGATCATGTTGAGATTCGTCCACGCCCGAAATACCCACGATAGACCTGAAGAAAATGGTATGATTTGCGTGTACTAAGATTAGGGAATGGATATTTCCCAGCTTGACGTATAGGCGCCCGATCCTAAAAAGGCATTCATCCGGAAGCAGATTTCTGGGCCTTCTGGCGTTACTGACCTTCCCATCGCTCCCCACACAGGGTAAGTATGCCTTCCTGAGTATTCAAGATTGCTTTTGGGTGCTCTGGAACGTCTTAAGGACTTGCTGGACATGCTTGGAAGTTTGGAACCGTGTTTGTTGGCTTGGATGCACATTTCCGCAACCAGATGCAACTCGAACCCAACTTTGTGTCTGCATTTCTAAACTATCCGAATGCAATATTAACACTGGCACTTCTTCCATCTAGTCTGACAGGATGACTTTCAGCAAGAACAATGGTTAGAGATGCCTTCAGTTGCTGGTTGAATCTTTCGGGTTCTGAATTTAATTGGCTCACTTTCAGTCCTCCACAATAACCACTTCCATAAGGATTGGCAGCGCCGTGTCCGTACATGGTTTAATCAAGCCGGTCGCAAACACCGCAGACGTCAGGATCGTCAAACAAAAGCAGCCCGGCTCGGCATTCGCCCACTCCAGTTACTCCGTCCTGCCATCCGCCCCTCCACGATTCGTTACAACATGAAAATTCGCGAAGGTCGCGGATTTACACACGCTGAGCTGAAGGAGGCCGGTGTCAATTACAGAGAAGCTAGGGGGATTGGTATTTGTGTCGATCGCCGCAGGAGGAACCTCAGCGAGGAAGGCAAAAACCTCAATGTCGCTCGCTTGAAGGACTACAAGGCGCGATTGATTGTCTTCCCCAAGAATGCCAAAAAGCCGAAGAAGAATGAATCAACTGGCGATGATCTCAAGGCCGAGACAACTCGCGCTCCTCTTCCCCTCCCTCCTGCTGTTGAGCATGAAGCTCCTCGCAAGATTACTGATGAGGAGCGTGCGTTCAAGGCTGCTAGGACCCTGCGCATTGAGCATTCCAAGGCAAAATATGCTGGAAAATTGGCTATACGCAGACAAAAGGTGTGTTTCACACTGAGCTTGAGCATGATTCGGCACTCTCATTGATCTGCTTGCTCGTTTTCAGAAGGAGGAAGAGGAAGCCAACAAGAGGAAGTAACCGTCCCTCCGCCTTCACTTGCTCGCTATGTCCATTCCTTTATGCACATGCCAACCCTCTACTCTCCATTTGTATATGGGCAATTGCAATGCTGCGATTATATCTACACTCCAATATCTACTGCATTATTTCTATCGCCAGTTTTGTCTGTTACCAACACTGTTAATGCCCCGGAAATCTTTCAGTCACGTCTTGCCCGAATCAGTGCCTCGCTGAAGAGGTATGTATAGTCACAAAATCAGGTGTTGCGCAATCAGATACCAAAGGAAGGACATGATACGCTTGGTACCAAAGTCAATGAACAGTCTATCAAAACTAAGACAATAAACTGAAATTGATGGCGCATGGCCGTCGACGCCACTTGCCTGATATAATTTAGTGCAAGGCTGAATGTCACTGACATCATCCTGGCTCGGTTAACGTTGTGACGAGCGACTCAAAACGTTCAATGTCACTCGTTAAGGACGTTCTTCATCCCTTATCTTATGCGGCGCGCAACACTACGCCGTTGGGTAACATTGTTGAGCTCACTTTCAGTTCTCTCGACGGAGAAGCCGTTGTGAAATCGATTATCGATTCCGTGAAAGATAACGCTTCAGGAGCGATTGGAGTTTTTATCGGAACTACCAGAGATAACTTCCAAGGTACATGTGGTGCTTAATTACCCGGACGATGTAACAACTAATCTCACGCCCACCTTGCACAAAACGAAACAATTTTAGGGAAAACTGTGGTACGACTGGAGTACCAAGCTTATACATTACTCGCTATGAAAACTCTTTCGTCTACCGCTGACGCTGCCTGCACTGCGTCGTGCCTGAATATTGCGGAGTCATCTGTTTCTGAACAAAATTCTGTCGATCCTGCCTATCAGCACGAGCATAACCAGCCATCGAACAGACAGATCAAATGCGCAATCGTTCACAGGTTGGGTGACGTTCCTGTGGGCGAGACATCGATTGTGATCGCAGTGTCCACTCCGCACCGACGCGAGGCTTTCGAGGCATGCGAATGGCTACTTGAAGAAGTAAAGAAGAAGGCGCAGATATGGAAGAGGGAGTGGTACGCTGGTACTGAAGGCGGCCGTAGTGACGGAGCAATCGTGGCGAAAGACGGTGCAGCAGTGAAAATGGCAGGAGATCCTCCGCCGCAATCTCTCTGGAAAGCCAATTTTCCACCAAAGCCCCATTGCGGATAGCTGGTCGTCCCCAGATTCTTGGCCATGCGCCGCGGAAGCTAGAAAATAAATCAAGCTTTTATCGATGGTCGAACATCTTTTCGGCGAGGAGAGAGTGCACAATCTTTCGTGTGAACAATTGCTTAATTCGACATGATGTTATACCGTCCAACTGACGAGTAATGACACCACCAGGCTTGGGTGTGCGCGCCTGACGAACTTAATCCGATTGCTTGGTCAGCCCCCTGACGCGCTCGACACCCCCATGTTGTTGTAGCCCTTGCGGTATCCCTGCTTCCAGCAGTTTTTCATACTGCAATTGTATCAGGAGCGCCTGCACTATGTGCCATGTACATGCATCGTGTTCAGAGACCACACCTTATACTCCCCGCCACTTCAGATTAGACTGCAACACTTGCCAGTATCCGCCTACATCAGTATGCATTGATTATTCGACCTGTGCCTTTTGTACAACCGTTCCACACTCATAGTAATGTGCAGAAGCTTCTTTAAACGCGCACCAAGGTTGCGCGAGAAGATCCTCTGTCCCTGATGTTCCAATGATAGCGCACCAGCGACATAATTGACAATGCCATTCGAGCGACTAGACCGTGCAGTGGCACGGCAGCCGGTGGTAGACTTGAAGTGATAGTAGCTTCATCTCAACCCTCTGTTCCTCCTAACAGGCCCAATGACATGGTAGTAGCCACTTTGGGACGTCTAGCAAAATTAGCAGCCAAACGATCGGACACTCAAGTAGTTGGTTGTTCCACATCTCTGTGTATGCCGACCGTAGCATTCACTGACATGACATAGATATGGATGCACTACTCCCGGTGTTCGTTGAACTATGAGGTACTGGTGTTGAGCTGCCAAGGGCTCAGTCCCTTGCCATAAATGGAACTATAAAGTGCGAAATTGATTTGCAGACAAGATGACGTATGGAGCCCTTGAGACGCACCCAGAGATGTCTTCCCAAAAACACTGGGAATGAACAGACATCATGCTGCAGGGCGCTGTTGTCTTCCTGGAGTTATGGGAGGGCAACACGCCGCAGAAGATGAATTGATGGGATTCTGAGTGATTATTGTTGTGAAAGCTCGAGAGACAGTTTATACTCCTCCCAGAACGGGTTGGTGACTTGCGTGAGCATTTTCCCGGTTCAACGGGGGGATGAACCAAAAAGTAAATATTGTGGGCACTGAATCTTTTGCTTCAATCATTCTTGTGAATAGATTTGCAAAACCACACAGTCCGTGCAACCGTGATTTGGGGCACGCACACGCAAAGTAGCAGGAGCGGGGCGAGGAGAAAGCAGAAAATTTCTCCTAGCAACCAATATTGTGCATGGCGTTCCTTAACGAACCACACATACCTTCCTTATTTCTCAAAGTTGATAGACAACATATCTGCCGCCTTGGTGGAGACAAGCTTGCCGTGAATAAAACTAAATCTAGTACGAGCGCAGCAATGCATAAGCGCCAGATGCGGTTGACCGGGCTATGAAGAAACGGTATTATGTACGGCAAACGCCGTTAACACCGAACGACGGACTCATCTTCTACCCGTGTCAGTCCCAACCTCCTTGCCCATTGCGCACCTAAAGCTTACCCGCCCTTTATTGCAGTGATAGAATCTGCTTGAGGCTGCAATATCACTAAAAGTCTTCTCTAATCATTCAGAGCATATCAACAATGAACACTCCTGAATACGACTACCTGTTCAAGCTCTTACTCATTGGCGACTCGGGCGTCGGAAAGTCTTGTCTACTGCTCCGCTTTGCAGACGACACATATACCGAGAGCTACATCTCTACCATTGGCGTCGACTTTAAGATTCGCACCATAGAACTGGAAGGGAAGACTGTCAAGCTGCAAATTGTGAGTTCATCCTCTCTAAACAGCAAATGCTGTTGGTGTTGTGTGATGGTGTACCTTCAAGTGATAGGCGCACATTCGGTACCCCTCACGCCACCAGTGCTATAAGCATAAACTTTGCGTTACTCAGCTTCTCTGATATGGAACTAACTTGAACCTCTTTCTCCAGTGGGACACAGCAGGTCGGTTTTCATGAAATTAGATTACAGTGATGATAATCATCTGGAAACGGTTGCACACAGGTCAAGAACGCTTCCGAACCATCACGTCATCGTATTACCGCGGTGCACACGGGATTATTGTTGTGTATGATGTGACGGACAATGGTACGTGGTTTCCATCCCGCCTCAACTTGTTATACCCATTCATAGCGGCATTGTAATTGCATAGACACATTCACAAACGTCAAGCAGTGGCTCCAGGAAATTGATCGATATGCGTCTGAAGGAGTGAACAAGCTCCTGGTTGGAAACAAGTCGGATTTGACGAGCAAAAAGGTTGTGGAATACACCGTTGCTAAGGTATTTCTGTATGGATTCTCCTTTCCTCTACTCAGCTATTCTGACGCTTTCCTTTGTGTGCAACTCCAGGAATTCGCCGACCAGTTGACCATTCCTTTCCTTGAAACCTCGGCGAAGAATGCAACTAACGTGGAGCAAGCCTTCTTGACTATGGCTAAGCAAATCAAGGACCGGTGAGTTCCTTTCTGTTCATTACACCAAAGTAAAGATGCTGAGTGTTTAACCTCAGTATGGGGTCGACCTCCACACCAGCTGGCGCTAGCTCGAAGGCTAGCGTGGTCACTCCTGGCCAATCGGTGGCTCCATCGAGCTCCGGAAGCTGCTGCTAAAGACATTGGTATCCGCTCATGCACGGACACATTTCGTGACTGGTGTTGCATGTGTTGTTGGCAACAACCTACATACAGCCCCGCTTTCATGGGTTTCTTCATTCATTCTTGCTTTCTCGACCCCCAATGTTTGAATAATATTCTTTTATTTTCTATTCCATGAAAACCCTGAACCCGGTCGAGCCAAAGACCCCTTGAATATCCGAACTTCCGCAATAGCGGTTCAGCAGAGACTCTGAAATGACCTCACGTGGCTCCCTCCTGTCACGCTTTTACCCTAGTACTTTAGTTATGGCCTCACCAACACACACCATTGAGGCCGCAGTCTCAAATCCAGAAGATACTACTTACCATCCTAAGGCTACCGTTGAAACGGCAGCGACCGCCGGACTCAAAGGAGCGGGGGTAGGACTGCTCGTCAGTGCTGTGCAGAATGCCCTCGATTCACACAATCGCGGGGCTGCAGGCGTTTTCACTCGTACTGGTGGAACGATAGGGTTTTTTGGTACGCCACCAAACATTCAGTGAACTGGTGATTTGAGCTAAATATTGGTACAATGCCCGTGTTATTGTCACCTTGAACAGCTGGAATGGGAGCCGTTTTCGCCTTCACTGACTCATATACTGCAAACGTGCGGCAGGTTGACGACCCATTAAATGGTGTTGCTGGTGGTTGTGCCGCCGGATTCCTTGCTGGGATACGAGGTGCGCAATGGCTTCCAGCTTTGGTTTCAATCGGCCAATCTGCTTCTTACACCCTCTCTTAATTATCTATTTCTTTTCAGCACGATCACTTCCCATTGCCATAGGTTCATGTGCTTTTCTTGGGGCTACTATCGGGGCACTAGATGTCAATGGTGGAAAACTATCAGGTGATGGACGGGATGCTGATTCCAAGGAGGCAAGAGAAAAGCGGCGACAAACATTTTTCAAGCAACCACGGAGTCCCGCCGAACCTGTAACGACATCTGAGTAGTGCCCTAACTTATATACATGCTGAGAGCAAGCGAGGGAACGGACACAACATACTTTTAACATCAACAGATGAAGTGAGAATTGGAAATCCTGCTTTTGGGAGCGAAAAAACGCATCTCATTTATGTAAAGCAATTTATTTGCGCCTCCATCCCTTTAAATAGATCAAAGTGGTAATAATAAAGCCGTACCCAACCCTCAGCGTCGTGATTTGAATGCTATGGAAAGGAGCGTGTCACTCAAGAGGGTTGTACAAGAACAAAATCACTGGCACTGACAAGTGTAGCGAAATTTTCCCAACTTGAAACATTCTCGTGAAGATCCGTAGGTAGTTCGCGCGAGGCGACCCATGCCATGGCCGCTTGGAGATCTTGACGAGTAAACCCGGGCAACGGGGCGGTGATAGATATGTCCGGTGTGGCAGACTTCGGGAGAGGGCCGTCCAACATGGTCGCACCACTCTCAGGCCTCCCATTGAGGGAAGACATTTGCGCCCCAGCGTTTTCCGAGCTTGATCCAGGCTTTGTTGGTGGCTTGGAGTGCACATGTCCGTGCCCGTCGCTGCGGCGTCGTTTGACAGTGTTCGGCTGATATAATTCAAAAGATCGGACTCTTTTCAGCGCCTGAGTACTCAGCGGATCTGGAGGTGGGGAGCGCCACTTGGGGGCGGAAGGCAAGAGCAAGGCAGATGCTTTTCGTGGCTGTTGTGAACGTATACTGGCCTCTGCTTTGTAGTAAGCTTTGCGAAGCTGATATCTGCTTCTCCACCCAACAACAGTTCGAGAGGTGTGCTATAAATTTGAGAGGACGTTGAGCATTTCAAAGCTCACCCAAGACTTGATAGGAATGAACCTCTCGCTGAAATTCTACCCACGCATTCCCAGGAATGGTTTCCCCCTGCTTACCAATGAAATCAATCAACGAGTCTTCTTCTTCCTTCGTATACGGCCTCAGGCGTGCCAAAGTACCATTGTAGGTGTGAGAATGGCTTTCGTCGCCGTCGTTGTAGTCGTCGTAGTCGTCGTTGCGATCGTCTTCAAACTCATCCTCATCGGGCCCACCATTTTTTCCAGGGGATTTCATAGGAAACAGCTCGGGATGTCGACGAGCGAGCGCATTCCATGCGCCTGGGGATCTGTGTGGGTGCTAGAGGGAGGAAACCATCTCAGTAGTCATAGATGCAGAAATTTATTCGACGCACCAACTCGGCATACCTCTCCCATAGTGCAGATGCACTCGACCTATCTTTGGAAATATTGCACGCCCAATACTCTTTCATGGATCGCTTTTCTTCGTCCGTGAATGCGAAACCTCGACCTCGAATCGACGGTGGGGGCTCGATACCAGATGTGGATCCGGTATTAGGGGCCCCTGAATGCATTATCATAAGACTTTACACAAAGTTGTCGCCAACTCATAGTGAAGTATTGAGCGTACCATTGTGCTGTGTTTTCCCGTTGGGCGTTCTGTGTATAACGACCTCCACGTTCCGATTCAGTTTGGCATTCGACGTTGTAGCATCAGACGACTTTGATCGTGTCGCGTCCTTCGCGACCAAATCGGGAGACTTCTCGGACCTGTACGCCTGGATTTGCTGATCGAAGTAATCCTTTTTAGTAGTATAATATTGCTCCCAAGCTCCAGCTGTTCGGTGCGGATACTAAGGATTCAGGAATTAACAGCTTCAAACAGGAACGTCTCGCGAGACACTGACTTTCGTGTGGAAGTTTTCCCATACCGTAACTTGGCTTCCTGGAGGATCTGTAGCAAGGTGGCGTATCAAACCGAGATCTTCCTCGGGAGTGGTCCCTTCATCTGTAACTGCGAAGTTTCAGAGGGTTTCGCTGAGATACTCTCCTCAGATGGACGGCGGAGACCCCTCAGTAAATCATCGTAACGATCGCGAGCCCGAGCCAGAGTGCGAAGAATATCCGCCTTCTCTCTCACTCTGGTGCCAGGACCGTTGAGGTCTATCCAGAACGACTCTTTCTTGTCTGCATCCTGAGTGAATCGTTAACTGGGACAGAACCTTGGCATTGGACCGACCAGATACTCGCCTCCAAAGCGCACAAGCTGTACACGTCCTCCCAAGGACGCGAAGAGTCTTCAGATAGCAGGTGTTTGGCAGCCGCAAGGAAGCATCGACCATCCGCGTTGACTGCAATCTCGGAGCCGTCTTGAAACTCGCTGGCGTCATTAACAAGCATTCCACAGTAGTTTTCGAAGCCCTCTCGCGACAACAGAAGAATATGGTTCAAACACAGTTGTATCTTGTTGTGCGACACACAGTCATCGACCCAACTAGGAGCGAGAACTACAGTGTCCAACTGTCCCGATACCACGAACTCGAGTTGATCACTCGACATTTCACTTCCAACAATCACAAAGTTTGCCGTTTCTGGAGAATCCACGACGGTTCCCCCGTTTTCCTAGCCACCCACCGTCAGGTCGTGCGTCATGAAACATTGTGCGACCACCCTTACCTTGATAGTTCGAACCAATTCGGTGTAGCCATCGATACTGGGGTGTACCCACAACTCCAGATTATCGCCATTGTCTTGTTTGAATAGCAGCGGTGTTGGGCCATTGTGCTGCAGACTCGAGGACTCCATGCCAGTTGTCGAAGTCGCGTGATGAACTTTCGTCAGGGAGCAAATTCAGCTTGTGGGGGCGTTTGTTATTTGGTACAAATAGAGGCGTCAGTTGACAACAGGGAAGTTCAGGCATCAAAATGTTGACCCTGTGCAGCTGTCAACGCGGGCTGGCAGGCACCCAATAAATTGTACGTGCTAGCATTCAATATGCCGAGAATTGCTAACGCCGATCGTGGGAAGCTATCGAGTGCATAATTTCCCGTCATCAGTCAGCATTCTCTCTCCTCACCATGCGACAGCAGTGTTATGTGGTGTCGAGGGGCGATGGGGTGGTGACTACGCTCTCTAACACATCGGAGCATCGCTTGAGCTGTCTAGCTTGCATTTCTCCCCAAGTCTTGTGTACATGCCTTTGTAATATCTCATGAGTGCAATCTGATTGCTACCACAGTGATCAAATGGATCGCTAAGTACGGTGTGTAGGTTGGCGAGGGCGACGGTTTTCGATCCGAAGCCTTGACAAGCCGATCGTCGTCTCCTGGCATCGATCCACCTCCGACCTCAAACCTTTTCACCATGAGGCCTACTGATCGATTTGAATGGGTTTCCTTGTCCATTTCTGGGTAATCTGCGTAGATTTGTCCCAGTAATCCCAACCTCCGCCGAACGCCATCACATCCAACAGCCTAGATATCTGAAGTCTACTGGCTCGAGGTCATCAAATCATCTGGGTGAATTTATCGAGCCTACACTGTGCGTCTGACTTGCTGTTTGATGTCTATCTTTGCATGCGCGAAGACTGCATAGATGAGTGGGTGTCATCGAGATGGCTTGCGCCTTGGCCATTGTCATTCATCGGCAGGATCGTAGTTGCACAGTTGAATAGTAGTCAGAGGTTAAAACAAAAGCCAAAGATGAAGTGCAGCCAGTGGCGTCAGACACGTAGAACAGAGGAAGAAGGGTCAAGGATTGTCAATCCGGTACTCTATGCCTTGGAAGAAGTCGAATCTGCTATAGTAGTACTGAACCCACCCCTCAGCTTTATGGGAGGTGTGCTGCTCAAGAAGTGTACACAATGTGAGCCTCCTCGTTTAGCCATATTCATTTACATTTACGTACCGTTTCCGCAAATGTCTTCCAGCTGTCTATATTTTGGGTCAAATCTCTCGGGCGTTGACGGGTAGCCACCCACACGATAGCGGCGGCAACGTCCTCGTGAGTGAAGTGGGATAGCGAGGTATTCCCGGTTAGCGGAGCATTGTTCCCAACCGCAGTGAGAAAAGGTGTGTCAGATCCGGGAACAGGAATCTGAGTATGAGAAGACGCTGTTGTCGAGGCTGACACGATATCGTTACGTGCACGTTTGCTGGGGGCTGCATCTACCGGATCCAGAGGCTGAAGTCTTTTAAGGGCCAGTCGAACACTTCCACCTCCAGCGCCTAAATGTGATGATGGGTCCGACCGCCGTCTAGGAGGGGAGTTTGATGGTGTATAGGACTGGGTATCCGCACCGTTACAGACGCTGTTGTGATCGACAGGTCTGTTCGGGTAGATCTGACTCTCATAACGGCTACGCCAACTCCATTTACTCCTCGACGGATGCTGGAACGTCTCAACGTCTAAATTCATTGCGACTGCAGCGTAAAGATACTTACGTTATTGCAGAAGCCATCCCATGCTTTCGCATCAATCGCAGGGGGATAACCCAACTTTCGCCCAAGACGTCTGAGCAGCTCATCCTCTTGCTCTGTGAATGGACCCATCCTCATTTTTGGAGGGGACCGAGGAGCCTTCCCTGAGGATGAGGAATCCGACTCGGACTCTTGGGTAAGTTTATTGTCGTCGTCCTCGACACTGCCACTGGGACGAATCCCGATTAGATGAGCGGAACGAAGGGCTTGGCCGGACCACGACGCAGAAGAACGGGTCGGATGCTAAAAGTACGAGGTTGCGATAGTCAGATAGGTGCATACACAAAAGGGACAATCGACTGTACGCACGAGTTCCGCAAATCGCTCCCATAGTTCAGAATGATCAGGGTACTTATGTCGGTTTTCCTGGTAGAACTCCTTCATAGCACGAATCTCTTCCTTAGAGAGAGAATGGCCTCGTCCAGTTCGCCTGCCCAGCGCAAGCTTTCGCTGGGTTCCTAGCCCTTTGCCACTGGTTTTACCATGTACTCCAGCGTCGGACTCGCTTGACGAAGACGAAGACGAAGACGAGCTGCTGGAATGAATTCCCACTTCTTCACCCTCGGTCCTCATGTAGCGCTTCACTTCATTGGTAAAGTAATCTTGATGCCCGCGATGATATTCCCGGTATGCAGGCACGCTACGCTGGGATGGCTGCAAAGGTTCAGCGGCTGGTTTATGGGTGGAGCCCAGGTGTGCAGTACCTTCCAGTGGAAGCGCTTCCATAGGTTGTCCCCTGTCAAATCGGGATGTAATGCTATGTGTTTCACCATCGCGGAAAGCTCTTTGTCGGAGTAGGCCTTCCATGGACGTCCGGAACGAGGAGCGGCGAACTTTCGAGGACTTGTAGATAGAGAACCTGATGGTCTTGATGATTTTTTTCCAGACCCATACGACGATTGCTTTATTCCTTTTAGAACCTCATCCATCTGACTGCGAAATGGTTTCTGAGCGTGGTTCAACGCCAGCCAATATTGATATGGGCGATGTTGACTCTATATGAAGGCAATCAGGATACGAGAGCTGAAAAATGATTACCGATGGAGTTACAAACGTTGTCGGCGCACCAATCATACAAATCATTCCATGGCGCGTGAGGCTTGACAGCGTAAAACAGTGGGGCGGCCCATAACATGAACTTCTCGTCTTCGTCCTTCGTTTCGGTCGAAGGCGGCGAGCTGCTGAGTTTCGGGCGAGGAATCGATGCAGGTATAACCTCTTCATCTTCACTTTCCTCCGAGTTTTGTTGTTCCGTTTTTCCTGGCCCAACGCCTTTTCCTTGACCTTCTTCGTCTTCATCTGTAGGTCTCCAAATAATGTACTCCTCGAGGTCCCTTAAGGATTGACCCTCAATGCAATCGTTCACCCAGTTAGGTGAAATTCCAACAGTGCCGTCGGGATCGTCTTTTAGCACTGAATACTCGCCCTCGGGCATACTCTGGGAGATGATTGCCACATACGCTGAGCCAATTTCATGCACGATTGTGCCACCGTGGTTCTGCCCGTAAATCAGTCAGGAGCATAAATGCAGATATAGGCGCTGACCTTGATATTATTGACGAGAATCGCCCTGTTCGGTAGATCTGGATGTACCCAGAGCTCGTAGCTATCCCCATTCTCATGGACAAAGAGAGATCTGGAAGGCACCGTAGCCTCGAGTGATGGAAGGGATGGTTGAGCGCTGAGAGCTGCAGGAGTTCAGAGCTGGTAAATTGAGGAAACGGTTGACTAACGTTGATTTATTGGCACTGAGTTGTGACGAATTGCCTCATCTTCGGCCATGTTTCGCGCACTCTGGGGCCCAACAGCGATAGAGGCTGACACCTAGAGCGGCAGTCTCCGACCCGAATTAGCTCCACCTGGAATTTACGAACTGACATGACAGCAATGTTGACGTGGCAACCCGACGTGGCGACCCGACGTGGCGCAGTGACGAGGTTGGGCCATCAAGCACCTATTACCGATGTGGCGCATCAAAGCATACAAACTGTAACCGCCTGCACTGGCAGCGGGATGTCCACCCTCATTACTTTACTCTAACTCCATGTTGTTTGCTATCTTGTACCCTTTGTTCTGGCTGCCCACTCAAATAGATATATAAGCACCAGCGACTTGACCAGAGTACGATATCTACCTATCAACTTGATATCGCACTCAGGCCTGCTTGGTCATGTACTTACAAATATCTAACTATTGATATCGCACTCAGGTATCCGCTGCTGGCTGATATATAGCAAGTAAACGCACTGACGATATTCTTGCAGCGAGTGCCCAGCAGAGGTGTGAGTAATTAGCCTCCATCACGGGTGGACGTCATATCTCTTGTGGCTTGTGATTGTGCATTTACATGATGTGGAACTGTACAGTCCTGGCTTACTTATATCATATAGTGAAACGACTTAGTTCTCGAGTACGAGACACCTTTTCTGACTGTTGTTTAAAACAGTGAAGCGCTAGGAGGCATGAGTCATTTGATAGTAGCTAATTCTATAAGCTGTAAGCCACCCAGTATGTTTACCGGGCCTTTTATATTCCGATCATGAATTGTTGGGAAATATCTGGGGGTTTCCACGCAGCCCAAGAAGCTCGTGCAGAAGTTCAATCATTTGTTGAATTTTGCAACTTTCATCGTCGATCGCGCTATTTTTGGATCGCTGCTGTTGACATTCCTAAACGACTTCTCAGGATGGTGATGCCTTGGAGGCATTCAACAAGCTTAATTAACGAACTACACCCCTTATACCGATCAATAATGCTAGAGGAGTGGAGAAACTGTGATAGCTTGATGGATAAATTACTCACTATATATGCGAGGAAATGATGTCAAGACAAAAGCCTCGGGACCGTTCGCGTTTGCACCAGCGATGCCTGGGCACCAACTAGGCGATGCATAAAAGGACCCCAACGGACACAGTTGGATATGCACATTGCACATCCTACCGCCTCAGCGGCCCTACCCTAACAGTTTCACGCTCTACACGTTCTGCCATTCTGGCGGCTGCTTCGTGGGCCTTTTTCACCATTTTCTGCTTACGATCGTAATGAGCCTTGGCCCCGTGCTGCAAACGGGTTATAATGTTTGCAGCCTGCCCTTTGGTCAGGTTCCTCAAGCCGCCTGTCCAAGCACCAGGATGAGTTGGGAGTTCGATGGACTGGGAGGCAGCTGCATTGTCCATTTTGAACCTTTTTTTGAGATATGCAAGCTGGCCTTCCGTGGCAGGGTCCCTTCTCCACTTAGCAGAATGTAACAGACTGAAAGGAATGTGAGTCGACGATTAAAGTTGCACGCGTTCAACCTACCCAAGCTGCATTGGTCCATATACAACCCTGGTTCTAGCATAAGTGTCACAGCCCTGGATGGCTCGTTCCAAAGTATCCGCGGTGAGAACATTCCGTCTGCTGCGAAAGCGTGTCGCCAGCCCGATGGCTTTGGCTTCCGACCACTTCATCGATGCAGCAGTGTAGTGCGCAACATAATGGGAATCTCCGTTGGTTCGCGCAGAAGGAGATATCTTAATGTAACCCCGACCCATACACTCAAGGACGTAGTGGCCCCCTCCGCAGGCTACCCAAACATTCTTACTCATTTTCGAAATGTGTGGGTCTCCTGAGGCATCGTCAACGAGTGACCAAGGGTTATCGTAGTCAATGTATGTGACGGATTTGGGTTCAGGGACGTCGTTCGGGGGAGATAGTTGGACCTCCTTTGTCTGCTGTGCCAGGCTCTCCAGATCTTCGGTGGAGTTGTCTTGTATGACGGCTTGAGCGTGTTTCTTATATGAAGACCAAGATGCGCACCTGTCACCTCAGTATCGGGGCTGAGCCCGAACAGTGTAGGAGCAGAGACTACGCCACTGACGTGACACATGGTGTCGACGAAATCGATAATGTGACAGTCTTTTTTGAGCGTTTCCGGAGATAATCTCATTCCTCTTCCAATCTAAGGGCCAATCAGGGTCGGTATTGGAGTAGAATGAAACGCATACCATCTGGGCAAAAACATTTTTGGATCGTGTGGGACGAGCGACAACAACACAATCAATATTGGGAATATCGGCTCCTTCCGTCAAAATCGCTGTTGATGGGTGCGTCATCGAGCCCTGCGATTGGCATCACTGGACATACACTAACCGCAATTCACAAGAACTGGGAATTCACCCCTCCTAAAGCTGTCTAAAAGCGCTTTGCGCTCGAACTGAGGTGTCTTCGAGTACAGATATCGTGCGTCTACTCCGGCTTGGCGAAAGGCATTTGTCAGGCCGTGAACATGTGCAATATTGACACAGAAAACAAGCGATGAACGACGGTTTGCTGTGCCGCCCTATCAGCCAGTGTCAGGAAATTACTCAAATGAGAATGCTCTCGCCTGCTCTATCAAGCCAACTTTGAACCACGAGTTTATTAATTGATGAGGTATTAATGACATGAGCTAGTGACCGAGCGTTGAAGTCTCCCGTTCCCGAATTTATGCTGACCCTAGACAAATCAACCTGCGCTTTGACAGATGTGAATCGTACCGGGCATAACCTATATCCAGTGAGTGGGGTACTTAAAGAATCTCATTAGGAGATGTACACGAACCAGTTGTCCCGGATCATCTCAAGGAAGTCCCTATGATATACGATACGCTCAAAGATAGAGCCAAGTGCTACACCGTCATGGCGACTGAACGTAGCAGAGAAGCCTACTATGGGAACCTTCAAGCCTGATGAGGCCTTCGACTCCGTTTCCGAACCATCTTCTACGATTCCGTGGTGGAAATGTGACAGAAGCCTTCGGTAACTACAAGGCAAACGGGAAATGGAGGATAAGAATCGTTAGATGGCAACTTACGATGGTGCCGCGGCATGATGAGCCTCGTCAATGATCACGGCCTTCAGTCTCACGGGATCAAATTTACGTATTCTTTCGTCTCTCAGAAGGCTCTGGTAAGTAGCAACGGTGACGTCTGCGGACCCCGATGCTCGATGGTGCTGGCCTTGCTCTATATCTACAGACACGTCTGGAAGTATCCTGTGGACAGTGTCTGCAGCCTGTCGCGCAAGCTCAATTGAATTGACAATAATCAGGGAGCGACTTGCGTTCGGACGCTCAGGAGAAGGCGTGAGGCGAGATATCAAAGAGACAAACATGGTCGTCTTCCCGGAACCTGTCGGTGAAGACACACCAATCCGTGAGTATCCAGCTCTCAGAGCATCTAGACATGATTCGATGCACTCCTCCTGGTAAGGTCGGAGTGTTAAGTGCGCTTTGGCTGAGAACCAACGTCGGAGAAGCGGGAGGCAATTCATGAATCAGGATGCCAGCTTCTGACTCAGATTTCTGGAATTGTCCGAATGCTCTCGGAGATTTGATAACAATAATTCGAAGCACCTTTGTTTTGACCTTTTCTTACTTCACGAAAGGATTGGGGCCAGAGGATCTACTAATCCTGTGGCTCAGACGTCACCTCCTGGGTATGTTGGAGCGCTGTGTTACTGACACAGTCAACTTTGGACTGCTCCGCTAACATACCTTAACCTCAAGGCATTTGAATGGTCTCATTAATGGCATACGGTTCCCTCATCGGGTATCTTCCACACTGCAAATTCCTCATTGTTAGCTCGTGTCATGGCGGCCTTGCGGCAAAGTCCACAACGGACCAATTCAACCCGCCTGAATTGGCCACGACACTACGGCCTTTGAACAAGCACTTTTAAGACCATCACATAGGTTGCTATCTTGAACATTGGTCCTTTGCTGCTTGCTATGGAGCACCATCGTGCGTAGTTACGTATCCTATGTGAACGTCGTCCTGATACTTGGCTCGTCATCGCAGCCCCCCTTCCTACACCTCTTAGGCGTCAGCCCGCCCCTGATGGGGGTTCCCCATTGCCCAGAGATGTGGGAGTCTCCGATTCCCCAAGTCACCTCCGACCAGCCACGCTAAGACTCCTCATCAATGATGTTGCGCAATCTCGGCAAGAAGCTTTGAGGACCCCTCGATCCGCGATTATCGAGGATCGGTGAGAGACTTTCTCTGTCTTCCTGCACTGTTCACTAAAGTGACGGGCTGAACAGTGGATGGCCGGGGTTTCCATTTCCTCAGCAGCAACAACATGGTGCTAATATTGCTTCACTCCTTGGCGACATTGCGCAACGAGATGAGGATTATTTTCATTCCAGCACTCCCGTGCATCCACCGTATGTCAGAGTGAATGGTGACTAGAAGTGCTGCGGTTGCTAATCATCATTCTCGTGCTAGTCTGACCAGCCGCCCGGATTTTCGAAAGCCGTCGACAATCCATGAGCTCAGACACTTGCAGAAAAACAGCCCGTTGAACTCTCCAGTTGAAGCAAATTCGGAGTTAGACAATCGCTACAAGCGTATGTGTGGTGATGCTGTTGTGAGGTAAGCTAGCTGATTTGTTTCTGGTTCCAGCCCACACGGATGCTCTCCAGGAGACTGGGATGGACGCTTTCGTTGGATTTGAAAGGTATAGGCGACGGAGCTCCCGTTCTTTCGTGAATTGACCAGGGTCAATTTCTGGTTCACAGGCGTGCAATCGCTCTTGATCGGAGGCTTCTGAGCTTTCACAACTCGGTCCAGCACTTGGGATCTGGGGCTGGCTTGGTGGCTTCAGCAGTCCAATTGCGCATTCGACTTGTTGGTGTTCTACTGCTCCTTCGAGAGCAAGTGTCTGTTGTCTACCCGGGTATAAAAAAGGAAGTGATTGGGCCCACTGTCAGGGCCGTACCTGAGGCTTGGCTATCGACATCCAGTCTCCCAATGGGACTTGAGGAGGACTCCAGCCCCGAGCGAATTCCTCTTGAATTTGAGCGTCTCGCCATCGAACTATATGAATTTCTTGAGGTAAGTTCTGACCCACCAGATTCTGTTCCGCAGTTTAGATTCATGCACGGCATCCAGTGCATAAATCATATATCTGAATTTGCTGAAGAAGCTATTAATACGTCTGTCACGAGCTTTGCGTGTGATATTCGGTACTGGGCCTCATGCTTGCGTGAATTTAAAGGTACGCTGCACCGTAGTCCGCATTGTCTCTGTATTAACCGACAGATTTCAGGGCGTATGACTTCGCCTTCTGTTGCATTATACGCTCACGAGTTAGCAACAGGACCCTTTTCCGAGCACATGAGTGCCGTAACGGACGCTCTGGCTAACTTCGTTGATTTCGGCAAGTCTAATTACTCCCCTCGCGATGCCCTTAACACCCTTTTACGCATCATCAGGAGTACCCACAATAAGGTTGGAGTCGTCATATTGAAATGTGTCATCACGAACTTACTCGTGTCGCTCAGATTGGCCCAGCAGCAGACTGGCAGCGCCTTCCTTAATCTTTCAACAGTTTCGACGCTCTTCAGCGCAGTCACGGCCACCGTGGTTCAGTATAGCTATCAAAGCCAATCCAGCGGTCTCGAGCAAGCTGTGAATTTACTGTGGATAACTTCTCTAGTCAGTTTACCACACCCATCAGCCCTTCTCACGATATTTAGTCGAACCATCAGGTGTTCTCACTTGCGAGCGCAATTAACAGCCAACTTGCATACGCCTGGCATACATACGTATATCGGAGCCCAAGATCACTTGTGCCATGGTGGGGACTATTTGTCATCAAGCAGGCGCCATTGTTTTTCCTTGTCATTTCGGTGCTGGCTTTTTCGGCTGGACTTGTTTGTTTCTGTTTTTCAGTGTTTCCTAGAACGGTGATACCCCTAATCATCACCGTCTGCACGTCATTCTCGTCAACGACTCTTTTCCTTGTCATTTTCTGGTTCGCTGGCGAACGATGGGTGTTCACACAAACGTGTGGCAAGTTGTGGCTTGCTGACCTGGTTAATGACTGTCTCTCGAAGGAGAGGTATGTCGTGGCTTCCCGACATTTGTGTACTTCAATATTGCAACGTTGGCGTAAGCTCCGGCAATGGTTGAGTGTGGTTCTCGAAAACTCAAGGGGGCGTATCCAACCTATCCACCGTGCTCCACCTAACCTTGATGTTGAGAGGCCAGAAGATCCCCACCCGACGACCGTGATCCCCCCTGGGTCCCCGGCTCTAGCAGCCCTGGGACGTTCCCGCAGCAGGAGACAGTCAATTCCGCTTAGCGTTCGGGTTTCTCATTTGAAACCTCCAAAAATCACTCTGACATCCTCCCCAAGCGAACCATCCTCCGTTAGCCGTGTCTACCCGGCTACCTATCGTCCAATTCCACTCCCTGTAATCATTCCGGCCTTACGACGACTGAACGCTTCTCCAGCTTTAAGCGAACATGCATTTGCCATAAGACATCTGGCATTCAGTCCTAATGGGGGATATCTTGCTTCATGCAGCTGGGATAGTACCGTCATAATCTGGAGAGTTGGAGATCCATTCCAGGTCTATCGTCGACTTGACCATATTACTGCAACTGTAGCGCAGATTGCATGGTCGCCAAGCGGCCGTTTGCTACTCACAAGATCAAGCGGGGGACTAAGGATCTGGGACCACATGGTACGCCAAAAAAGCACACCTTTATCGGGTCACATGAGCCATGGATTTGCACCTACAGGTGAATGCACGAGATGTAGCGATCGACAGGAGCGAAGGCATCCAGTCAGCGTCTTGGCTGCCAAGAGGGAATACGGTCATGTCAGTGGAAGGGAGCAGTTTGCATATCTTTGTGGGTATTCCATTATTTAATTTCTGTCTGATTTTAATGACAATTGGAGCAGAACGTTCAAGGATCCGCCGTTGCAACACATACAATCGACCGGTTCCTGCTTCACGATGCTGCTGTTGTGAGGGATGAAAATCGGTGAGACTAACTAATATGGATGCTGACCGATTTTGACCAATGTCATAGCGTCGTGGCTGTTGCCACTCTAGAGAAATCTATAGAAGGCATTTATCCTTCGAAGTCCGAACCAGAGAGGCGCGTCATCGGTTCGCGGCTATCTCTCCTTTGTTTCGTCGCACTCATATACTCGCATTAGTTTACAATCTTCTTTCCGGGGTTATTGAAGAGTGAAGTGTTTCTACATATTCCCCCTGCCGCCACAGAGCTGAATGGGCATTTTAAATAGTCAGATTCCTATACGCCGTCCAGCTCGTTGGATCTCGTTATCAGAGAAGAACGATTGTGCAATGATAACGTTTTCTGACAGGGCAAGCCACGCACTCATTCAATCTCACATCTTACGCTAATTGGATTCTAGGGCCCTCCACAATTGATCAAGCTCAATACCGATGATGACGGCTGGCGTGTCCATCTCTCTCCGATGCATATATATCTGCCCGCTGGCCCTACAACATTCACAGGGCCTTCCACCTTGGGGAGCTTCATAGGTACTTCGGCCGAGGATCAAATGGTTGTCGCCGTTGGCAGAAGTAGGAGAATTCAGTAATTTTCCACGCTCATGAAGCTCATCGTGCTTCAGCGGGTGAAACTTTGATATGGGATCGAGAATCTGCACGTTTACTCCATACGGCACATTCAAAGGAACTTGGGATTGAGCACACTGTTGTATCGTGGAATCATGGGAGCAATGGGGACTTGATGTTCGCCACTGGAGCTACGGATGGTTCAATTCGGATCTGGACAGCCCCTTGTCCGACTTCGGACGATTATGGAGGGACATGACCTTGATGCACGACATAGTTGAGGTGTTTCGCAATCGTCCTCGCTGATCCACACGCATACCTATATACCTAGTAATATTCCTGATGTTGAGAACAGGCGGCAAAAATGTTCTCCTTTCAACAGTACATATCGGGATGCCACAAGGTGGCTTTGAATTCATTGGCAAATCAACACGTCATCTGCACAACAATGAACAATTCAGCGATTGTGTTCAGCGATTCCAGTGCGTCAGTGGGACGTACTGGACGTGCTTGAGAGGGGTGATAGGAGCGGTCGCATGAGAAAAGATGAATACCATTACACGAGCAGTTCAAACTCCTAAGTAGCATCACTCACTCTGACAGGATCAAGTTTTGTTTTGTGGACGGCTGCCATGCTCATCTTTTGTCAACAGACTGCATCACAGTACTTATTAGTATGAACATTCGTCGGTGGCAAGTTGATCCACGAGAGCCTGAGGAAGCGTTGGAGCTGGAGTACCAACGTGGATGGCATCATAGGATGTTGTAAAATGGAAATGTAAAATCTCTTGATCGACTGATCTGGCTTACCTTCCTGGGATAGCCTGAGAGTGTATGTTACATATTGTGGAAGGAGACCGTGTTCGAAACCGGCCTATGATGGTTTACCCTTCCATCCATCCAAGTCCATCGGCCTTTAAACTTTAGAGCGTTCGACGAGCTCTGGTACGTGCTCAATACCAGAAACAGTTGCATCCCGAGCGATGTGGAGGTAGCCTGAGCCCTATCGCTAAAGTTGCGAGGTCGAAGGCCGGAACTTCGATCAACACCCGTCTAAACACGATGTGTTTTGCATGTTGGGTGCGCTGATTGTAGCTGAAAATTCATCGTGTGCATTTCCGTCAGGCAAAACCTAGGTTTCGGATCCAGAGTGGGAGCTCACCATCAAAACCGATTGGTTGGTGAAGGTGCATCGAAATACGCCCCGTCCTTGAAATTGATACGATAAACCTTTCGCATGGCCTGCATCCGAAAACACCAGCAGGGGACCCTTAGAATGGGTTGCAACACGCGCCAGTGCTATCCCGTCAGCGTCAGTGACGTCTTACGTCGCGAGTTCACCCATACATTTGGAACACGTTGAGAACTGATGAACTACGCGTCCGTTCCCCCCCCCCCCCGGCCTAGCTAGGCCATTGTGGAAGTGGGTGTCGAGCTTTGGTACGTGATGGAGAAAAACAAAGATTGAACTATTGGAGTTTTACAACGGTTCTTTACGTTGACGCAAATGAATGTTCACATCTAACGCGATGATAATGTGAGAACTTCAAGAAGTCTGGTAGTGTGTAAAAGTGAGCTGTAGCCTGTATCGGAGAGAATTTGGACTCGCACAACTCAGCAAACACTGTTTGACCAAGAGATTTCGATACGAGGAGGGCGTCTATACTAGTGCATGGAAAGTGGACCCGTGGCCGGTTTGTGTACGGCTATTTGCGTCGAGACCCAGCATGTGCATTCATGGTTCAATTTCTATAACCTAAAGGGCGCTTTTCTTCTGACTTATTGAATCTTAGTACCATACGTGTAGTAATGCAGGCTGGGAAGGCCGCACCTTCGTTCTCTTCCTTCGTTGCTCAGTCTTCTGACACGCCTAATGAAAGCCGATCCTCGACCTCTCGAGATCACAATGATGATCATGGCAAGCGCCATCATTCCAGAAGGGAATCTAAACCATATTCCTCACCTTCGCGGGGTAAGGAGCACAGCACCAAGCGGAGGGAAAGAAAGTCACTATCCGGGCTCCACTATGAACGCTACAGCTCAAGTCACCGATCCTCGCCTTCCAGACATGCCCTAGATTCTCCGCGCATACTCGAGGAGCCAAGAACTCCAAAGAGCCATATCCTGTCAGCTACAGGCACGAATTTCTACGATGATCGATATGGCAGCACTAGCACGCTGTTTCTCGAGGCACAGCAGTACTACTTGGATGGTCGTAAGTTGTGATAATGCTCTCGTCATTTGCCTAGGGCTAATCGACATTTGAGAGACCGGCACGTTCTTGGTGCCCCAAGAAATGCCAGGCTGTTTCGTGACTCGAGATCTCAGAAATATGAGCTGTATATTCCCCACGGAGTTAGCGTAAGGGTTTCATCCGCCTTGCTGCAGGAAACGTGATATTTTATTTGTGTGCAGGCTAGCCGCGCCCATACCCTGCGCGCTTTCAGACTTATTGCTAAGACTAAGGCTCGGAGGTTGATACCGTCATCTGAGAGCCTTCTTCCAGGAGAAGAGGATGACTTTATCCCCGTCCAGGGAAAATCTCTTGCCGGCCCCGATCAGGTAGCCCCAAGTCGCTTAATAGAAACCATCCATGATGGAGGCCAGGTGGAGCTTCAGATGACAGTAGTGACGGCGAAAGCCTCAACCTACCCGAATCTGATGAGGATGCACCAGATGCCCGTATGACGGAGACAGCTCGGCTGGAACGGATACTAGCGGCAGACAAGACAAATGTCAATGCATGGTTTAATGTTATTGCGCACACCGCATCTGCGAATCCAACTCCCGCTGGTCGCGCAGATATCTGGGTCACCATGTTGGAGAAGGCCATCGATAGTCACCCTAGGAACAAACATTCCACCGCCCTTCGACTTCGTTATCTGAGCATCATCCGGGCGGCTAAAGGAAGTGAAGCAGAGGATGTAGCTTGGAAGGAAGCCCTCGATGATATTCAGGATGAGAACCTCTGGTTAGAATATATGAATTACAGGCTGCAGAAGTCTGGGATCGACTCGTTGGCTGAAACGCTTCATATGATTCGTCATCGTATCAGAGATACGCTCACTGATGAAAGGCGGAAATACTATATTCAGTTGCGTTTGTTCTGGCGAAGTGTCGTAGCTCTCAAAGAAGCTGGTATATCACCTTCATCTTCAGACGTCATTGTTTTTAATCCGTACCCAAATCCAGGCTATCTAGAGAGGGCATGTGCCGCACTTCAAGCGCAGATGGAGCTGTGAGAGTCAACTGTTCGTTCACAATTTTGTTCTAATGTGGATATTGTAGGTTATATCTTCGGCCAGCCGTCCTGGATTCCGCAGACTTCCAAATTATGCTGGATGGCTTGGAAGAATTTTGGGATTCAGAAGCTCCCCGAATTGGCGAACCCCATGCTGGAGGTTGGATTTCATGGATGAAAGAAGAGGGATTAGATGCGCAGCATCCTCCACCAAAACCGGGTCTCGAGGCAGTGTCCAATGTAACGCAACATAGCCTGGATGGATACCAGCGCTGGCATGATGCCGAAACTTTTCTTGATGAAAAAAGATTGCTTTCTGCTCGCGACGGTGATGGCGATGATGACCCATACTCTACCGTCCTATTCTCCGACATCCGAACCCTCTTGTTCCCTCCTATGTCTGTCTCGTCCTTTCCCAAATCATCTGTTAGCCAGCTGGAAGAGATATTCCCACTTTTCCTTTTTCTTAATTTTCTGGGTCTTCATATCCCCGGGTTGTCGGACGCCCTCTTGCCTCTAGAGTCTGAGACCGACATTCAGGGCTCGGATACTCCATGGTCGTACCATGGTCCAGCGCTCAATTCCTCACGTATTGCGTCTCTGTTCTCTCTCCCTGACCAAATTGGGGACACCTGGTCAAGCCAGCCATCACACTCTGCTCGACAACGGTGGACGTCTACTGATGAATTGGTAATGGGTAGAGAGAGAAAGATGGGTTCTGGATGGGGACCTGTGAAGGAATGGACACTCGGCCTTGTGGGTTGGCTTGAAGGCTATGGGCCACAAGGGAAGGTAGAATGTGGGAGGCAAGTGAATTGAATGGCGTGGACGTCGAGTTTGTCAGGTATGATTACCCGATTGTGAGACCTCTCCCAAACAAGATTGAAGGGTAACTTTAGACGGATATTTCAGCAAGTTGATTCCCGTTTGAGGTCGCAAGCTTGGGCTAATTTGTGGATCGCCTTCGAAGCCGCCATTAATGTCAAAGAGTAAGCTATAACCAATCAGGTCGGTATTTGAACTCAATTGGCCTGTTTGTACCAGATCCCTCAAAGTGTCAAAGTCCATTCTGTCCGCATTTCCTACTTCCCTGGAGCTGTGGACCACTTGTGCTCAATTGCAATGTATACGAGGGAAATTTGATCTCGCCCGGAAGGTGTACCAAACGCACCTTGAAACAAACGAGACTCCACAGCCTATCGCAAATTGGATCAATACTTCTGACAGCCGTGCCAAAATAGGAATGTGGTACGCATGGGCGGAAATGGAATGGTTAGACGGTCAGGACTCCGCAGTAACTCGCCTCCTTTGTCGCGCCTGTGGTGTTTCCGTGCCTGAGACGGACCCGGATATGCGGATTCCTATTCTTCGGGCTAGGCAGGCGTACGCTCATGTGCTTTCGTCATCTTCCGTTTTGGGTGAAACGCTTGTGCCGCTTCTCAACTCCTATGCACTCTTCGAACTACTCCAAAAACGCGACGTACCACATGTGATCCAGGTTTATACTCCATATCTTTCAGACTCCCCTAATGATGGGGGCTTATCCAAACGCATACGCGAAGCGCTCGTATATGGGAGCGCTCGCATCATTCACCACTACACCATAACACTCCGGAACATATGTCCTCCTATCCATCTCCGCAAGTACATCGCACAATCAGTCCGGCAATACCCCTCAAATACTCTGCTCCTTGGTGTGTGGTTGGAAAGTGAACGGGGAGAAGCCGTGTGGGGAAGGGTGAGAGGTGGAATTAGCGAGGCAATTCTGGATGGCGCAGGTGACACAAAGGGCGGTCTAAAAATCGTGGGCGTACCGAGGTGGCTATGGAGTATATGGGTGGAAAAATGGGAGAGAGGGGCTTGGGATGTGCATCGCGTTCGGTCTATGCTCCATAAGCGGTGGAGATCCCAAGGTACGTTTCGTTCAGTTTTAGGCATTTGTCATGTTGGAGCTTGCGGACGGAATTCTCCTAATATTGTATTTAGTCTCGGGCATTGTCCTGCATTGTGGAGAGTACTTCTTCAGCTAGAAATTCGCACAGGACGCCTTAGGGAAGCTCAAAGCGTGTTTTATCGAGCCGTAGAAGCATGTCCGTGGTGCAAAGGTCAGAGAGCGATACAGTTTCATGTCAGTCATGTCACTGACTAAGTCTTCCGTCGGTTCAGAGTTCTACCTCCTTGCATTCGGGCCGTTACGACCAGAGTTCAATCCGGCAGGGCTCGAGCAGGTATTGAATGGCATGGCCGAACGCAAAGTAAGGCTGCGCGAAGGAATTCCCTTGAAGAGTTCCTCCGTCGAGATCGGATCAAGAACCCGGAAGCTGAGCCTGGCCTCGACGACTCTGATGAAAGGATGCTTGTGCAAGATTGGGCAGATGAGGATGTCGAAGGAACTGAAACGTCTCAAACCTTACTGATTGGGGGATTGCGATTGCTTATGGATAAGGCACCACCAAGACAAATCAATTAATGCGCACTGCCCAATTTATAACGGAATGCTGGCTGTGACGTGCCTGTTCCTTAGGCTTTCCTAAACATTTCGAGATCATGTGCTGTGAATGAATCGGTCATGAAAGGGCTGTGAGGATTGCGCGGACGGTCCGGAAGATCTGCCCATACAAACAACTTCAAGGGAATAAGCACAGTCAATACCAAGCCTGCAGGTTTTGAAAACTCGGCCCTCCTCTTCCATGGCATTACCCCCTATAGAGGGATGTGCAGAGTGGGGAGGGGAAAGTTAGGGCCAGCGTCGACATTTGAGACCTGATTTTTTCTCAGCCGCGAACAACTCCCGTCTCCGAATTGACGCCAGCTTCCCTTCTAATGAGCGACGATCTTGGAGCCTCGAAAAACAGCGCCTATGTGAGTCACGAAATAAGAATCAAGGGTGCCCTTGCCTAACGTGTTGTCACAAACTGCCTTACCAAGGCTCCAGCCACGACAGTCTATCATTTCCAGAATTTGTCCACGGCCTTCAACGACTCATCGAGCTTCCCTCAGCCGTACCATTACCCACCTGACATCATACTCGTTACAAGACCTACATATACCGCGTTTTTCACCCACTACCACCGTCTCGTCACGGAGTCGAATAATCAATTTGGAAGGTTACTGGAGAGCTGCAAGCCTCCAAATGACCCTGGCTTGCCTAGACGACGTCCCATTATTTACGTGGACGAAAACGAGCATCACTTCAACTGTTTTTTGATTGCCCTCTATGTAAGTTGTCAGAACGCATCCTGTGCGTTGGATCTTCAATATTCTTGCCGTTGTCAGAATTGGTCGTCTCAACTATACAAACCGGACACAGGAGTGTTTTCTCACGTATTCAACCTGGTGATAAAGTATGGGTTTAAGGTTCGAAGTGTATTCTCACCGTCGTCGGGAGGCTTCCAGGACTTGGTTCGCACAGCCGAAACTGAAGCGTTAAGGATGTACACCCTTGCAGCGCATTGGGACTTCGAAGAACTCGCCGTTTCGGCTTCCCGTTATGTACTCCGGGTCGCGGATACCATCCAAAATATAACGGACGACCACGCAGAAACCATCGGTCCTCGATATCTCCTTCGTCTTATTCAGCTCCACGAAACTCGTAAAGCCAGGCTCAAAGAATTGCTCTTGATCCCGCCTACTTTGCACGTGGATGACACGCCAGCTTGCGCACGACCTCAGAGACTGTCGGTCCTGCGAGCCTACGGCTTAGCGGCAGGATATGTCGTTTGGGAGAAAGCAGCCGGTGTGACTGTGCAGGAGATAAAAAGCATTCTGTTTGGGAATATTGGAACGAGCATTAGTTGCCCAGTGTGCTCCGACGCCGTTCAGAGGAACATCGACCACGTCCTAGACTTGTGGTCTCAAATGAAAGATACTATTTAGGGCACCCCTTGACCGCTTCGATGACTTGAAACAAGGTCCTCCCAAGTATTTGTAAGCTCAAAGTTGTGCACGTTGACATTGGACGGTAGCTCACCACATCATGTACTCCCGTAAGATTTCAGTGCTCCAGTGCCTCTTCATGCCCATGTGGGTCTTAGAAGAGCAACGTTCGTGGTTGTGTGTTACGGAGGCTTTACTCACGATGGATTTGGTAAGTCCTTACTTGAGGGTGTTCGTTCAGCTACTCACACGCCACCTTGTTTGTATTCAGCTATGGACCACCTCAGTAGAACTATATTTTCATGTCTAGCCCACTCTCTTCAATGATAACCGGACAATATATGTCATTCTGGAAACACGATGCGAAGTTTTCGCCTGATCTCAAGCTTTTGCGTGGACTTGATTGAGCCTCATCAGGTTATCCGACGCCAATTGCTTGGCCCATCGCTGGTCTCACCTGCAACATGATAGCCCTGATTTTCCGGTACCCCCATATTCCGATGCCTCCAACTCGCCTAGACTCGAATCTATTGCGGCCTTGTGGCCACCGCCCAAATGGCTGCCACTGATTAGCTCGGGTTTTTAGGCATGAGTGACAGAGAACGCTTCTGCCGGCATCAGCATTGACAGCGCGGGTGGTTTCGTCATTAAGGATGTGCGCTGACATGAAACCTGAGCTTTCTGATGAATACTATGACATCAGCGGGGGACTTACCATCGGGGCTGCTAAATTTCACCTACTCGATATGGACGCACAAACGTTGACCTTGATCAATGTTCAATTTCCGGGCTATAATGGAACCCTCATTTACATTATCGCTACATACTACCACCTAAGGCACGGACATGACCGGTTGAAGTAATGAAGAGAACCCTCAACATGTGGCAGATGGCTTAAGAATGCTAACCCCAGCTGCCACTCATCCATATAAGTTGCCCCCTTTCTCTGCTTGCACAGGCCACACCAAAAATCTTCGACGGCGTACATCACCCACAAGACCACCGCCACGAACGTTGAGCGCATTGCAATATTTTTTTCTGAAGTGCTCTAGACCCGTTCGTTCTAGGGTTTCGCTGCGATATTAATTAGGAAATATGGCCCTCAGCACGTTTGACCTCTCCCCTGCCTCACCGGCAGATTCGGTCGATGTATCCCCAGTCTTCAACATGGATACACAACACCAGCCACCTTACGATGTCCCATCAGATCTCATTCTGCTTTCCGCAGAACCAAGAATTATGTTCTACACGCATCGGAAGTTGCTGCTGAACAAATCAAGAAACAATTTCGGGCAATTCTTGGCTCCCGCCCCCGCCGATGGAACGGAGCCGAGATCCGCAAGCGGTGCCCCACCCCAAGTCTCCGTTCCAGAGAGTTCGGAAGTCATCAATTGCCTTCTGCACCTGTTATATGTAGGCGCCGTTTCTCTTTGCAGATGGGAGAATATTCATGTTAAGGGATTTAGGGGGGATCTATAAGCGATCCACACCTGTCCCTGGAACTTCTAAGCGACATATTCGCGGCGTTAGTGAAGTACGGCTGCCCGTTAGACACGGCCATACCTCCATCATCGGAAGCCTTCGCATACCTGCTACTTCGGGCAGATGAAGATCCCCTCCATGTCTACTCACTAGCAGCCCATTACTCGTTTGAAGAGCTTGCCGTCCCAGCGTCAACCAAGGCACTTCGCATCCGCCTCTCAGACGTCGGCGAACACTCAGCAATCATCATGGGCGCATCATACCTGCTTCGTTTGGCGCATTTACACTCCGACCGATTAAGCGCATTGAAATCCTTGCTGCTTAGTCCTCCTGCATTGCATGAGGATACGGACACGTGCAAACTCAGAGATCGGCTGAGTGTACAGAGGGCATTTAGTCTTACTGCTGGGTATCTTGCATGGGAAGCCACGGCAAGTGTTGGAACGGATTGGATCAGAAGCTTCTTCGAGAAAGTCATTGAGGATATCGAATGTCCTCTGTGTTGGGAAAATGTTCGACAGAGGATGGAAGTGGTGCTGGAGAAATGGGAGGGGACCAAGGCAACGATATGAAGGAGTCTAGTGCGTGTTGCAGCACTTTCAAGTTTTCTTGGGTGTTTTCGGAGAGCGCAAAGAACATAAGGCTTTGGGGATCCCATAACAATCAACGGAAGTGACGCATATCGCATATGATGACACCAGCAGTCTGTCCCGCCAGCTGGTGCATAACCTGTTCCAGTGTACAGATCAGTGGCGTCGACCGATAAGAAATATTATTGTTATTAATTCGGTAGTGCGATGCACCTGCCACCGACGCAATCTGTGAGATTTAATCAAACAGTATCGTGAGATGAGGTACTGGGAAATAAATGGAGATCAATTCCCTGCGGATTTTGCTCTGAAAACGGGAAACTATTGAGTTATGTGGCGACTTGGTGGCAAGGAGCCGGGACCCCATGTGTATAAACAGGCTCGTGATTCTAGCTTCACCTACAAGTCGACTGCACCTCATTAGTGGGTTCCGCGAGAGAGTCTAGGCAGGTTACCAGGAGTGAGTCCTCTCTGGTCCACAACGAAATTAATTTTGAGGGGTTAACGAAATGAGAGATAGATAGCCGAATGCATATGCGAGTCACATTGGAACACCCCAGGTTGGCTCAGCAAACTATGCCACGAATTTTTGCTTGAGGGAGACTTCATGGACGATGCACGGATGCACCCATTCACTGTGCCTGGCGGCGTATGCCGTACTGTAACATGTGACAGCGATGGGACTCGTCACGTTTGCTTAGATGTCTATCAGCCGTGTTATTGGTTAGCCACTGGTCGTGGCACATTCCCGCCTTATCTAGCCACCTTATCTTCGCGTTCTCTATCGGGCACCTCCCTTTGATACCTCTCCCCTCTCACGTCCCCTTACCGGTTCTCACCAGGACATTACTCTCTTGCCCCCTCCGGTACGTTTGAAACCCCTTTGTTCGTCATAGAGGCTGGAGTCCTGCCTATGAAGTCCCCACCTCACTGCCCTCCCGAGACAATTGCGTAAGCGATATGATAATCCAAGAATCATTTGGTGCCATACTTCGGTCTCCCCGTACCTATCTTGGGGGCTGCCTCAGCACTGAGCTCTGTGCCTATCTGAAGTGACTGAAGTGCCACCATGAGGCACATTCGCGAGAAGCCTTTCCATGTGAGGGTGTAGTCTTTCAGTCACATCGTTGTTTGATTCCGGAAACTCTGCCTTTGCGTAACGGAACCGGAATAAATTCTTTACAAACCCTACTGTTTATTATCGAAATACAGATTGACGACCGAGCCTAGGATGAGCATATTCCTCGAATCGCACTGATCTCCATGCCTTGATCTGCATCGCTGCAGCCCACGAAGGGTGTCGTGCTGGGTACTACATGTTCATTGTCAAGGTGTCTACCTTGAGTGCATCAAATCGGGGTGATCCGCATAGGAGAGCCTTCGGCATGAGAAATGACAAGAACCACCTTGCTTTTTTTGGTGAATGGACATGTACCATAACACTCCTGCCGCATGAGGGGAACCACGCAGGATCGAGCCATCACGGGTGCCTAACTGCTTCATCACCTTTCCAATCCACTTATCCACCAGAAATGTGGCTTCGGCGCCACACACACTCCTGCTGCTTGCGCGGAATGAAAATCGCGCGGGTTCGGTAATGGGCTATGTGGGCTCTTAATCCGTTCATCTACTTGTGTGGCTTGATACTCAATGGCAGGTACTGCCACTAGACCCAGCTACGTTTTTCACTTGTATCATTAGATTTAAGCCCCATTTACTCCTAGTTATTTCAGAAAGTCAATGTATGTGCCGTTGTGTCGATTGATACGTGTCAATAAACGAGATCAGATTTCATCGGAGGGACATTGGAGAAAGTGGAAAAACTTGAATTTTGGTTGCGATGGCCAAAATACAACGTCCAAGAAAAACACAGCAACTGCAACCCTTGCAATCTCTCATGTCACAGTTCATGCTCATGGAATTAAGGGAGAAGCAGGCTGTGGTAAGGACATCGAATTTCGATCAGTACCCCTGAAAATCCTTCATCCTGTCACATCACTAGAGGGCCCCGAATATTATATACATGCACTACCTAGCTGTGTGATCAGTTCAGCGGGCAAGGAATCACATCGGATCGGCGCCAGATCAGGCCGGTCGGAAAAGTCGGGATCTCTCCAGATCGGATCGGAGGCTGGAGATCGAGCCAGTTTCTCACGCACTACGCCCCGTCTTCGGTGTATTCTTAGACAAGGGCCAACTACTCTTCTCATATTGAGGATGAGGATGAATGGTCTGAATACAGCTCTTCTGAAACATGTGTTGTGGTCCGGAAACTTCTTGTTCCGATATCAACATAACATCTTAAGTCCTTACAAGTAACTCCGCGCTCAGAAAACTTCGCACAAATATATATTACAAACATAAGAAACCGATACGTCAGAAAATCTGAAGGAGTCGGGAGTCCAAATGAATTCTAGTCGTGAGTAGATTGAGGTGGTTCGGCAAGAACGTTACAGCGAGTCCAGTTACCTAAGCCCCGCAAGAAAGACGAATCTGAGAATTCAGATTCCACTTCATACCAAGCATGCAAACAAAGGTAGACAGAGTGTGAGAACCGAAGAGATTGGCGAGCGGGACCTAGCGTTGAGGGGAAGGGAATAAGAAACATTAGCAACTGCGAAAGAGTGTTAGTGAGAGTTTGAGCAAGGTAGGAAGGATGGCGGAGATCCAGGAATCAACAGGTAGAGCAAGTTTGTGGTACGGCGTATCGAGTAATGCGTTATATGGTCGCTTTAGCCCCGCTTACGATCGCGAGCGCGAGATAAAGGCCAGCGGATGGTTATAACTGAAAAGGATCACCGCTGCTGTCTAAAAAGAGAGAGAGAACGAAGCCAGTGCAATGAAACGAACAAAAGACAAGAGGGGAGCACGTCAAGGATACAAAGAGAGACGTGGCGTGGAAAAATTGACATTGAACAGCACTATCCTGTGTTAGCTGAGTCCGAACAATAGAACAGATGACGCTGTACGAACCTGAAGAAAGAACATTAGGGCCAAGTACAGTCATTTCCCTCAGGCACGTACGCGACCCTCTTTCTCACAGGTGCGCACAACGATAGGGTAAGGACGAGAAGCACCAATGCATGTGCTGTGTCGATTGTTAACAACCCCGCCTGGGCCGTGGGAACGTGGCTGTGCAAAACTCCAAGCACGCTGTTCTGCCCAACACACACAAGAGCGACATGGCGAAGACCGAACTGGCGCCACTGCTACCAATGCCGAGTCTGGAGTGGATTCTTACGTGCATCCCGGTGGTTACTGTTACTTTCGCTCTTGTGGACTGGCAAGAAACGCGTCCGATCTCGAGCTCACCTAAAGGGTGTTGATATCCTTGCTTCTTAATATCCAATCGCTAGACCAGTCGAAGCCATTCTGAGCTTACCCAAATGAAGGGACCTCGCAATCATTTCCCACGCTCCTCATTCGGGGAAAACGGGCCCGGTGGCACGGCGACGCAGTAGTGCTGGTTCTTAAGGCTAGGCACTTCCTGTGGCTTAGAATTGGGCTAGCTTCTTATCTCATGGTTGGGCTTCCTAGTGCACCGTGATCAACTTCGCCGCTGGCCTAGGCTCTGGAGGCTGGGATCGTAGGAAGTGACCAATGCAACTGGTCCCGACCCCATTTTGGCTTCAACAATTCATCATTATGCGGGGTTCTTCTGTAGCTCCAATATTCTAGCGTTGGTGCTTATTGCCATTTTTAAAATCCCAGGCAAACTCCGTAACTCAATAAATCGCGCTTCAGACACTATTGCTCACCCAATTTTCAACCAATCTCCGTGGTTCAAGGTGCGTCCGAATGCGCCGAAGTAGGGAAATGTAGTTATGTAGGGTACATGTACAGATCAGTTTTAAATAAGTGTCCCAAATGCAAGTAAATTTAGAAGTAAAGCAAACAGAAAGCCTATTTGTGTTTCAGACATCTTTTGACGCCAATTACAAGCTGAAATGGGCCTCCAGTATTGTGCCCCCATTACCCAAATTCCCACGGGTTTTGGCTGTGGGAAATTCAGATTTCAGGTCGTGGGAATTTGGGTGTTGGGAGCGGTGAGGGCACAATTCTGTATAACTGGAGGCTCATTTCAGCTTGTAATTGGTGTCAAAAGCTTGGTATGGACGTATGGATGATATCTAAAGCACAAATAGGCTTTGTGTTTGGTTTTCCAGGCTGTATTTATTTATTTTATTTATTGCATTTGGGACACTTTTTTAAAACTGATCTATACCCTACCTAAAATACATGGTTACATTTCCCGCTTTCTAACGTATGTTGAATTGTGAAGATTGGTTGAGAATTGGGTGAGCAACAGTCTGAAGCACGATTTTTTGAATTACGGAGTTTGCCTGGAGTATTTTTTTCTTTTTCTGGAACCCTCTGGGCGCAGGCAGGCTGTGCCTGAGAGTCTGTAGGGAAGAGGCGAGGCTCCCGGGTAGGGGACCTTGTCCCGAAGATGCCGTCGCAGGGAAATGCGTTGTGTATGGGCTCCCGTGACCTAGGGTGGGTATAAAACCAGTCTTCGGGGGCTTAACTGGGCTTCGCTCATTTGTCAGGGTTATGCCTTGGCGGAGCTCAGCATTGAGGCCGTTTTTGCAGCGTGTTTATCGATTCGCGGGGGTTGCCTGAAATTTTAAAACTAGCGATAAAGCACTCATTTAAAAGGTTCTTATGTATCATCGATCCATCCAACTGGACTTGTTGCCACTGTTCGTGTCTCTCCATCCACCCTCGTCTCCGATTATACGGACTCGTAAGGGGCGTGAATGGGTGACTCGCGCGCACATATTGACCAAGACTTTATATTCCCTCCATTCGTGCGCGCTTTGATGATTCCCTCGTTAAGTGGTGCTGATTGCGGGGATGACCATGACGCCATCCCATGTGACTAGGACGACCTGTGCATGGAGGAGAAGTGCGAGATCTCGCCAGATGCCTATGTTCCGTGTCTCATCCCGGTGTCAACGACCTTTCATCCTGAAGCGGAGCATCCAGCACCGTACAACCTCCCTCTGATACCATTCTGCAGACCTCGGACGATGTCTCCTTTTACGTCCATCGCACATTACTGGATAGCAAATCTAACAACAACTTTGGAGGGCTCCTTGTTTATGGTGTGATGTGTGCTCTCAGAGGTGCACGGAGTCTGTACATGCTCGAAGAAACGGCATCTGTTCTAAACATTGTGCTTCATATCCTATATGTACGTATGAAAAGTTCTGCTTTGCTTGCACTTACCCGCTTCTGACTTCTTAAATCCTCATCACCAGGGAATCTCCTCTCGTAGATACTGTCCTGACATTCCTGTCATATCCCAAGCATTCGACATGTTGATCAAATACGGTTGTCCGCTTTCAACGTGCGTTTTGTCCAAGTCGGAGATATTTGTCGACTTGGTGTCCCATGCATCAGATCCAGAGTCGGACCCCCTCGAGATGTACACACTTGCCGCGTCAAAGGGGTTCGAAGAGCTTGCAGTCCCATGTTCATCGTTTGCGCTTCGCACGCCCATCTCATCTATCGAGAATGACGCTGCAATTGCAATGGGGGCAATTTACCTCTGGCGACTGGTGAAACTGCATAACGAGCGAAGGCAGACGCTAAAGAGGCTGCTTCTTCAGCCGCCTAGGGCACATGAAGACACGACTGCATGCGATAAGGAACGGAGGAACGGCGTTATAAGGGCGTACGGGCTTACCGCGGGCTATGCTGCGTTGCAGCCAACGGTCATGGTGACGGGGGATTGGATCGGGGATGTATTTGAGAAGATGATTCAGAACGTTGGGTGTGGACTGTGTCGAGACGACGTGCGCTCGAAGGTTCAGAGCATTATCGCTTGCTGGGCGAATGCGAAAAGGACGATTTGAAAAGGTGGAATTCGGAGGATGTGGTGTTGTCGTTGGGATAGGGCCATGTATTTTCGCAGTGGGAAGTGAATCGCAGTAAAGAAACACTGGGAAATCCAGGTGTGTTTTACGGTGGGATACCCCTGGGGTCCCAGGTAAAATACTCGGAATACGTGCGCTAATTAAAACCTGGACCCCCGGCCCTTAAAAAACTTGCCGAATATCGGGGTTCCCCAAACACGATCCGTTGAGGATTTACCTGTGGGTTCAACCGTGGGCAACAGCGATATTAACCATGGTATCATATTATGGGATTCTGCCATTGTATTCAGCGCGATAGGAACATGTTGTATTTCCTTATGCCAATACAGCATGGTGCGAGCGGAGAAAGTGAACTGGATGGTGCAAATGGGATGATTTCAAGTGATGAATGACATGACGCACCGTAATCCGCAGCAAAACGCCCAACAAGTGAATATGCGAACAGAGGAAGAAGCGGCCGGTACATGCATGATAAGAGGCATGAGATGAGCGTCGCGACATCATGCGAGAAAAGGGCAACTCGAAGAATGTAGTGCCCCTGATCGGTGTATGAACATGTCAACTGATCGCACAACGATCCACCACCCGATGGGGCTAATTCTGGTGGCCTGTCCCTCAGGTAACCGTGAAGCATAATATAGAGCATGTGGCAGCTCGTGGAGTGCAGCGGATCGCAAAGTGGAAGAGAGTGGGTGGGCAGCGGAGACACCCGCGGCGTGATTAGAGGGATATGCGGATACAACTGAGGGCACACCAATTTGTATGGTGGCTGGTTGTACAGAGGAGCTCCGGATGAATAAACACCTGCTCCAAACTGGTGCACGTGGTCGAACATATACATGTTGGCGAAATATCCCGAGACCGACAGACTCAAGATCATGAGAAAGGACACTGACCACAGTTCCCTCAGGACCAGATTGCCAGCGAAATTTGTCTGATCGGAGGTACTGATGTCAAGATCGGCACGCATTCGTGACGGGTTCATGTTGACTCACCATAAATCGGTTTGATGAGGGAATGTGGGCGCCTCTGGAAACCAGGGGGGCGAGAAAGAAGTGCTAACCATGGATAAGGACATGAAAGGAGGCGACAGTGTGCGCAAGGTGAACAGCGTTCGAAAGTGATAGTTGAGATGAAGGCAAGTTGAATTCAGTTTCGACCTCGCGCGCACTACCAAAGATGTAAATTTCAATCCCAAATTTTTAGGCGCGTAATTTACGTATTTAATGCGCTTCACATCGCTTGAAATTTTGCATATCACGCAGTGTACGTTTCGGGGCAGAAAAGGTGCAGATGCTAAAGGTAAAAGCTCTTTAAAAAAAGCCCTCACTGGAACGCAAGCCGCTGGGTTAACGTGGGCACATTGTGGGACGACGCGCCAGAGATTAATTTGAACGACTCCTGAGAACGCCCCCCAGTGTATGCACTGGAAAGTGGGGCCACTTATGGCGCAGTGTCTCTGGTCTCTGGTCTCAGTCTTCAGATAGTGATTTCCCACGATCACAGCCCGTTGAATCTGGCCGCCTCCACTGATCGCCAACGAGAAAGGCAGCTCTGAGCCACTTCTTTATGGCGATTTCGAATTTTCGATTCCTGGATGCTATGGCGCCCTCCAATCGACCACCTATTCTACACTATTCGTACGGTATTATGCTTTAATGACTCGTCAAATAGAATCTCGGGACGGATGCTTGTAATTCTGGGCTACGGATCTGGATCTTTCTGGGAAATTTTTCTTGTTGCGTCGGATTAGAGTTCGGGAATAGCCCAGAATCCGGAGCATGGTTTCGCCTCGTTTGGGTTGAGGTCCCGGTGGCTTCGGGGTGTGGCCTTCGTGCGCTTGTGATTCCCTGAGGCCCTTCATGCAACCAGAGGTTTCTTTCCTGATGAGGAAATTCCGAACCATTATGTGCGGGTCTTGTTCCGCGACCTCCAATAGCCCAATTCATCAGTTCCGCCGATCGTCGTGGGGCGAGCGGAGATGTTGGAGCGTGTCAATTATTGATTTTGACAAGGTCTCGTTATTGGGCGATCATCACTTGGAGAATAACCATGAGAGCCGTACTGCTACGGCGAAGCGTCGGTGCCAGGTGAATAAGACTTTCGATTCCTTCGCTGAGGTCGCGTCTGGTGGGGGGGGGGGGGGCGAGGGGCGAGGGGCGAAGCAAAGCTAGTAAATGAATCCATTTAATTATGACGTGAAGTTTGGATAATCAGCCTTACGTGGACAGGGCACTTTGGAAGCGCGAATTGAGCGACTTCTGCAGAACATCCTTGCATGGGACTCGTGGCTCTGCACCTCAACCAACTCGTATCTGGATGGGCACGCCCAACGGACAGTCCCAAATTTCTAGATTATCAATGATGGTAAGACCTTTCGTTGTTTGTGCACTGGCTCACAGCATCGATATGCGTTAGACTTCGGACCTTTTCGATTACGATCCTGTCTCTGTCTCCACCGCCTTTCACCCTCGGACGGCCTTCCCAATCCCCTTCACCATATTGAACCAGACATTACATTGCAAACCCCCGATGATATTTTATTCTATTGCCATCAAGAACTCCTGGCAGGAAATCTACGAACGAGTTCTGTGGCTTCTTCAGTGCTGGGCCTTTTGCAACTGATGGCACTGTTCCACTCTTGGTGGTGACGGAAGGGGCCGCCATCATCAACTGCATGCTGCACGTTCTCTACGTATGTGTACACTTGATTGAGAACGGTACATTCCCACCCCCCTAATTCCCGATTCGCTTTTTCTAGGGAATGTCGTCCCGCATATATTGTCCCGACATCTCAACCATAGCAAAAACGTTTACTGCCCTTGTAAAATATGGATTCTCCCTCCCAGAAAATGTGCCCTCAACCTCGGAGATATTCACGGATCTCGTCTCGCACGCGGCTGACCCAAACTCGGACCCTCTAGAGGTCTATGTCATTGCGGCTTCTCATTCGTTTGAGGAGCTCGCCGTTGTGTGTTCCTTTTACGCGCTGAGAATGCCACTATCAGACATTGATCAGAAGAGTGCCGTCGATATGGGCCCTGCGTACTTGCTCCGACTTTCTAGATTGCACGAGTATCGCAAGGGAGAGCTGGATAAGCTGTTGTTGGTACCACCTGCGATGCATGAGGAGACGTCGACATGTGGTCGCGAACATATGCATAGCGTCATGCGGGCGTATTCACTCACTGCTGCGTACCTCGCTTGGGAAGCGAAGGCGGACGCCACTACCGAGTGGATCAGTGGGTTTTTTGACAGGGTGATAACGAATGCGGGCTGCAGCCTTTGTCGAGAGAATGTAAGAAGGAGAGTGCAAGATGTTATTCAGGGGTGGTCCAGACTCAGGCGCACGATCTAAGAGGGGGATGCTCTTGATAAGTCTCTTCTCCAAAACCCCCCTCCTTTCACAAGAGAATGGGACCCATTCTCAACCAGAGGTCTTCTGTCTCTGGGCAGGGTTTTCCACCCTAGTAAAGCCTATCAGAACATCCCTCCTGTCGTTCCAGATCCCTATTCTCCTCCCCCACAATATACCCACCCTCATAATTTATTGCACGCAAACCACACACGTTGTGACATGTGTCCATTATTCTGTTCGAAAGCTGTGTCGATTGTTTTGTAGTTGCTTCTCAACCACTCATCCATATGCTTTCCTTGATTCCCGCTGGGTCCTGCAAACTTCTGCATAAACTGACATCTCCAGGCATAAGATCCTCAATTATATTTGAGATCCCTCGGTCCATTCTGTCGCGGGTGCCGCCTTCTCCGCCACACCAATCCCGTTTAAATTCTGCCCGGCCTGTATCATACCTTCCAACTCTGTGAATGCACCGCGTCGCACAACACAACAACTTTTGCCCCTACAGCATTCCAATCAGCTTCCACTGCGATTGACCTAAGCAACCCTCCTATGAAATCGCGATACCCTGCCTTGAACCCCAACGCTGTGATGAATGAGAATAAACGAAGGATGACTTGCTCGATCGGTAACCCCTCCAGAAAACTTTGACCGTTTGCTCAGACAACAACTGAAGTGACCATCGGCTGGCGATTGGCCAATCGCCCATTGTGTGACGTTGCAGTTTAATCTGCAGCAGAGGGGAGAGTAGTGGGCGTTCTAAGAGTTGTGTTGTTGTGACTAGCCCGATATGGATATAGCGCTCGGCGGCTACACTCGCGTCATGATGAGGGACTGTGGGACAAAAGCTATTCTAGATAAGAGGGGCAGTGGCTATAAAGGTGACAGTTATCATTAGGTGTGTATATGTGGTACTTATAGCACAACAAGGCTATGCTAAGGGTTGGACGGCGCACAGACGCATTGAAGAGGCGGTGTCAGAATGGATGTGAGATCCTGCGCACCTGCGCCGCATGTGGCCGGGCCGGCATCATGACTTGTAATCCAACACGTTGTCTGTTATAGTGCTCGTACCCCACAATGCTATCGTTGTTTGTTGTGTCAACAATGCGCGCTGGACGCTGACGTAATTCGGTATTTGCCGCTTCGAAGTTCAACCAACACGAGGCCATTTGAACCAAACTCTCTTTGTGCTGTGTAACTGCTTTTTTCTTAGTCTGATTATTGTCTCAAAAGCACGCGTCGCGCGTTTGTCTGGCACCTTAGGCTTGGGGCTCTTTTCGGAATCTATTTTGCCAGCCGGACGCCATGCTGCGTGTCTCTTTACTATAATCCCCCACCTTCTCTTGTTCTCTGTTCTTATTTCAGGGTCGATTTCGAAAAGCAACTCGAGTGAAGAATGTCTCCCACTATAGTGCCGGCCCCATTGGCTGGTACGCAAGATGAATGGTCCGATGAGGATTTCGATCTACCCGAAGGCGATTCGATATTACAACACATTCAACCACGGGACTCAGAAGACGCAGGCGCTGGCCGACTCGCATTGCACCGACCGTCGCGTCCGACTGCTTTGAGAATGTCCACGGGCCCGGAAGAAGAAGATGAGATAGAGGATTGGGATTTGGAGGGTGATGTTCTGTCATCGTCAACTCCGGGCCTCAATGCGGTCATATCTTCGACATTCACTCAGCCTGTCGTGAAACTTGGTAGTGGTAGTAGCCAGGTCATAAAAGAGGACGTCGAAGATTGGGATGCGGATCTTGGCCTCGGGGCCACTATCAAGGCTGGGACGTCTGCTCGGTCCACCTCCGTGTTACTTAGCGCGGAACTGGGTGATAACGATGACAGCAATACATCTACCATCAAGGTCTCTAAAATTACTCTTCCTGCCCCTACTGCCAAAGCTCCCCTTCCGTCGCCATCACGAACAACATTTGCTGATGATGGGGATGATATGGAAGACGCGTTTGCGTTGCCAGACGATCTCTCTCATCTTTCCCTCAAACCACTCGTGCATCAGTCCTCCAAATCAACGATTGGCGAATGGTCCTCTGATTCTATGCTGTCTGATGTCCCCTCATCATTTGGGTTCCACGATAAGACAGCATCTGAGTCGCCAACCTCTTTACCAGATTCCGAAGTGAACACCGATGAGGAAGCGGAAGTCGAGGGTCTCGTGCTGCCGGATTCTTTCCTACCGAGGGATTTAGCTCGGATGCTGGAGAAGAAGAAGAAAGGGCAGGCACCGCCCCCGACCAAGAAAAAGCTGCCGTTTCCTTGTGAAGATGACGATCCCGAAAGCGGATTGGCAATACAAGATGATTCCGAACTTAGTCCCAGCCGTCTCCGGAAAGGCGGGTTATCTCCTAAAGTTCGGAGAATTGCTAAAACCTTTCCATCAATACGATCCTCCCCAACTCCTCTCCCTTCGTCAACTGCTCGATCCCAGCCCCATATCACAGTCATTAAACCCGCAAGTCATCAATCAAGTTTAATTGCACCGAAGCTCACCGCTCGAGATGCCCGTTCTCCTTCACCAATTCCCGCACGACCTGCGAGTGAAACTCGCATGGCACCTAAACCATCCTCGACTAACCTTGCGCGCCAGCCGTCGTCTTCGACTTTGCCTCGCCGGCCCAAGGACATCAACATTATAAGCAGGACAAAAACACTTTCACCCCCTCCATGGAATCCATCCATCCACCCACCCTTGTCCCATTCGCACTCTATGTTAAGCATTCTGCGAGGGGGCCCTCCTTCCCCACAGAGATCAAAATTATTGAAACATCAGAAATCTACTTCTGGTCTTCTAAATTCCCCTAGCACATCTACGTTTCCCCACCCCGATACTCCGAATTCACCGAGTCGAAAAGGGCTTTCGAGAAAGGCCAGCCTGAGTAGTCTGCTGGACTCGCAGCCCAGTACTCAGCCCGTGCATGAGGATAAGCACGAGCGTCATGATAGCATCAGCTCTCGCTCCACATCGCGGCAATCAACTTTGGGCACTGCGTCCTTGCAAACGCGTGGGACCGTAGGTCATGTTGGTGGAGCAAGTTATAAGCAGCCCACCGCGTCTTCCCGTGCTCGTGGCATCCGAACCACCGAGACCGGTGTCGTTGGCTCGGATCGAGAGAAAGGGTTGTTCCAAATGTTTACCACTCGTCCCACCACTCCCTCAACCTCAGCCTCCATCCTTCGGCTAACTATGCCTACTAGTAGCTCGCGCGCCAAAATGAAGGAAAAGGCGAGGGTACCTGTGTCCTCCATTTTCCCTCAAAGTGCCGCCTCATCATCATCATCATCCAGTGGAGTTGCCCCTTCCAGCGTCATTGCTCCCGGTAGCAGCTCTTCAACTCCAATATCGAGACAATCGTCAGTGTCGCCTGTTCAAATGATGCGTCCAAGTGGGACTCGTTCTCCAATGCAGATGACGATCTCTTCAGCTGCTAGGATCATTCGCCGGCCAAAGACTGCACGTACTTATGGAGATGGTACGGAACTGGATGGAATTGAGGATCTTGTCGTTGAGAAGGAAAAGGAAAGCAAATTCAGGGTTATACCGAAGGCTGTCGGCACGTTAAAGGACAAGAAGCGACCTAGCACTAGTGCCAAGACCATACCCCGAAAGTCTGGTCCTTCGCAAGCATCAAGTGCAGCACCTTTAGAGAAAGGTGCTGTGAAGCGACCCCCTTCTAGCTTGGACGTTGGTGGTAAGTACCCACTGTGTGGGTGGTCCATCATTTTGTTCTCATCATGTCTCCACGTCAGAACCCCCACACTCCGCTGGCGTGGCTTCGATATCACGACAGAAGTCAAGGGCAGATTTGGGCGTTACGTCGCCTGGCTCCAATGTTCCCCCGCCGCTGCTTGCACCAGCACCGACTTCGGGCGCTTATGCAGCAATGAAAAGGGCTAGGACAAAGAGTGGAGCTCAAAAGAAGCCAACCTTGATCCGGAACCTAAGTGGCGTAGGATCGCCGAAAGGTACGCAAGGATTTGGCATAACAATTCACTTATCCTGACGAGGTTTAGTTATCGGGAATATGAAATGGAACCCGCAAACATTACGCTGGGAAGGAAATGAATCTGCTCTGAAAGATTTTGAGTCCAAGCTCATCACGCCCGTCCCGCTCTGATCACACATCTCACTGGATCTTCTGTGGGAGGCGTTGGATCCCCGACAGGCTTTCTTGGTCACAACACACGCATTGTCGGCAACATGATTTTCGATCCCACGAAGATGTGCTGGATTAATCGCAATGCAAAGGATGAAATTGACCCATTTTCTGGGATGTCAGACGAGGACGACAATGAAGCCACATGGGGGAAGAGCAAGGGTGCGACAATTACGATCAGAACATATCGTACCAGTGCTCCAACTGCTGGAACACCCTTGGAGACTGTTGCTGGCAGCCCTGCTCGTTCCTCCGTTGCTGCCACCAATCGCAGTAGTATGGCGTTCACGACCACAAGTGAAAGTGATACAGAGAGTGTAGAAGCTGTTTCTTTAGCCGGATCTGTCATTGGTGGTTCCCCGCCCAGACGTTTTGAGCGAGGAGCTTCTACTTCACCCATACCTGACGTGGACGAAACGATGGCAGAACTATGCCGGCAGGCAGAGGAGCGACATCGTAGGGAGATTCGCGGATGGTATCCACCTTCGAGTCGGCGGAATCGTCGAGCCACTCAGGAGGACGATGATGTTGAGGTTGACCGCAGCTATCTTTTTGAAATACGAGAGCTTGCGACTCGGAAATATCCCGCGTAGTGAACAACATCCCTTTCCCTCCGTGACACCCTCCACTACCCTTCCGATGAACTCCCCTAACAAGTCCTCCGCGATGCCTTCACCGAGCTTTCTGTATCTTTCAATGGTGCTATTGTATCTTTATTCTTGCGTTCTTGAATTTCTCACCAGCTCACTCGTATTGTTCTCCCATGTGGCTTACGCTCCTCCATGTGTGCCCAGTCAAACTATGGACATATGCCCTCTCATTCTTCCACCTCACTCCAATCCAGCCCTTATATCGTTATCACGAAATAAGCTTCTTAACAGTTCTTTGATGTCACTGGGCCTCAGCCTCAGCCTCCAGTAACTTCAGTTTTCGGAGCTTTCATGACTTTTTCTTGCTTGCTTTCGCCTGTTTTCTTCGTCTCGTTCTCACTGCCTCATTTCCCTTCGCTATACTTGCTCTTTACTATCTTACACCATACTCACTCCTTTAACTCGCCTTCCATTCATTTTGGCATTTCCTCGATTTTGAGCCCCATGAAGCAAACAAAGTACCTTCATTGATATTCTGTTTTCGATTTTCGTAACAGTATAATGTCGCTCTACGGAAAATAGCATTCGCTTCGCGTCTGAAATCGTCCTGCCTGAAATCTCCGTTGACGGACAGACATCATACGAATGCGTTCTTGTAAGCGTCTCGGCCTATGAGTCCATCGAGAGGCCTCAGGCTCCCCCTGAGCCAGTTGCGGACTAGTTCGGTGGTGAGGCCAGCTACTCGAATGATGACACCAGAGCTGAATCCACCGCGCAGCTCGCTACGGTCTAGGTCGGTATAGAGTGATGGGGCACGCATGTTAAGGGGCGAAAGAGACCAGACCAGGTCTTCAGGTGATGATGCCTGCATTTGTCGGATTGCATCGTAGGTCTCGGACAGTCGAGATACAATCTCCGCCAATGCTTTATATGTTCTGACAGGGAAGGAAATTGCTGATGAATCCGTTGGGTTCGTTGTACCAGTTGTTGTTGGATCGGAAGGAATAATGATGAATAGTGTTGCATAACAAGCATATGGAGCCAGCCGCTCGCGGACTGAACGAGGCTGAGAAAAGCTATTTGCAGTCGAACCCGAGTCCTGTGGAGACTCGAGAAGCATGACATCTCTTAATACCCTTCTTCCTTGTATCCACACCTCATTGGTGCTACGATACCTTTCGAAATCCCACTCCTCCCCTCGCGCCATCCGACCTGACGTGAACCAATCTAGAATGACGGCTGCTGAAGAAGCGGGGTCCTCCAGATGGAAGGTTTGGGTTTGTGAGTATGATGCTGAGGAAAAGGGGGTGACAGGGTCCGGTAGAAGCAGTAGAATAGCATCGGAGGACACCCTAGCATCCATGTGCTGTGTAGTCCGGGATGCGGCTTGCTCGTTGCCACTACTACTGTCGATGTACGAAGATTCTGCTTGACGTTTATGGGTCCTTGTCTTGAAGACTTTCGTGGACCCCTGCAAATTCCAGGAATATCCACCATCCAGAACGTGTAATTTGGGTTGTTCGCAACGCCATTAAACCAAGTATTCAGCATGCAAGGGTAAGATGACGAGACAATGAGTTGAGTCGGACCTGTGTGAGGAGCATCAGGGCGCAGCCCTTTCCGACTTGTACATTAAGCTCAATTCTATCTCCAGACACAAGACCACCACCGTATGAAAGAATATAGGCCGTGGCCAACGGAATCTCAGCGTGGCTGACGGGGGATAAAAGTTTCAGGGGATATTGATATGAAAGGATGGAAAAATATGCTTCATTTCTTCCATGAGAGTTAACATGCGCCTTCCCCTTCCCATATGCCGGAAAGCGTGAAGGGGGCATGCCAAGGCCTTGATTGTGGTTGTCGGATCTCCTGTTGCGTCAAAGAGATTACCTTGCTTGCAAGGTCACTTTCGGACTTTCCCAGACACCGTGGGAAGCTCGAACTGACAGCAAGGTGCAGCGGCCTTTCTAGTTGAATGACATGTGTGCCATAACTGGATCGACAAATACGAATGCCCACAATGGATTGCGAGGTTCTGTCGGGCTGATTGCCAGCCCCTATTTTAGGTGTTGGAACACAAGTCATGATGCCATCCGCGGCCGGCCAGACGCGCAGCATCCCGCCCCGACACCGCCTCTCCGACACGTCTGTGCATCGCTCGACATGTAGCATAGCCCCGTTGTACTATAAAATGAATTAAGTAATAAAAACAACAACTTTTGGTCTCACTTTCATCCTTCGTTACTACGCGAGCGTATATAGCCGCTGACGTTGGCCGCTGAAATGCCACGTCCATATCGGGCTAGTCACCACAACATTGGGCCCGTTGTCCAGATCGCTACAAGTGAGATGAACTCCGATCGCTTGTGATTCAATACTGTTTAGTGACGTCTGGATTGTCCGATTGGTTTATTAGTCATCAACTCCGACTTGGCAATGTCCATCTGGAAGTTGTTTCGTGCCTGGTCCTATTGAGAACAGTATATGCCCTCACCAACCCTTCTCTCAGGCACCCTGGCCATCGTGTCTAGAAAGGGACATGATGGTGGCTTCCGTATCTCGTTGCATACTGGTACATGCCCCATGGACCTCTGCTCGTCGGCTAGGTTCATGAGGTAGAGGTTTCACTTTCTAGCGAGTACAAAATCTTAGTACATGGAGAACCTGATATCTGGCTCCTATCAGTCTCTCGACGAGTGACCTAGGCCTAAGAAATTCGGAAAATCATAACTGGCCCATTTGGTTAGGTCCCTGATTGTCCATCTTTCGCAGCCTCATCCAGGCTGTATTCATAGCATCACTAAGCATTTCGAATCCCAGGCCCTGGGTGCCGCGTGGCTACTGATTGAGAACTTGCACCGAGGAACTCAGCTGCCATCTCCACCTCATATCCCTCACATGAATTTCATGCCCTTCTTGCAGAGGACCGAGTCCGTTACACGTTCTGCCATAGGCTCCTGTCCCGATATTTGTGTCAGTCTCGCCACTCAAACAGTGCTATCTCTGGAGGGTTATATACTCGCGCGAGTTACTGTTGTTGTACGCAGCTAGTACACGTTTCCACTCCACAAAACTCAGATTCGTCCACAGGATTATGGAGGCGATATACTCCTTGACACCCTTGTGATTCCCCGATCCAGAGTCATAGATTACTGTGCCGAGCGCACTGGATTCAACGAGTCGCACTTCATCGCTGGTGGTAAGATTCGGTCTAGGATATCCATATCTAGGTCATCCGAAAACCTCCCAGGTCATATCCTTGGCTTTGAAATTACTCGTCAACGAGTGGCTCAGCATTTGAGAGGGAAAGTCGTAGTTGGCCACCGACTTTGGGTGTCATTGGACGTAAGCAATATCCACCACCCCTGCCTTCCTCATCGGCCATAAGAGAGGGATCCTATAGGCTCTCCGCTTGTCACACCCAGCAGACAAAACACGGGACTTGGCAACATACTTCCCCCTTCTAGCTGCTTTGCCTTCAAGTTCCGATCAGTGAGCAAGCTCCATCATCGAATGGTGATCTACCAGCTGAACTGCAAACCGTTAGGGACCTTCAGGATGGCTTTCCCATCTTGGTGCAGGAATTCATGCATCGAACCATTCGTAAGGGTTTTGAGAATTCCGTAAGCGCCGAATTTTCTGCACTAGCACGTTGCCACAGAAAATGACGGATGGTTCATTTCCTCAGGTCGAAGATGCTCGCGCCGCTATGGATCTTTACAGATCATGCCGGGACAATTGGGAGCACCTGATCGCTGCATCCTTCTGGCCATCGCTCACACCCCCGCGCGAGTTTTTCCAGTGCTACACTTGACACATTGGAATCTATTTGTACCGGAGACTTCAATGGCCAGTAGTGTGGGATAAGAGGGTTGTTACAATTGCCCGCCAAAAAATTAAATGAACGCATTCTTTTTGTGGACCATAAACAATGTGGTCTGGATATGTCGTCGCGAGTGCTAAATGCGAATTGTTATCATTATCAGACCAATCGAGGATATGCTCGCTCATGTGCCGACTCAGAATACATTTCCTCGGCGTACAATCTTGATGTTGAGGACGAACGTCGTCTCAGTGCGTTCTAATAGGGGAACATGCACGAGCAAAATCTTTCTCCTAGCCTAAGTATCTCTTTCGAGACAGATTCAACCTACATACGGTGATGCAGACTTGCACTCACTGGCGATGTTGTATAAACGAGGAATTCGTGTCGACAACACCGCAATACCGTTCGGGCGTGACTGGCTGAGTGGTGCGGGGACGATATCTATAGTCTGGCGACATTTGTGGACTACAATGATCTTTTGTAGGCAGGATCCCAGCCTCTACTAAAGGCCTTTTGCCGTTGCGCCTCATTGGAGGATAATTTTATTCTGGAAGGGTTTGAGCCTCTCGAAATAGGCATGCGCTCCTTGGGGACCCGCGGCGGCAGCATGACTTCTTCCAGTAGAGGCTGGTAGCCTGTCTAGCACACGCGCATGTGGCTTGCTAGATGGAACCCGGGGTATACACCGTAGCTGGAGAATGGGACCATGTTACCCTAATAGGTCCCATGGAGAACATTGGAATGTGCATGTCATGGAACAGGGAATTGGTTAAAACTAGTTGAATCGCCTTCGGCTAGATGTAGGCGTGCCGTGGGAGTGATAAGTGATGCAGATTTAAATTGAACGAGCAGGGAGCAACTCCGGTATACGACCCCCGCAGAAGACACCGCACAAACCCAAGGGATAAATTCTCAACGTGTATCACACAGATCGCAGACTACATGATCCACGATACAGAAAGGATCCGCCCACACAGCGAAACCCCATGGCACATCTCGGAGCACGACATCGAAGGATCGGATTCAGATATACCTGTCAGAGAACGACTCAGGTGAATCCGCCAAAGAAACATGGACAGACGCACACCTGGGATTCACGACAGAGTTCAAGGAAGATCCAGACTTTCTCTTCGCTTACTCGGACGACTCCAAGTACATGGAAGAAGGCCAGAGATACACTGGATTTGTAGTAGGCTACTCAGCAGGAAAAATCGTATGGATCGATGAGCGGTTATAAGCCTTCGACACGGAGATGATGACCGAGGGCAGCGGCGGAAGAGACCCGTCACTTTATAGAAGATGACACACGCACTCACAAGCTATCCAACGTAGTACTCTGACAATACGAGCGCGATCGGCCGCGTCTTCCAAGGGACGCCCGGAAAAGCCCAGGAACACACAAACATTCAGGGAGACAGTGTGCAAACTTCTCGATAACAGAGCAGACCTCAAAGTCGCGCTAAGCTGGTGCCCGGGTCACAGGGCAAACGAACGCGCAGACGAACTGGCTAAAGACGGGGTCCGTTTCAGATCAGGCAAACCCCATTACCACTCGCTATCCTACGTGGAAAGCCTGTACAAGCAGGACTGGAAGAAGAATGAAAGGAACGATGTGCAAACACACCCACCCTAACTAGCTCTGGCTTCCGCGCAGCGAATCAGATCCCACCATCGACCAAGCCCACCGGAAAACGTTCAGCACCTTCCATCCGCACCGGCCATACACACATAGGCGAGTACTACCACCGGTTCGGAATACACACGGAGAGCAAATAGTGCACATGGGGAGTAGCCAACCAAACGAAAGAGCACATTCTACAGGTATGTCCCCAGTTTAAGAAGTCCAGACACATACTGGGCCGCGGCCGTCAGAACAGGTTCACAACTCTTATGGGGAACCCCAAAGGCATCCTCAAACTAGCAGACTTCATCAAGAAAACGTGGGCCCTTGACAAAAGGAGCAACCGGAGAGCGACGCAGCGTGAGGAAGCAGAGAACAGGACAAACAGACCGGGAGAACAACGCGGAAAGTGCAGAGTAACTTAGGCGCCAGGCTTTCACATGCACCCCAGACATGACTAAAACCTGACACCACAACCCGTCATCCCGACCATACCACCAGACAATCTTACCATGTATTGATGAACCCCTCATGTACTCGGATGTAACACGTCGGGAAAGCCGCGCGCACTGCCAGGTAAGTAACAAAATACAATAACGCAGCAGGCGCGTCTGCGCCGCATGTGGGACATATTGCCGAAGCGGCGTCATGACAACACAGTTGCTTTTCACCGGTCGTCGTAGTACGAAAAAACACAGTAAATACAGTCGCATCCTTGGCAATCTAGATCTTCTGGGATCCTTTCTGACGACTCGGCATCTCGTTTGGCAACGTTTTGAGAGACCTTCTGCATTCATTGCTCCTCCGCTTCTTCCGCGGGCGTGTCAGGTAGGGTCAGCAGCAAGGGGGTGGAGGGGACGGGGATTCGTTGTTTGGAACGCCATTGTTTTAGATTCATCTGTTTTGTGCGAAGGCTGAGATAGTTGCATGTGAAGTGTCCAGTTCAAAGTGGAGCGTGATCCGAACGTTAGACTTTGACATCGGGATTCCGGTGGCTAGATCAATTGGGCTTGCACGCTACGGGTGCATCAACAGTATTCAGTGAACTGCAGAATGCACTGTCCACAAGAAGGGCCACTGGCGCACCAAGAAACAGACATGTGGATGGGGTCATCCGCTCTCATGTTCAATGAACATTACAAATCTCGCGTTCGCACCGAAATTCTATCTCCATGGGGAAACAGAATGACTGTAGTGGTTCATTTATAAGGTATCGAGAATAGAGGCAGGGATTGGAGTGGCATCTCGACGCTGGACATACATAGAGCAGGGATCATGAGTGGCACCTGTGCCAACATAGTAGATTGCAGCAATCACCCAGATCCCGTATTTACATCAAAACGTTGCGAAGGCGGGGTTGAAGTCTCGAAATCTTTGAAATTATTGGACAGAAGTTCAAGGTGAATAGCTTCCATTGTCCCTGAGGGCACGTTGGACTGTAAAACAGTGGCAGTAGCTCCGAAAGGATCATACAAAAACCAGTTAACAGGATGGCCTGAATGCAGATTGAATGAATGGTTCAGTGCGCGAGAGGCATTGCCAGCATTAGTAGGCGAAATAGCGACGAAAGAAGCTAATGAGGGAAGCAAGGGAGGAAGTGGTGGAAGGAGTTTGGCACCACGGTGGCAACACCATTCCAAAGCTCCACTTTCTAACAGTAAAGTACTACACTACACACACGGTTGCAGATTGCCAAGCCAACAGGTAAAGGTAACAGAAATGAGCCCAGAATCGAAAGCAAACCACTGGAGGAAGATAGTCATGAGTCGGAACACATTAGTAGTGTTCTTGCTCGGTGCCGATGGCTCAGATGCATCTCCACCACGTGCACGAAGTCTAGACTTAAGATCGAATGGATCACACATACGCAATATTGGAAATGAACGATTCAGTATGTCTGAACTGTGTATGGCGAAAGCCATCTTAGTTAGGACCAGGAGCAGAAGAAAGGGAAGGTGTGGAAGTAATGCTTATGAGGTCATGCACAACGACACACTGGTCTCCCACCATCCATTCAATGTCTGGAAGGACAAAGCGCAGAACGGCTGGCCAAATGGTGGAGAATGGTATGTGGAGTGAGGCATAACTTTAGAAGATATGTGGCTCAGTGGAATGCGAAGATAGGAAAGCATGAAATCACGATGTGAAGGACAGACAGACGATCAGGGGAGGGGAAAAGAGCGAAATTTGTAAGCCAAGTATAGTGGTCTACGGCGAAAGCTATCATCGGTTATAAGTCATGACTGAGCAAATTGGATCTCGCAGATCAGCGCAGCAGTGGTCCTTTTTGCTGCCTTCGAGTATGTTTATCTTCGGTTAGGATCGTACCAAATAAATATTGTAACGGGGATACTTATGTTCAGCGGAGTTAGCCGGAAATTTCCGAGTTCTTTATTCAGTCAGTCGAACAGAGCCTTGCGCTCTAAGCCATCTGTATGTAGCTTCTATGACTTCGTAGAATCTCTACACAGAAGTTGGAGTCGATCTAGAAACGGAGTCGTGAGATAGGCAGATCCCATGGTGACTGCCAAACTCCGGCTCCATCCGTTTTTCGGTCGGCTTGTCGATCGAACCGCCAAGCAGGGGAACGAACATGGAGACAGTCGGCTTCTTGCACGCAATTGATCCGAGACTTGATATCCAAAGCAACGTAAAGCCTGGGGAACGTTGTTCTTCCTTGCGGATGCAGCGGTGCCCACCCCTGCTTTAGTGCGGTGCGATGCTCAAGTAATGCTCAAGGTCAGCTATGGTGGCACCTCAATCTTCCCAGATAGTCCATTCAGCATTTGCTTTTGGTGGGGTTGCGGCACTGTGGAAGGGCTCAGATTCCTGCTGCAATCAAAGTGCGCAGTCAACATCTGGCAGCAAGCGCAAGATGATGAATATCACAGGAAGCTGTTATCTCGAGGGCTTCCAAGGCTCATTCAGAATGATGACCCAAATAACTCTCGTAATAATGTCCAAATGACGACCGCAACACCGTTACACGCTAAGAGCGAAGGAGGGCTACTGCCTACCTTTGGATGAGTCACCATGCGTAGAACAACGACGTCAATTGCTGTTCATCCCCCAGCATACGACTTTTATTATTTCCTCAATGGCAAAAGTCATTTCTTCGATACACTGGGGTTGTCCAATTGGGGGGACACGTATGAAGAGCACTTTTGTATTTCCTTGCGCCTGGGAGCGAGGTGGTCCTTGGAAGTTGGGACCTCCGTCTCCATGTTCGTACGAGACTTGCACTGGATTCTTTTTTCGATGGGAAAAGGAAATGGGACAGTAGTACATTAATTCGCCCAAGAGCATTCCTGCATCGGATGAGTGCTCGATGTCCTAACGATGGCAAAACAATAAGGCTGGCATGAATACGATATGGCAGGCAACCGACTAACCTTGACGCCTTGTTCCTTTACGAGTCTTATGAGCTCCTCAACATTTAACGGATCCTCCAAAGCATCCCTCTTCGGCCATTTCACTGTCCGTAGGAGACGGACACTGATAGGTGCCGGAGTCATGCCGGCGTCTAGGACAAGGGAAAGATCAACATTCCACCGGACACCAACCAGCTATCCAGCCCAAACAGCTAGGCACGTACAAGGTTTCAGCGGGTGGAGAGATGCTGGATTGGGATTCGGTATGCAGGGTCGAAGGCTGGGATGTATTTCATGATGATCGTAAGGAGCCAGTATGACATCAACGTCATGCTGAGTGTAGCCGGGTTTTCGAGCACGACTTGCAACCTTGATGCCTCCTGGTGGGCCAACCCCCACATGGACAACTAAACCAAAAGGACTAATGTCAGGTGGTAGAGTTGCCACTTCCTCAGCGGACCTGTCGTTGACGAATATTTGGAACGTAATCAGCTACGAACTTCATGCAAGGCGGCTGCACTGACCTTGGAGATTGGGGAGAGGATGCACGCAGAGGTTCACTCATGGAGAGAACAAACTGGCGTGACACTTGCACTTCGGAGGATAAGATCTTGATATCCGCCATAGTAGTGGCAGCTCTGCTCGTGTCAGGACTCGTCGCTGGCCCCTGCTTTTGGCATTTGAGACCAGTTCGTGGATATTTCAAGGTTTTCCCTTTCAGGGGTTTTACTGCTAGGGCAGCAGGATCCTGAGATGACGGCCGAATGCACTGAGAACAAACACTCAAGTTTCTGTAGGACGACCTACACCGCGGCTAGTGATACAAACTGGAAGATTCTGGAGTCTCATCAGTAGAGGATTGCTCGCCGGCAAAAAAAATTGAGTGGCGTTGGTTGAAGACTCAGAAAGGGGTTGTTATCCCAGGATCTCCCTATATATTTATGTGGCTTTTTATCAGCGATTTAGGTAGGAACTGCTGATCTCCAATAAAGTACGTATGCATTCGCGCTCCAAACATAACTGCTGATGCTACGACGACGAAAGTGACAGCCAGGGTGCTCTTTTCTAACATGTTGCTTATGCAGCTCCCCGCTCAAGGCGTTGAGGTAGACGAAGCAAATATCGATGCACTTCTCAAATCAGCCACCCGGTAGGTGTAAGATAATCGCTGGACCCTGGAATAATTTATCGTCCTTCTCCAAAAACGAACGAATCACACGACGTGTGGAGCTGATTGCCTACAGTTGAATTTCTTAATTACGTTAGCAGTGCCCAACTTAATGATCGAGCATCGCTCCGCTTGACATCGGATGAGGTTTTAGATTCTTCATGGGTTGGATATGACAGCGCTTAACTTTGTTCTCAGATGGGTTCGTGGGCACTGGCTTTTGAAGCGTGGGAAGTCTTTTAGCGCCACTTTGTTATCACACCTTGCTTACCTTTACCAGAGGGTGGCGTCAACGCGTACTAATTACTGATGACTAAAAGACATCTGATATGGTCTATCGACAGTAGGGGCACTTACCGGCGCTTTTCTGAAGATGGCCTTGCGAGGGTCTGCGCTGAGATTCTTTTCATTGTCTGTCTCCATCTCTGGGTTGGCCTCATGGTGTCGATGTGTGGCACCAGGATCGTGCCCTATTAGCTGCTACTTCCCCAACACTTCCCTCTAGAATTTCCTCTGCAGGCTTTACCCATTCACGGCGCGTTGCCTTGATTCATTTTGGCAGCAAGAATGTGGCGTCATTTCTACGTGAAATATCTCCTATATCATTCCTGCCCCCATATTTTTCCTTTACGGACGGCCCGTTAGTCACGCATTATGAGGATGCTGGCCGGGTTTATTGTATCTATTACATCTGGGGGATGCAAGAGAACCAATCACAGTTGAGGATTGGAGATGCAGGATCGGTAAATATGTGCCATCGCCGAGACGGAAAATAGAGCAACACCCGGATAAATTATGTGTATTGGATTAGAGGTAAAGGACGATTGATGAGAGTGGGAAGGCAGGGCGCATGCGTCCCCATAGCAATATCGTAATGGTAAAACACAGTAGATGTAAGATACCACAGCCCCTGTAGCAGGTCGTTCACACTATGGTTGAACTATGCCATTTCATTGGCAAAATTAAAGGATTCTTTCTAATCCTCACTTAGTAGCATGAAGAAAGAACATGCGCCTCTGGGTACGGTTGTATAACGGAAGTTAACCCTAAGACCCACAAACGAAGGGTCCCATCTGGTGGGTGAATCCACTTTTCACCCGCACACCGGTAACAGCGTGGGTTTAAGTCGGAAACGAAGCAAAGAGTGGATTAGGAGCGAGCTACCGAAAGTAAAGAAGGCATCCTACTGGGCACAGCACAAGATTGGCCTGACGCACGATCGTCAAGTAATGCGATGACTCCTTACCACCATGCATACAGGAGAATGTGGGACAAGCAAACGTTAGACAGGACGTTAAGAAGGGAGATGACAGGGGAAACAGCGAAGACACCAAATGAAATGAGTGATACCGGGCCGCGAAAATGAGAGACAGGCCGGCAGAGACAGACAGTAAGATCTATTCACAAGCATGAAGAAAGATCTCATTGGCAGGCAGCGGTGAGTCCGGTGCTCACAGGCAGCAAGGCGACTGCACTCGCCACGCGGTATGGCGGCTTACGAGACTCAAGAGTGGCACCTGGGTACGTGTGTAAGTGTGTGGGCACGCTGTTTCCTATCAGTATAGAAGAGCGGGTGAAGCGAGACATAGTAGCGAGCGAGGCTGAGGGTGTGATAGAGAAGAACCAGCGGAATTATCCTGCCGCGGGCGTGTAAAGGGGACAAATGGATGACGGAAAAACGATGGGGCCACTTGCAATTCCAGGACCGGTCGGCATATGTGATCACCAACCTATTAGTCTAGCAAACCATTTGTATTGAACATCGGCTGGTCGCGAGGTGTGTCTCGGCTTCGCAGAAGGACAGAGACGAGACGGAATTTGCCTCCGCTGAAATCGAAGGAACCACACATTACCAATATTATTAAACGATCCTCGCTCTAATTATGTCGATGGGATCTCTGAAAGAACGGCTAGGTACGAGCTCAGGAGATATTTGAGATTTTAAAACACTGCTGCGCGTTTATCATTACTTATAATATTTGCCGGAGGCATGGTCGCTGCGCTTCTACCTTCCACTGTTTTCCCCCGCCTGCTATCCCTGTTCAGTGAGTGAGGTCAGCAAAAGCTGATCTTCTTAGACTCATTCGATGTCCAAGTTGTTGCCTAAATCGCAGCTGGCTTTCCGCCGTTTCTCCCAAAGGTATTATTTTTTCCCTTTTGTTCTTCCATTGTCCTCCATGATTCCTACGCCTCACGAAGCCCTTGTCTCCTCTCGTTCGCAAGCCCTTCCCTCCTCCGCCCCGTTTTCCTACCTCATGTATCATTGTGTGACTTCTACTTCATGTTTTCTTCTGCCTCGTGTATCCTGGCGCGGCTTCTCCTGCCTCACGTATCATTGTGCAGCTTTTCTGTGTCTTCTCACTTGTAACTCGGTCTCCGTATTCTTATATGCGGATTGCGCCCCCGCTACATTCTTCCAAACTCGACAGGGTCCTTTTCGGCCGTTTCCCGCCAAGATCACGGTCACCTAGATTGAGGCACGGCCGTAGATTTTCCTCGTCAGCCTCTATCCGATCCAAGTTTGTGGTGATAATATCGGAGCATTAGATTAGTTTCTGCGTCTTACCGGCTATTTTTAAGAGACCGCCAAGAAAGTTTGACGCCAAATTCCATTCCATCTCCAGAGCACATCGATCTCCTCACATACGATGTGGTTCAATCCTACCGATGTGAATCCCACGCACCTTGCATATACTTGTATCGGTGGTTTCGTCGTTATTGTGAGTGACTTTTTTTGCACCACGGCTGTTCCACGTGCTGGTGTAGCTTCACTGATAGCAATCCGGCTTCATGGCTTGTAGTTCTCGATGTTTAGCAATCTCGCCAAGGAAAAGCTCTATATAGGAGAGGTGATTGCCCGCTTCTCCCCTCTTGTTTGGGCCGTATCTGAGGCCAAAATCGAAGGTCATCCCTGCGACACTGTTCGGAATTATCGTGGGTGAGTCCGGCGCAGACACTGCTTCCTGCTTTCTTCTAAAGGCGCTAGTGGTTCAAAGGTCCTTCCGGGGCTAGTATTTTTACGCCCCGAAGCTGGGGAAACGTGTCGGGTAAAGCGGCAAACGATATCACTTTGGAGGTCACTCGTGTCGTCCTAGCCTGCGGTGTGTTTGCCATCGGTGCCGGTGAGTAAGCAATGCGTCAGTGATATATCTGTTTTGATCTCCACTTCTCTCAAGAACTGCCGCGGGGATATATGATTCGGCACTGGAAAAGTCTAGTTTACACCGTTGTTCCTGTGATGGCCTGGGGATGGTTCATATCTGCAGGTGAGAACTCCGAAATCACACTATATGTATCTCATCTCTCATGCTTGGTCTCTGTGGTAAGGCCTGATCGTGGCCCTTTTCCCCGAGCTTACCTATCAATCTGCCCTGGTTATTTCTGCCTGCTTGACACCTACAGACCCAATTTTGGCGGCCGCAGTGGTAGGAGGGCGTTATTCTGAAAAGAATGTGAGCTTTCTTAAGCGATCCGTTGTCTTTCGTACCAATTCTCTCCTCTCAGGTTCCCAGCCACCTTCGGCATCTCCTGGCAGCCGAGTCTGCTGCAAATGTAAGCCATTCGAAAAGTTCGTACGCCTATTCCCATTAATTAATCTTCGTAGGATGGCCTCGCATATCCGTTTCTGTGGCTCCCCCTGTATTTGACCTTGGATAAAACTACAGGCGAAGCTGTGAGGGACTTCATTTGCATTGCAATTCTATACCAAGTCGTGCTCGGGGTAGCGATAGGCATGGCTTTGGGATTCATTTTCTCTGTTCTCACAAAGTTTCTGGAGAAGTGGAAATACGTAGGGCGGGACTCATACGTGATTCAGTTCTTGTCTCTGGCCTTGTTTACTATTGGCGCCGTGACTCTCATGGGGAATGATGATTTGTTGGCTGCATTTGCTGCCGGTGAGTGGCTTCCTCTTACGACTGCTAAGCGGAATGTTGAATATGGACGCACCTCCTAGGCTGTACAGTCTCGTGGGATGGCCACTTTCACGAGCAGACTGAGGAGACGATAGTATTTGCCCACATTCTTGAGGTCCGTGTTATCCTAGTCTTGGATATGTGCGCACTTATGCTCAAGAATCCCAATATTTACATTTGACTTCCCTAGCTTCTCTTGAACTGTGCAGTTTTTGTGTTTGTTGGGGGGTGGATTAGGTTTCCGTCAATGAACATGCCAGAATTCCATATAACTCCCGGTCGCTTGTCAGCGTTCTTTTTCTTGACCCTCTTTGTGAGGAGGATACCCCCCATGCTCTTGCTCTATAAAACTATCCCTGACATCCACACATGGAAGGAGGCGCTGTTTGCCGGTTGGTTCGGGCCTATGGGCATCGTAAGCTATTCAATTGGCGGTGCGTAAGAGCTGACGTAGAAACTTGCGATAGGGTGCTGTTTTTATCTCTACCCTGGCGTTGGAACATTTACCGGTTCCGGAGGGGCACCCAACGACTCAAGCGGAACTAATTTCAGTGGTCATGCATCCTATCATCGCTTTCACCATCTTAGGCTCTATTTTTATTCGTGGGTGCCTTGATATTGCCTTGGTCCACGCGAGAGATCTAAAGCCATATTGTCAGATGGTCTATCGATCCCCGCTCTCTCGGTAGCTGAGTGGGCTAACAGGAGGACTGCACTCCGAAACGATACTACGTTAGTATCGCCACAGCAGCCAGATTGGCTGAACTTTGTTCAGGACCGGTTGCCTACTTCCCCTAACTATTCGCAAGACGTAACCGCGACCAACGCAGAGAGTATCAGCCCAGTGATATCCGACCCCCCAAAGATGCTCAAGGCCTCCTCGGATGGCAACCACCTCGCATCTCGTTCTCCTTCACCCCCTGCTACTGGTGCGGCGCAAGAGGCAGGGCCGAAAAGCGTGGCATTCGCAACCACGAGCATTTCCAGAGGTGGTGAACCTCCCTTTGTTATCCATCAATCTGAACGAACTTTAAACCGAACCTCGCGATCACCGTCACCGTTGGCAAGCCAGGAAAGTTCCGCGCAGATAATACCAGCTCGTACTCAAATATCGTCAGGGAACGATAGAAACCTCAATACTGAAGTAAGGGTTCCCATCACGATCCAGTGACCCTATCCTGAAATAACATCTCGTTATGATTGCACTTCACAGCTCGACACAGCTGGGATGCAGAAAGCAGAATGACAATCATTGAATAGACATCTAATTGCCACGCCCCTCTCCGCCAGCTTCCAAAACCAGGGGCACACATTCACTGCCAGCTCACCCCTAGAACTCATGAAGAGAGTGCAATCGTTGGGCTTTTTTATTCTGACGTCAAATTTGGGTTAGGTCTAACCAATGTTTATACCTGTCACCATGAGATTTATTGATTGTTCAGCACTGCGCTAGAACTGGCGCTCTGGTTTGTGTGTGCTACGTAAGGATGTTCTAGTCGACCGCCAGAAATTGGCGGCAACCTGCTTACCAGGCGTACCTGCAGGAATGTTGGTGATCAGCAAGATGGAATGATAACGGGACTCGCCGGTAGACCCGCAGCGCGTCGAGGCGCTGCTGGAAACTCGCAGCACGGAAACCAGCCTGCAAGCCACCTGAAGCCGCGTCCAGCTGCAACTATGTCATGAATGGCATGCAACGTCATCCATCATTGTCAAATCTGACATCCATTCGCAACATCAATTCTGGTACAATAATCTTTCTATGTTTGTCGAAAACAAATTCGCGCGTTCGTGAAGCTGGACAATTACAAACTGCAACGATCAATCCCTACGACGGGACGCTAGTTAATTACTGCCATGCAATGGTGGACGATGCTACAATTAAATCCTGCACAATCGATGGGGCGATGGGTGTGGCACGTTGTACCCTATCGGCCTTTCCACCCAAAAATGCTGCCACGCGAACAAAAAGAGATTGGTGCCCCATTGAATACGGAAATGGTCGTATGCTATGCAAGGTCCTGCACTCCTCTCCTAGTTCTCCCGTCGAACTACGGTCTAGAAGTTTCTTTTCGCGCGCTTCGTCTGAGAGTGAGGCTAACCTTTATAGTGAACTCAGGGGTCAGGGGGCGTTGGAGCGTGCTAAGGGCGCACGGGTGCCTACCTCGAAGGTATTTATAATGTGTGCTACATGTAGCTCAAGTTACTCACCGGTGAAAGGCCTAGCCTACTTTCGCGCCCATTGCGAGCACTACTAGCGAATACAGATAATGTGGCGATCTGTCTGACCACGGACCACAAAATGGATTTGATCAATTGTTTCCATAGTCCCTCGTGCGATTGAATTCAAGACTGCACGTCGGAAAGCTGTCTGCTGGCACTTGCAGGGATCAGTGTTGGATACAGGTGATGGATATTATGGGCCGTACCTGAGATACTGAATCCCAAGGGCAAAAGATGACCTAACAAACACAGGTTCTCTGGCTGTCCCATCCCCCGGGCAGAACTTGGAACGTCGCAACATACTTCACGTTCTAAGTGGCACTTGGGCCCGCTCCGCGTTTGCGTGCCAACCCCGTTCGCCTTTTCTTCTTACAGTTTTTGATGGGCATTCAGCGAGGAGTTCGAGAACGCTGTGAATGTGGGGGATGTGGTGGAAAATCGCGACATCCAGGTTAACTGGGGTCGAAAGATGCCTGCGCTGTGATCACTCGAAGCACAGCCAGCGGGGTACACCGATCACTCTGCTCATGCCTGTTGAGGCACTCTCGACCTGGTCATCAACGATCAACCCACACATACCGATCGCACATCATCAGGTAGGAAATCCCCTGCCAGCGCAGTGTCTTAAGCGAGCACCGATAATCACCCGAAGTTTCTGATGAAGGAAGACCCGAAATATATATAACTCCGCATCGAACAATTATTAGGCGACAGCTGAGCCCCTTTCAATCTCGTTCCTCCGGCCTGGTGCTTCATTCTGATGACGAAAAAGTGGTGTAAGCCATGGTATACGCATTGAATGACGTGCAGGGGCGGCAATATCAAGGATGCGTTTAGGACTCTATCACTCTTGGACGAGTGCATCGAAAATGAACGCACAAAGATGACCGATCAGAAGCCTCACGGCCAGATGAGATTTCTCCCACTCTCTCACTCGCCTGCAGGAAGAACAGGTGAATAGTTGGAAGCCCAAGAGAGAACCACTGGATACTCGCGCTACAGGAAACAGCTAACTCGCAAGGATCATGGCGACTCAGCTACAATCCACGTGTCGGCCTGCCGTGCCTGAAAAGGTCGTGGCCCAGTTTCCAACTTACGAAGCTACTCGATTGGTCCGTCCAGCCTTTCATTCAACCTGCACTAGTTGAACTAAGGACCATCATTCTTAGCGGGGACAGTATGATTTAATGAGCGGTCCCTAGTTCAACTGCCAAGTCCGGAAAGCTCGCCTCACTGAACGCGACAACGAATAGAGATCACTGTTATGTCCCATGACGCACCCCCTGTGAGCCGAGCACAACGATATAGCTACCAGTGGTATTGTCCTTGGAGCCCAGAAACTTCTGACTGGGAGATTTTGTGGACGGAACAAAGTGGCGGCGATTGATATGCGCCCACACCATGGAAACTTCTAAGCGGTAGGTAAGGAGATCGTCGCTAATTTGGTACGCCTTGCGCATACTTAGGCCCGGATCCCCCTAAATGAAGGCGTGAGGGGTCTGGTGAGCAAGTACTTGATTTCTACCTAAGGGTACGGAGTAGGACTAGGACAATGGGGGAGTTTCCTTTTTTTAAATTATTGATGCCTCCTGGGATGGTGCTAGGGATCTCCTTGATATGACTATGGAGTTGGCTTCTGATCTTGATCTAGGTTGGAGGGGCTTTGGACCACAAGCATGTTCATACCAAGATGTGAACGTGGAACACTGGGGGTGGAACTTGATCAGTGCGTTTCCTCAAACAGTACCGGGCGAGAGGTACATTGGAAGGAACGAGGATTTGGGGAATAGTGCCAATTGGAAGGTCAAGCTAATGACCATGGGACAGGGATGGCTAGAACGGTGCGCTGCGGACATTCCTTGAGTGCAGGGGCGGTAGCGGAAGCACACAACGAAATACGAATACAATCGATCGGGGGATTAATCGGCCGAAAGCACAAGAATAGGACGAGCTAGACCGAACTGACTGTACGAAAGAGGAGCAGGACTCATCGACGTGGATGCAGTGCTGGTCAACTAATTTGCTCGCAAAGGTCCAACGTGCAGTGGCCAAAGGACGAAAGGCCAGAAATGACGCCTGATTCCTCTGGTCTACAGTTCCATCAGCTAGAGGTTGCGTCAAGAAAATTGAAATACAGATGGCACACATTGGCCCTTGGTCATGGACACTGAGTTTGACCGAAAAAAAGCGATAACCGTCCGAAATGGCAGTCTTCCTGAGCTAAATATATATCGGACTTCTGGCCAACTCGGGGGTGCTGTTTGGGCCAGACCGCATACCCGATATTCTACTAGTGCCAACGTGAGATCCTTATAAAATGGGTGGAGCGACTCAATTCGGGGAAATGCTCCAGCAGAAGAATTTGATATAGAAAAGAAATCGAAGGAATGCTCTACGCAACGCCTGGCTTCGGCGTGGTGTAGTCCTGCACAAAGAAGGAATCGTGACTATAGGCAGTAGGTAAGCGGACCATGGTATCGAGAGCCAGGATCAGAGTGTGCATCGGCGGAGCACAGGCGAACAAGCTAAGCAGGATCAAACGCCTTCAAAGCGTTGCGCTGCGGGTAGAGGTTTCTGGCGACATTCGAAACTGCTAATATTCGGATCCAACTCTACGGTCAGGACCGGGGGGTCGCATGGGTATCCATTCCCAGCCCTTCGTTCGGAAAGGACACCAGCCAGTTTAGCCATTCACTTCCCCTATATAATAGGAAGTATGATAGAATACTCGTGGACAGGTACAAAATCGCGTTCGGAATCTAAGCAGGGTGAAATCGTTTTCTCCCCTTAGGTCGGCGGAGTCGGTCAGAAGCTCTCCCAGAATTATGGTGCCAAATCAGCGCAGGGAGAGAGATGCAGGATCCGGATGTGTAGCCGATCCGAACAAGCGAGAAGCCATTGCCTATGTCGCAGTTATTACACATTCGAGCTGGAGAGGGACAGCCCATCAGGTACTGGTAAGGGACGTGTTGTGGCGAGGCTCCCAGAACCCGAAACAGGGAAAGCACTCCACAAGTGTTTTGTAGTTACTAAGCGGTATTTATTAAACCCCCATAGGACGGCTTGGACAAACCCCTGCACACACGGTGACGCCTGCTGAGTCCTTGATGTTAGTATAGTTACAGTCATGTTCATCAGGCGAATGTTTGGCTGTATTGATGCTGCAGGTCGTAGAAATTGGCAACATTGGCCAATCCCACCCACTCCAACCCGACTCTGAATTGAGCTCCGTTGTGTTGAAGTGCGAGGCATTTCCTGCCAGGGGGGTTGAAAAGGCCCCAGGGCTGATGAAGCGGATGATGTAAGCAGAACGAACGCGTTAATGCCTTCTTAGGCAAGGCCATCTTAACCGCGTCGTCTCCGCAAGCCGGACTTTTTGTGTAACATTGTTGTAGAGACCAGAGGCCGCGGCGTTTCCCCACAATTATGCTTCAATCTGCGTGTCGCATGGTGTCGTAGAACGCTCCCCAGCTACCAGGAATTCTGAGGAAAATCAGTATACTGGAATCCAGTGCCTGGTGACCTTAGCCTGGTTGTTTGAGTAATTGCTTGTCCAACTTCGGACTCAATGACTCATGGGTGGAGCGCCTGCTGCCCTTTTGGCCCCTCACCGTTCCAGGCTTCTCTTCCTCTCTTGTTTGGGCCCAGAAGGGCCAATCTCCCGTTGGTATCGTCAGAACCATGGGAAACATCTTCCACAGGATTTCAATATTACATGATGTCACAGGCATCGTACGTCCATCAAATTTGCAAAAGACAGGGCACGCAGCACGCAGCTGGCCCTGCATACAAGAAAGGTAATTTCTCAAAATCAATGATAGCATCAGGAACTACCCGCCGTTAGATGTGGACATTCAGATCTGGCTGCATTGGAAACAGCAGATTCGCAGGAATCAGCCAGAACTGGCCAATTCTCGGTTCCGCTCCAACAAAAGGTGTCTCGGTTTGAGCGTTTCCCGATGAGGGCTCATCAGCCCTCGAAGCCATAGAAGCTTCTAGTGGCACGGACTCTTAAACCAGAAACAGCATTTTTGCAAGGAAACTAGATCGATTGATACTTTGTTGTTTACAAAGATGGTTTCCATGTGAAGACTCGTTCGCAGACCAGGAGAAACATTGTCAGGAAATTCTTTGAAACTGCAGGCACAAAGGAAGGGGAGGTAAAGGTTACGTCGCACCAAGGTCGCCATCAACTTCGGACCCCACCCCTCTACGCCCTTTGAATTTTAAAGGCCAAGAAGAGCCAAAAGGGCAACAAGGATACCGACAGCGTCGAGGCGAAGCTTGAGACTATTAAGAAGGGTTAGTCTCCGTTTGGGAAGCCGTCAGATTGGATACTTACGCCGCCACGAGTGGGTCCAAGATCGCGGGGCAAACAATCTTAATGATGACCTTAACCCACGCGGTGATGCAAGTGTCGAGTTGGAGGACCAAGCTGACAACCAGGGTGGTAGGGTACTTGAGGATGCCTACGCAGATTCCCTGCGCCAAGTTGTATCGTGCTCAGCGTGATAACTTGTGTCGATTCTGCAAACGGACGTACCACAATAATATTGACAATGATATCGATGCAGGCTGAAATGATGACCGTGATGGTGCAATTGGGAAGAATCCTGATTGTGGCGCAGAGCTCAGCGGAAGCCCTAATGGCGGTAGTAATATCCCCAATAATAGGTCCAGGAGGATTATAGCCGTCTGCGTCAACGTGAGCATCTGGTAGAATGGTTTGACGACAACACGAATGGTTACCGAGCTGAAGAATCAGTGGGCCAACCACCTCGTTGAGGGCATTAAGGGCATCCTCAAAGTCCCGTTCGCAATCTTAAAAAAAAGTGCCAATGAAATCCCTGGGATTTCCGAGTCAAGATGGGAGCGCACTGCAAGGATTCTCCGGGAAGTGGGTGCGACGAGTCAAACCATTGACCTCGTTGCTGGTGACGTCGCCCAAACCACGCACAACGACGTCGTGTTTGTCAATGGGGTTCGCACAGGCGAAGAGGCCAAAGGACACAACCAAGAGAAGGAGGGAGACGATGCGCTTGGAGAACATTGTGGCGTTGGAGAGCGGTGAAGAGCTTAGACCGAAGAAAGCACTTGACTCTGAGGAGAGTGTGGCCCTAGTCCTCGTTCTGTTTTATGCCTTGTTTTCGGCTCCGTTTCGGCCCAATCGAACGTAGGGGAGTGTACATAGTATGCTGGAGAAGGTTCTCTGGTGTAAATGAACTCGTAGCTTAGCCTACGAAAGTACTGTAATAGACGATATCAGGAGTGCCCCTGACAAATATGGGTGTCCAATATAAGGATGCACTCCATTTAACCACTTGCAGAAACATTTGTGCATGGAGGGTCAATCGCGATCGTTCAGTCAACGAGTTTCGAATTTGGATCAACGCAATTCTTTAGATGCAGCGGAAGCGCGCTCAAGCGCCTTTCGACTCTCTAGGATTTTCCTGGGAGTGAGAGAGTCGAGGACCACCCCCGAATCATCGGTTTGTCCGAAGCAAATTGCTCAAGCAGACCCCAACCAGGTTAAGATTACCAGGGAGATTCCAGGCAGACAAACTTTCCTCAGAGTTTTTCTACGAGGGAGTACTCTACGACACAATGCAGCATGCAGATTGAAGCACGATTGTGGGTAACGCCGCGGCCTCTTCTGCAGCAATGCTACTGCAGCAAAAAAAAAGCCCTAGCCTGAGAAGACGGACATGTCCCATAGGCGCCTAAAGCATATTTCGAAACGCCGCCCTAAAAAGAGACCCTCAAATCAATCTGGCACGGTGAATGTGGCTGCAAAGGTTGAGGTGATCCTGCCTAAACGTAAAAAAAGCAAAACAAACCGGAATAGACCCCCCGTTTTGCTTACATCAGCGAACGTGGTCGTTCCGGCAACACTCATCCGCTTTCATTGGCAATGGCAGCTTCATGAATCAACAACCCTGAGACGGGACTTTCTGAGTCTCCACACGTCTGGTGGGAAAATTCTCTTGTGCCTGTCGACCCAGTGATGGGCTTGGCTCTTGGCAACCTTGGCAAGTGGTCGTGATCAGCCCACTGCCCCAAGCACGACAGAGTCCAATTCAGAATCGGGTTAGAGTGGGCAGTGTTGCCAATTTCTACAACTTGTATCCTGATGAACATGACCACAACCATGCACGCAGGCGGCCAGGAGTTCCCTTCAATGGGGGTACAAAAAGCGGTTACGTTGGAAGAAAAGGCTATGCCCTGTTTCGGGTTCTGTGAGCCCTGTCACAGCCCTTCCGACTAGCCAGGACGGTGCGCTCACCAGTACCTACTGTTATTTTACGGGCGCTCCTTCTTCAGCTCGGGTGAGGAATAGCGTAAGTGGGGACTTCTCGCTTGTTCGGGTCGGCCACACATCCAAATTCTGCATCTCGCTCCTGCACTTATTTGTGGCACCGTAATTCTGGGAGAGCTTCTGACCGATTCCGCCAACCTAAGAGTTGGCAATCCCACCCGAGACCCATCTGTTGTTCAGCCTAAAGGGAAGAGAACGATTTCATCCTGCTTCTCATGCCCCGCGGTTGTTGCACTGAGTGATGATCTTTAGGTCATGGAAAGGACTTGATTGACCCTAAACTGTTTCCTAGTAGAACAGCCCAGCATTGCTCCATTCCGATGCAGTCCATGGCAACGTGGGACTCAGATCCCACATGCTCGAGCTCAAGCACAAGATTCATCGGATACACCTCAAGTCCTTCCGCGTCCCACTTTGTGGCAACGATTATCATCATTGACCATGGATTTCCTACGCAAGAGGCGCCAATGCTACTTGAGTACATATTTATCAAGGCCTCCTCGACCACAGTTCAAAGCGGGTCGAAATTCGCTAGCGCCCATTTACGCCGTTATTTAGATACCACGTTCTAGCCTCTAGTTGGCTGAAATCTATTGTCATTTATAACAGCCTTCCCGTCTCCAGCTTTTTTTTTTTTCATCTTCCCTCCCATTCCCCATGCTTCAAATGCCTCCCACAAGATATACAAAGACATAGATCTATGGTGATGCGTCGGAACCGGGTGAGGTTGCTATGGGCAATTGCTATGTTAAACAGTTCAAGGAAACGTCGAAGGAATTGTCGACAAGCGCGCAACAAGGCTAATAATATAATTTTCCAATGAAAGCGGATGTTATGTAAAACTGAGCAAGTCGTTGGATATCGTAGTACTCCATAACAATTAGAACAATTTTGGACAGCTTCCATAACACTAAGCAAAGCGTGGGAAAGACAAACAACAGCCAAGTGAGTTTCCAAACTTGTTCCTTACGTCCCCTGTGTGCATGCTCGACCTGGCGCCGCCACACCAGTATCAGTCACCGTAGCCCGCCGCAAGTTCGCACCAGTACTGGCATCGGAATGCTGCCTAAACAGCGGATGCCCGTTCATGTCTTTGATCAACCAGCTCACCAAGAACGACCTAGATATACTTATGATATATCCGCTGATGTAAGCAAAACGTCCTGGGGTTGATGCAGGATCATCTCTGCAGCCACATCCACCGTACCCATTTGATTTGGGGGGGGGGGTCTTTTTAGAGCGGCGCTTCGAAAGATGCTCCAAGGCGTTGGAATATACATATGTTCATCTTTCGCAATTTGGGGCTTCTTGCGAAACAAAGTTGCTGCAAGAGCTAGAACCAGTGCAAAGGGCGGCGGCGTTTTTCCATAAACTACCCTTCAAACTGCATGCTGCATCGACATGTCGTAGAGCTCTCCACCAACTATCGATCAGGAAATGTTAGTAGACCTGGTGACTTTAATAATCTGGTTGGGCTCTCTGCTTACCCCACTGATTTCGAACCATTCGTTGACTTGTGGCCAGTGGTTGTTTAACTCTCTCACTCCCAGGAAAGCCCTAAGTGTTCAAACGTGCTTTTGCTACATCTAGGGAATTACGCTGGTCCAAATTTCAAACTCAGTGAGCGAAAGAATCCCAAGCACAAAATGCATCTATAAGTGGTTAAAATGGGGATGCGTGTCTATTTTATTCACGTTGGACACCCATATTCTTTTAGGGCCGAGGGGAGGCATTCCTGAGATCGTCTATCATATTTTTCATCTCCGTCCGTGGGTTGAACCAGATAGGCGGTGGCGGTGGTCCATTCACACCAGAGAACTCTCTCCAGCATGCTATGCACACTCTCCCCACACCCACGTTCGAAATGCTCGGTGCACCGAAAAAGGAGCCGACAATAAGGCGTAAAATGGAAAGAGGACTAGGACCAGAGTCAACTACCTTATTTGCTCTAAGCTCCTCGGTGTTTTCTAAACACGCCACAATGTTCTCCAAGCGCATCGCATCATCTCCCTCTTGGTCGTGCCATTTGGCCTCTTCGCCTGTGCGAAGCCCATCGTCGTGGAAATTATTGCCACCATTAACGCCGCTGCTAATATCATCGTGGCACAGTCAAAGTTTTCCACCCCACGTCGTCAACAACACTATATCAGCTTGCATTTTTATCATTGCGAATATCATTGTGGTATGTATGTTTGCAAACTCGATACAAGTCATCACGCTGAGGATGATACAACTTTCACAGACAATCTGGGTAGGCATCCTTAGGTACCCTTCGCTCCTGGTTGTCCTCTTGATCGCCCAACTCGACCTTTGCATCGTCGCGTTCGTTAAGGACCTCCTCAAGATCATTTTCCCCCGCGATCCTGCGATCTTGGTGCAACATAACTTCTCTCCTCGTCTTCCCGTTTCCCCTGTGTGCCTGGGATTTCAAAGAATTGGCTGGCGATCTCTTGTTCTCGTTCCGGTCTGCGAACAAGTCTTCATGCGAAGCCCGTTTCTGTAAACAATGCAATGTCCTTGCACAATGCTATTTCTGGTTTGAGAGTCAATGCTTCTGTGGCTCAAGGGGTGATGCTGAGCCCTCATGAAGAAATGGTCATTATTGTAATACTTCAAATGTCTTGAAAGGAATAGAGGATCAAACATATTTCAATTTGAATGGGGACAGAGCGGAGACGGACTTGTCTAGTTCTCCCACGAATCGGTGCTTCCAATGCGGCTAGAATGTTCAAATCCAACCACTGAGGCCTCGTTTTTGCATGCAAGGCCAACCGCGTGCCCTGTCATTTGCAAATTTGACGGATGTTCGAACTCCGGCACGGTTTCACGGGACCAACTGAGGAAATTTTTTGAAAGATACGCGCTTACAAAGTTCACCCCATTGCGAACTGCCAGCAATGTTTAATCCAAAGCACTGATATCTGGCATCCAATGCTCCTCCCCCCCTCGAATACGTGGTCGGAATCACAGAGGGCCACAGGCTTGTGACATCATGTAATATTGAAATCTTATATTTGATTCGAAGAACGTTTCCCATGCATGCATCTGATCGACGAGCGATTTACCCAAACAAGGGTAGAAGATAAGGAAGGGCCTGGTGCGGCGAGAACCGAAAAGGACAGCAGGCACTATCCTCGTTACATAATAATTATTCTATAGGAGCTTCCAAGACTCGGAAAATAGACGGTGCAGCCCCACGACTAACTTTTCTGGGAATAACTCCTACAGGAAGCCCGACCGATGTGTTCTAGGTACTCCTTGGGCACAGTTTTACTACTATCGGGAAGTTACAAGGGAAGATGCAAGTTTGGGAATTATCGGCTTGAACACGCGCAAAGCCACAGGGCATCAAGATCATACAACCCCAGGCGAGTTACCCGAAAGGGATGAAAAAAGCGGCCGCAACAGGCGAATCGTCCCGCACTACGAGTGCCTTCATTGAGCAAAACTGGCACCCGAGAAGCTTAGCTAGACGTATATATGACAACGCAAAAGTTTGCCGATATGACCCGCACGTTCCGCTCAAATGGGTGCTCATTTTCAGGGGCATTTGGACCACGGCTTTCTAGCTATGGATAAATTACTTAATCCCACCCCTTGGCAAGGGAACACCACACAGGGGGATCGTCACAAGCTGGGCAGATAGAGAAAGGCCAACGTCTTCGGTGAATCCGAGGAACCAATGACCATGCCAAAGTGCCGTGGTGTGTGAGATGCGCAAAGTTCCGTGAGAGCCCCCACACACTCACCAGCGTCTTAACGTGCAATATGGAGGTGGGCGCCTAGCCGCTAGTAGTGTCAATAGGGTAGAACCAGTTGCGGAGACGCATATATATCGAATGCTTGCGGGTGGCTTGGAAGGTTTTAACTCATCGTTTGCCCGACGAGGAGTCCCCCAGAGCTGGGGACCTGATGAGGTGCGAGGCGGCTGTGATCCCCGAATCTGCTCCCGCACACCCTCGAAACTACAGAAACGACGTGTTCCTAATGCAAACTACCTAGATCTGATTTCGGGGGTGCGACCCATCTCCAAAGGAACGGCTGAGTACGTTTTGTGCAGATGCTAGCGACGTACAGCGAGCATACGGCGGTGGGTCAGCATTAACTTCATCGAAAAAAAGCAACCTTGCCATAGGAGGTAAACCACACAATTCTGTATCTGCGTAGGGGGGGACCTGTGGGGTCTGCTGACGGTCTTCAATAGGGCATCAGCAAATTCAGGGAAAATTTTGTAATGACCATTCTTTCTTGGCCCATGGTAGAACCACGCCTAGCCGCCTAGCGTGACATGGTGGTAGACGTTGCCTTGGACAGCGCAGGTTTGAAATAATTGTACGTCAGCCGGGCTGTCAATGTCTTGCACTGCGGCACGAGCATCATTCGTGGACTTAGAAAGAGTCGCCTACCGGAGATTGAGGCGGGAGAAGAGTACAAGATCAATTAGTGCTGTCAACTCAGTTGAGGAATTATAGATAGCGGCATAAATGGGCGCTAGTGCATTTCGACCCACTTTCCGCCATGGAGGGTGCGGGCATTGATAAATATCTACTCCGGAAGCATTGGCACCCCCCTTGCCTAGGAAATCCATGGGTCAATAATTGTTTGTAACAAAGTTGGAGGCACGCGGCGGAATGACTTACAGTGTATCCGGTGAATCTTGTGCACCAAGTCCGAACATGTGGGTCTGAGTTCCACATTTCCTTATACTTGGGGCAATGCTGAGTTACCATAAAACGATTTTAGTGGTTTCCATATCCTAAGGATCATCATCACCCAACGCAAAGACCCGCAAAAGCGTGTGCGAAACACGTGAAGAAGCAGGGGTGGAAATCGTTCTCTCACCCAAGGGTTTGACCAGCAGAGCGGTCTCGGGTGGGATAGCGAGTGCCAACTCTTAGGTCGGCGGAGTCGGTCAGAAGACTCTCCCAGAATTAAGGTGCCAAATCCGTACAGGGAGAGAGAAGCAGAATCTGGGTATATAACCGATCCGAACAAGTGAGAAGCTCCCCGCCTAAGTCTCCGCTATCTCATACCCGAGCTGGAGATGGACGGTCCATTAATGACAATAGGTACTTGTGAGCGTGCCCGAGCCATCCTGACTAACTGTACGGTTGTGGGAGGGGCCCACAGAACACGAAAGCACTTCATAAGTGTTTTTTCTAACGTACCGCTCCCCTTAGGCCCCACAGAACGGCTTGGGCAAACGCCTGCCTGAAGTCGATGGGTGGTGTTTTGCATAGTTGCCATCAGGATATACATAATCGCCGCGTTGAATTTGGACTATTTGACCATATTGATGCTGCAGGTGAGCTGAGAGTGCGGGAAGCGAGAGACGACCGATGAGCGCCCGGTGAATATGACAAGTAGGTGCTGTAGGTTGTAGAGATCAGCAACTTCACTAACCAATCCCCAATCCAACCCGATTCAAATTGGAATATATTGATTGCGAGTTAGGTTATGTTGTGTTTGTAGCGCTGATCACTACCACTTGCCAATGTCGCCAAGGCACAGAGATAAGTCCACCGTTAGGGTTGAATAGTACTAGTGGTCGACAAGTACAAGGCATTTTCCCACCAGACGTACGTCACATGATGTGACGATGTGAGCCCGTCTTGCGTTTAATGTCTTTTTTAAGCAGGATCACCTCAACCTTTGCGGCCCTATTCGGCGTGCCAGTTTGATTCTGGGGACTCTTCAGAGCGCGACAGATGCTTCGGGTGTCTATGGGACATGTTTATCTTCAAAATCTGGGCTTTTTTTTCTGCGTGACATTTACTGCAGAAATCAGAGGCGGCCTTTCCCCATAATCTGCAAGCTGCATCGTGTCGTAGAGCACTTCTGAACTATCAGGGGTTTGAGGAAAGTCACTCTACCTGGAATCTGCCTGGTGACCTCTAACCTGGTTGGGCTGTGCTTGAGCAAACTTCGGACAATCGCTGGACTCGTGGGGTTTCGACACTCTCACTCCAAGGACCGCCCTGGGAACTGAAAGACCCTTGAGCATCGCTTCTGCTGCATTTAACGAAATATGCTGATCTAAATTTCAAACTCATTGAGTGAACAATCGCGGCTAGATGGTTCGCAGGTTTATTTTACTCACATTGGACATCCATATTTTTTTCAATGCCAAGGGAGGCACCCCTGAGACCGTCCGCTTCACTTTCATTTCTGTTCGTGAGCCGAGCTGCCTGATCGGTAGACGTCCATTCATACCAGCGAACCTTCTCCAGCATACTATGTACACTCCCCTACGTTTGACATACTCGGTAGACCGAAAAGGAGCCGACAACAAGGTATAAAACAGAATGAGGACGTAGTACCACACTCTCCTCAGAGTCAAGTGCCTTCTTTACTCTAAGCTCTTCACCGCTCTCCAATAACGCCACAATGTTCTCCAAGCGCATCGTATCCCTCCTCCTCTTGGTTGTGTCCTTTGGCCTCTTTGCCTGTGCGAACCCCATTGACAAGCACGACGTCGTTGTGCGTGGTCTGGGCGATGTCACCAGCAACGAGGTCAATGGTCTGACTCGTCGCACCCATTTTCCGGAGAATCCTTGCAGTACGTCCCCCCCCCATCTTGACTCGGAAAATCTCAAGGAAATTCATTGTCACCATTTCTAAAAGATTGCGACCAGGATCTCAAGGATTGCCTTGATGCCCTCAACGTGGTGGTTGGCCCACTGATTCTTCAGCTAGGTAAGCATTCGTGTTGTCGTCAAAAGAACCATTCTACCAGGATGCTCACGCTAACGCAGATGGCACGAATGCTCCCGGACCTATCGTCGCGAAGATTATTGCCGCCATCAAGGCTTCCGCTGATCTCTGCGCCACAATCAAGATTCTTCCCAACTGCACCGTCACAGTCATCATCAAAGCTTGCATCGATATCATTGTCAATATTATTGTGGTACGTCCGTTTGCAAAAATTCGACACACACACATACAAGTCATCACGCTGAGCACGATACAACTTGGCACAGGGAATCTGCGTGGGGATCCTCAAGTACCCTACCATCCTGGTTCTCACCTTGATCCTCCAACTCGACGCTTGCATCACCGCGTGGGTTAAGGTCATCATCACCGTCGTTTGCCCCGCGATCTTGGACCCACTCGTGGCTGCGTAAGTATCCAATCTTGACGACTCCCCCAAACGAAGACTAACCCTCCTTAATAGTCTCAAGCTTCACCTCGACGTTATCGGGATCCTTGTTGCCCTTTTGGCTCTTCTTGGCCTTTAAATTTCAAGAGGGGTGGGGGGGTCCAAAAATGACGGCGATCTTGGTGCAACGTGACCTTCACCTTTCCTTTATGTGCCTGCGGAAGTTCCTGATGATGTTTCTGTTCTCCTTCTGGTCTGCGAACGGAGTCTTCACGTGAAGACTATTTCTGTAAACAACGATGTCCCTATCGATCTGGTGTCTTTGCACAAATTCAATTTCTAGTTTGAGAGTCTGTGCCACTGGAAGCTTCTATGGCTGAGCCCTCACCAGGAAGTGACAGACATGAAAGGAATAGAGGATCATGTCAATATATTTTAGTTTGAATCAGGACACCTTTGTTAGGGAGCGGGTAACAGGAATTGTCGATCCAGTTAATTCGACCGGCTCTTGCGGATCGCTGCTTTCAATTGCGGTCAAGATGTCCAGATTCAACCCGTTAACGACAACTATTTTCTGACGCCTATCATATCGTTTTCGCACGCAGGGCCATTCCTTTCTTTGCAAATTTGACGGACATTCGAATGCCGGTGCAATTTCTGCATGTGCGCATGCATGTTTCCCATGCATCTGAGTAATTGACCCTTCCAACCCCAGACAAGGGAAGAGGGAGGGTCCTGAACTGGAAAAATAAGCGGTACATACTTCCCAAGGTGAGTACAATCACCCTTCTGGAAAGAACTCCAAATTTCACGGCAGGAAGCCCGATCGAGATGTAGGTACAGTTCTACTTGTATGTAGGTCACAGATTTTCCGTAATTTTCCGAACCACTCGGAATTATCCGCTTGAACGCGGGCAGCTTCGAAGCCGCAAGGACATCAATATTGATCATACAGCCCAAGGTGAGTTACCCGAAAGGGTTAAAGTGCAGCCGTACAAGGAAATTTGTTCTGCACTACATACGGGTGCCTTTATTGGGCTAAATTGGCTTGGACGTACCTATGGTCACGCGCAAAACTTGTTTGTCAACAAATATGTATGTCCGCGGGGCCCACTAATCAAATGGGTTACGCCGTCAGAAACAGGAAAGATAGGAACAAGTGCCAATGTAGCGCAGGAGCAACGTCTCTCAGGCTGGGAGAATATTCGGAATGCATAGGTTACTTTTGCACATACGTGGCTGCATTAGCACATTATGAAAGAAATTTAGATTTCATGAGATTTTCTGTCCGACCAGAGGGAGAGGCCAATGGAAGAATCGCTAGGAGAATCACCCCCCACGTGTACGTACCATCGATCATCAGAGTCAATTGTGATCAGTTCACGACCGGCGTAAGCCCTAGGTGTCAAAGTGCTGCACAAAGTTTGGAGCCCCTACACTCTTACCAGCCATCCTAATGTGCAATATGAGTTTTGGGGTTGGCTCCTAGCTTCCTTGATCAGGCACTTGAGCAACAGGGAACCGAATGATAATACTTGCGTGGTTATCCTGTGCAATAAGGGGCGTAGAAGAAAACTGATCGCGGAGTGTATGTACATACTGAATATAACACTTGCGGGTGGCTTGAAAGAGTTTTAATCCATAACCGACGCAGAGCTCAGTTGCTAGACCATAAGGAGTACAACCATGCATGCATGGACTTGCAATCACAAGTTTCCTATAAGGGAGTTCTGTAGTCACTTGATATCCATGTCAAATGGATCTATCACGCCAGGAAACCGAATAGAACAGGTATCATCTGTAAATCAAGTTTCCCCATGTCGCAGTGGGAGGAAAGACACGAGTGTTGGGTCCACACTCAGTCTACATGGGGTTACTGCCGGTGTCATTTTACTCCAAGAGGATTGGTGCCATGAATATTAACGAAGTACATGCAGGGTTGCAGGTCACTTTCCCACTGGAATATTGTTGGGCACCCAAAAGTGACCCCAGAATAAGTGCAAGGTTACAGAGCCCCCATCGGTTACTGTACCGGCGTTTTTTTCCTTCTATTATTAGTTTTTATGTCGGCCTACGGTAGCCGATGTTTGGTGTGTAGGTGGAGATAATGCGAAGAGGGAAGGGAGGGAGGGAAAGCGGAGGTCAGGGAGGGACGTGGTCCAGGTAATTAGCGCCATTCTGAAAATGAGGACCATGATAACAAAGAAAGCTTAGCCGCGCCCGAGCTGACATGGGAACCCCAAGTATGGCGTGGACCACCGAGCACATATAATCGAAAATCCAACACCCTGAGAAAGCTGACGAGGGAGATTCTAGTGCCAGTAATCCAAATCGACTCAAGGCAGAAAGAGAGCTCCGGTTCCACGACAACTCCCTCGCGAGAAACTGGGCTTGTAACCGAACCATCGCGGAATAGCCAGCACCAGTATCCTAGTTTAGGGAAGTCGGAGCACCTTTACGCAGTCATAGAGGCTAGCAGAGTTCTCCTAAAGTAGCTTTTCTCGTCGTTCTGCGTCTTTCAGGGTTGGGCGAACGGGTGGGTGGTTTTTGAAGTCCGGATCCGTGCCTTTTGGCACATGCTAGATTATCGTGAAGTCAAACATGGTCAGGAGGGGTATTTATGGAGAGGAGGTGGTTGTAAAGAATTGGTGTAAGTAGAAGACAGTATGGGCTACATGTGGTGTAAAAATGGGCAAGAAAAAAAAAAGAGACAGTCATGCGGGGTTGGACTCGTGGTGACAGCCGGCGTTGGTGCGAGGGAATGATGTGGGATGCCGCGTTCGAAGCTTGTGCGTGTCTAAACCGGTGCCCATGCTGGGTGAGAGGTCTTGAGTCCTTGACTCCAGGTTGGGTGTGGAGGCTGAGTTGGGGTATGTTCGGAGTCAATGCAAGTTCTGCCAGCAGGCGAAATTACGTAGGGTTGAGAAACCCATTATCATCACCGGGGAAGAGGAGCGAAGAGTAATGAAAATCATGAATGAAGGGGACTTGAGAGGGGGTATGCCAGCCACTGGGGCTCGGGGGCGCCAATATTGGGCGGAGGCGGGTTGGTATAATGCAGGTAGGCTGCGAGAGTGGCGCGATTTTGCCCGAGGTGGTATCCGAGTACCGGTTGGCGGCCCTGGTGAATAGGTACCATCATAAAGGGCTCCCACGTCGTGTAGTGGGCGGGGGTCACGTCTTGATGGACAGACTAATGAATAAAAAGATAGCAAAGGGCGTTAAAGGGGCATTGAAGGGTTCCAGTGGCCTAGTTTGCAGAATACAATGTAGAGCCAGCGTACGGCATCAAATTCACATGCGGTGGAAGGGCGGTAGATATAAGGGAGAGTGGGGCAAGAGAAATGAAGACTCGAGACGACCGCGGGACTTGGACCTGCAGTCCTTCCAGCCAGCCGACTTAAGGGGCCACCATGGGTGTCGCCACTGATACACCGCGTCAGCCTCCCTACAGACGTCAAAGACCTAATAGGGGCAACCGCGTGAAGACTTAGGTCCAAGCCAGGCCTTCAATGCACTAGCGAACTTGGCAGCCTCGACTCGCATTCATCGTCGAGGTTTAACGACGAGCCTCCCCTTGACATATGCGTCGATCTCCAAGTACGTGTCGGCTGAGCGCCTAGGTTCATCTATGCATCAGTCACTGCTCTTATATCTCATGCCAATAATCTCATACATAATAGAGCAGCGCATCGTGCAGGCGCATTGAGTTCGTCGGGGAAACCCGCTCCTACGTTGTCACGATCGTGACTCGTGAGGTCTCAATTGCGCTGACGGAAGTCCGGTTGCACGCACTTTGATTTCCGTTCCAGTCGCTGCAATGTGGTGATAACGTTGCATTTGCTTCTCCCAGCCAATCACAACGCTCCAACACACTAGTCGCCGTTACTGTGACCACATTTATGATCTGCCCAACGTTGCTGATCGAATGTGCAGCGCTGTGCTTGGAAGTCAGCCGGGCGCAATGCAGTACGGCAACAGTACACGGAAAACCTTTACATTCGGAGCAGTCCCTGTACACTTTTGCCCATGATCGGCCTTTATAAAGGTGCGCTAGGCCGTTTGAAATTGTATCACCCCCTTTCCACCAGGCTCTGCATAGACGAGTCAGCGTAACTGGAAAGGAATTTGACGGTGCCGGAGCATTATTTGGCACCAATAGCTTCGCGATTATGCAAATTTTCATTGGCATGTATGTGCAACACATCACACCAAATGACTTTAAGCGCTCATCGAAATTGATCATTCTAGGTTAGGGGGAAAGACGACGATGCTGGACGTAACGCCCTCTAGCACAGTTAATCATACAAGGGCGAAGATCGAAGCCCGCACCTTTATCCCGACAGACCTACAGCGTCTCACATTCATGGGGAAACAATTGAAGGGCAGTTGTACGCTGTCTGAATACGGGATCGGGGACAACTCCAGGCTTTATCTCAGCCTCCGTCTTCGTGGTGGTATGCAGATCTTCGTGAAGACCATCACTGGAAGAACGATAACATTGGAGGTGGAATCGTCAGACACGGTGGGACAAGTGAAGAGGAAATTCTGGCAGAAGGAGGGCATTCATCCAGATGTTCAATGTTTGTTCTTTGAGGGAAAGGTTTTGGAAGATGAATTCACGCTTTCACAGTATCATGTGCGAAACGAATCTATGCTTCAGTACGTGCTTCGTATCAGTGGCGATTGTTCTTGCAGCGGCGGGGGCTCATCGTACTAGCGTCGGTGACTCGGAGCCCATATAATGTCATGCGATGTATTGCGTGTTGTGTATTTCTGCCTCGGCCGCGCATATTTCTTCCCTATTGTCGGAAACCCCAGCAGAGACTGTATTGCGCCGAAGCAAACCACCTGGGAATTGGGGCTGGCATGCGCCGCAAGGCGTCGCAGTGGCCTGAGGGACGAAAGGGATCTACGCTCCGAACGGGCTGGGATGCATGCGGACTCATACCTGGCTTTGCTCGAAAATCCCATGTGCTCGTTGGCAACTCAGTCCTGTCCTGGCTCATAAAGGGAGGTCTTCTGAAATGTATTCAGTGTAATGCGATGCGCTATTTCGAAACAACCCGTACACACGCCCTCGAAAATGCGAAAGGGCATGTTGGGATGAGCGGTGTGCCGGCGCGAAGATTTCCTGCCACGTGCAGCCGGTCACACGTCGAGCGCCAGTCAGCGACAGAACAGGAAACACTTCTAAAATGGCGACGTTGGTCGAATGGCGACGTTGGTCGGCGCACACAGTACGTGTTCGTGAAGCTTCGAGGACTCGCAATCCCTAATGAGGCTGGTTCCTTTCTGGTCGGTATTTGGCTCAAAGGGGTGCTGGCGCAATTTAAACGTGCAAGCCTGCAGCTGCTGGTGGACTTGGCTCATATCCGAGATCGGTGGGATGCCGCATATTATGTGTCAGCAATCATCTATTTCCGAGAGACGTTGAGCACACCACACAAGCGAGTAATCGGAGTTTGAAAGTCCTTATCTCCGTTGTTTCAATCAAAATTTGCGGGGTCAAGTCACTGCTGCCAATTTAAATGAATCAACTCATTGGCAACGATTCAGTTTTGATGACCCATTGAATTGTTGAATGTGGGGTAACTTCCCTATAAGAGGGCAAAGGCCCAATGCGCCCTCTCCCCATTTCAGTTCTCCCCGTTTTTTGTTTCCTTTCAACTCTGCTTTGGTAGCCAAAGTCGGTCTCCCGTGACACACTCTCTAGCTCACCCTTTCCATCGATTGCCTGTTCACCATGTCGTTTGTTGCTCGGTGCGTGCCTCCTTATCGATGCCGCTGAGACGTGGCAACCCTGTCGACGTGTTCACTCACGATCCATCGCTCCAAAACTCCCTTATAGTAACCCTGCACTTGCGCCTCTCTTTGTAGCGGTTGGCGCTGGCATTGCTGGAGCCACATGGTGCGTTGACATACCATTACGTCTCACGAATCGATCTTGAAGATAGGAATAGGTTCGGCTCTCACTACCTCCGTAACAACCCAGATATCATCGTCGATAAGCGAAACACGCCTCAGCCATGGTTGAACGTCCGCCAGGACCAGCAAACGAGTACGTATCAGGCTTCCTTGCTCATCGGATCTCAAGACTGATATTCTCCGCGATGTCCCTCGTAGAGCTTTATACTCCTAGTGAGAATGGTTCTTTCTGGGCCTCGCGGCAGGGAATGGCTCAGCCTTCCGAAGTCTACTCTGCAAAGGAGAAGGTCAAGGAAATCAAAGCTCGCGCTGCTCAGCATTAATCGAACTGTATCTTGTCGACCCATGTGTATGCTTCAAGTTGTAATATATTCACAGCTCTCTCATCTTTGACTAATATGTGGGATGCTCGTCGATGGCCACCAACTCGTTTTGTTATCATTGCTTACCTTCCCCAGGCTGAGCTACAACGAAGTTGTGCATTATTGTTCTCTGTGTGACTCTCAACCAAATGGAAGACCAAGATAAAGCGCGTACAAGTGTACGCACTATTTCTTATGTTGTTGATTCTGCCCTCATTCTTATGTATTTACGCTGGGGTCCCCCTCCTCGCAGCTCGCCGCTTGCGGCATAGATAAATAGCAACAGCCGTTCTTTCCCCTTACTTCTAATTCGCTATGCTTGTCCCTGGAGCTGAACATCCAGAGGTTCGTTTGTTGCTCATCCATGGAGGAGCTTTCAAGGATTACAAGTGTTTGAGGGAGTCTCTAATTTGCGACCAAGTGGCCTTTCGGTCCGATCAGAGTTGGCCACACGAGTAATGATCTCTGAGCTCGAATGGTCAATTGAAGGAAGTGCCGGAGAAGTGGATCGATTCTGATTGTGTATCTTCTTCCCGCAGAAAACTACATCGCATGATGCAACTACAGCGTTGAGTTTCTAGAATCTTACCCCTCTGGTTCATCTGCGACGTACTGTACATCTACTGATGCACCCTGCATGTCAACGACACGGTCCCTCTCAGTCGCAGCTCAGGTGGGACCCGAGCAAAACAACAAACGCCTTGAAGATCTCCGCGACTTGGGTTCCTTTTCCAGGCATTGTACTACGTCGTTCAACGCTTCCGCAGAGAGCCCTTTCGAACATCGTCGCATCGCCGTTTGTCGTGGTAGAAGAAACCCACGATAAGAACTATCTTTCCACTACAGAGTGCGAACCACGAACCCTTTCCCTCCGGGAAAAGTCGTGCCGGTTTGGTGCGGAGAACGGTAGTGATTGTATGACAATGTATTACATGATCAGTCCATCCTGGTGTTCTACATACTGTATATAACCCACAGAATTGATTGAGTATCCGTATATGAACTCTCACTCGCCGTAATATAGCATGGTCTCTTCGATGTACAGAGCTTCGCTGAGGGCATCCTGGTGATGCGTTAGCAAAGCAAGCTAGATATCGAAAAAAAGTCAGCCCAAAAATCCCTGCAGAATTGGGCAGTAACATTTACACGTTCGCTTAAAATAGCTCGTTCCTGTGAGTTCTGAATTTGGCCGAACAGATCGGGGTATTGAATAGTCTGAAATTCGAAGTCGTCGCGCGCGCGCGCGGGGGGAGAGATCAGGAAGTGAATGAAATTGAGAACGTCGATATGGGCTAGCCTACCTCTTTCGAAAATTCCAACTCTCTCATCTGAGAAAGCAAACAAAGCTTTTCCGTTCAGGTCATCCACATGTCTGAGACAAAGTGAAGTGCTCACGTACCCTCTTTAAAACAACCTGAACCTCGTCCCGTGTCGCAGATAATAACTGCCGATACCACTCTACCGAGCTTTGTGTACCTGATGTATTGTTTGAAGGGGGACCGATCCCCATGGCTACGGGGATCGGTGGAGGTGGAGTATAGATGGCATCATCAACGACCATCTGAGTGCTCAGGGATCTGGGTTGGATGGCGTCACTTGCGAGAAGTTCGTCTGTGGAAATAGATAGACATTCGAGCAGAGAACAGATGTCGTCATAGCCCATGTTCATTGCTCCCGAGGGTTTCGGTGCATTCTTGGTGTTAGCTTTGCACCACATTGAAGGGAGACTACAATGGAGTTTGAGTGCTGAGGAAAGGGGTTTGTTAAGAGTTCAAAAAAGGATCTAGGGGCCTCCTTGATGTTCTTATTAACTAGTGTCTGGGCTAGCCTCCATGCGCAGGTAGCGAGGCTGCTTCACCGGATGCAGAGCTCATTCCTCGGTTAGCGCCAGGTATATTCCTCGTGCACCTGAAAGCAATTTCCGAGGTCGGACCAGGAGAAACGTGGTAGATAACGCATTAAAGGCCAGCCCTACAGGTTGGAGCGCCTTCTCGATGGTTGATTCTCCTGGAGCCGAAACTCCGGAAAGTCATTATATAACAACATAGGTAATTCGGACAACTCCGCTACATGGTCGCAACCATAATTTTAAATTTCAAATTTACATGTTGAACAGCCACGACTTTATTATTATGACTGTTTTTATGCATACAACCAGCCATAGTACAACCAAAACTGTTGTCCGTGGATGAGCATTCGGAGACGGATCTGCTGCACATTAGTGGCATCATTTGGTCTGATCACTACCGACGCCACTCCGAGCCCCGTCAACATCCTAATACTTTTATATAAACCCCGACTTTCTTAACCCAGACCCCTATTATTCATCGCTCAGCAGCTCCTGACTCACCACCTTCAAACAATACCTACACTCGCGTCCCCCCTTGGGAATTTCAGGCCTTGAAAGCATCCTGTGCACCTTAAGATTTTTTTTTATCATGTCAAATGTGCACCATGGAGATGCGTCCTTCTTCCGGCCGGACAAGTATCCAGGCGCCCATTACGTCGTAACGTCAAGTAGAGCGATTGACAGGAGAACAGGGAAGATGATTTCCGAGACACATGCGCCGATTCACATTTCTCCTGTCATAGATGCTTCTGGGAATGTCGTGTCCCACACTGTACAATCGAGTGATCCTCACGAGGTATGTACGTTGGAGACGTGTCGTGTTGCCATTTTTTTAAAATTTAATTTTCACCCTCTTTGAACTACTGGCATGAACCACTAGGATCCCGAGCGTCTCGCATTCTTCAGACACGTCGTAAACTCCCCTTCAAGCAGTAGAAGGGTCACCTTTGAAGCACCGAAGAGAACATCCCCTTCTTCGCCCCCGTCACGGCCTTCGCGCTCCAAGACTACATCTTCCTCTCCCTCCAAGTTCCGCAAGTTCACAAGATGGATAGCTCGCGTACGGCGAAGGCGGGAAGAAGAAAAAGCTATTGAACTTAGACGTAAAGAGGACAAGCGCAGGCAAGATCACATCGAGCGGATAGGATGTATGACTGCTATAGCGGCGTACCTGGCGAGGGGCAGAAAAAAGAAATCGAAGAGAACAGATAGGGCGAGGGGTAAAGGCTTCTTCCATATCATCCTTGGATCCAAGTCTTCCCCCCGTCGCCGATTCTTCCGCAGAAAAAGGCAAAGAGAGGACAGAACCTCCGTTCGGGTCATCCTTGACCCCAAGTCTTCTCCCCGTCGCCGGTTCTTCCGCAGAAACAGAATTGAGAGGCAAAGAGAGGACATAACCCCCGTTCGGGTCACCCTTGAAACCAAGTCATCCCCCGGCACCGGTTCTTTGGCAGAAAACAGACCGAGGAGAGGACAAACCGAAGAACGGATAGAAGCCTCGTCCAGGGCATCCTTGGGTTCAAGTCTTTTCCCCGGTACCGGTTTCGCGCACGGCGGACCAAGTCGTGATGGATATGTCTTCATGATTTAGAGGAACAGGTAAGCATCATGTTCATCCCTCAGCATGCGTAAATCCCTGATGATCATGCCGTAATTCAGTGCCATCTTGAATACGTGCAAGTAACGGCAGTACTGGCTGTGGGTTTTCGTGATGACTGTGCAACTTCCGTAGTCCAGTACATTCATGATCAAGTGTCCAAAGGGCGCTACGTGAAAGCTTCCTCTAGCTGCTATATCGGAAGCCACGCGTGGTATCCAATCCCTAATGAATGTAATTAGTCGAGACAGAAAGTACTAAACTATGGATATCAAGCTCAAAAAACCGGGCCTGGGATCATTGATGCCATGTGCCGTGCCACAGCCTCATGTGCTGACACTCAATTTCTCCATCAGGGTATCACTGCCCTATCAAGCACAGGACCAAGCTTAACTTCATACTTGGGGCCTAGCTGCCTAGCTAGCCATTGATCTGCGCAAAAGGGGCCTGAGTCTTCGTGATCGATCCGCTTGTTCAGAGTATCCAAAACCGTTGTGCCAAAGCTGAACACCAAGGAACGATGTGTGTAGTGGCGCCCAACATTTAGCTCTCAAGTTCTGTAGTCAGATGTGACAACAGGATGAACAGAACCGCGCAAGACATCATCAAGAGGGGAGCAAGTATAAGCGCAGGGATACTAGCTCTTCTGCCAGTGACATGTAATTTACCGCTTCAAGGCAGCCTGGGACAGCACCAACGCGCTTCCGAACTACAGAAGTGCATGAGAGAGCTGTCGAGTATCACTGCCTGTCTGTGTCTTCGAGTATAGTACCATGAGGAGTCGTACAGGGCAACATACGCAAATCAATTCAATTCTTGACTCTGAAATGAAGCTTGGTGCCCTAGCTATGTAGTTATTGCTCTGGAGCGTGAAGCACTGCATATGTCAGCGCCTTCAAATTGACGTAGGGAATTGGAAGAGTTCAAAGATCCTGCGTGTGCTTTCGGGTATACCATGCCGAGTCCATCACGCAGGCATGTGTGAGTAGGCGTTTCTGCAACCCACATGCACATGGCACTGCAGTAAATCAATTCGTCTTAGCACTAACTGCGTAACTAGTACACGCGTAACAGCAAAAATCGCCAGAACCATGCTCGACCTTGAAGGGTGGAGCGTGGCGCTGGGGTAGTCCTTTTGTTATGTAATTGCGCTCGCGCTGGGAGCGTAAACTACCACATATGCCGGCGCCTTCGAACCGACCGGCCAGAGAAACTGGAAACGATTTGAAACATTCGGTACATATGCCACGGCCGCGCCCATACTATAAGCGGAGGCGATGACGTTTCTGCAACCTCAAGGCTGATAACGCCGTGTGTGCTTGGCCAATTCATTCTGTTATATACACGGTCACACCGTGACGGTGCGACGTTTCTGCCACACGATTTCCTAGGCAGGATATTGGCCCCTATGGATAAAACGCTTTCCTGCCATCTGGTCTGTGCTGGCAACATAGATATTCGTTCATGCGAACAGTCAATAACACATTCAGCCGAGGCCATCAACGTAGCTATCGCACGCTCTAGTATAAGTACATAGGAGTGAACAAGGATTTCGGCATACACTGTTGAGCAGTTATCCATCGGTTAATGCTGCTCTTCGTTCAAATAGAATGACTTCGGCCGTGGGGCCGTACTTTCATTCGATATAGGTATGAGCCACTAAGTGTCAAACCCAAGACCCCGATGATGATGTACGTCACTATTCTTGCCCAAAGCCTGATGCCTCGCGGTCCAAGGTCTGGGCCAGCGGTCACTCTTGGACCACTACCATGCAGCTCATCCGTCAGTGAAAATCCAGCCACAGCCCCGCAAAACGAAGCAAACCCCATCGTTATGGAGAATAGACAAATAAAATTAAGGACGATTGCAAGACGCTGAATTCTCCAATTTTTTGAAGTTGCTGCTGAAAGACCGAGTGAGGCATCGCTCGCTTGGGTTTCAAGGAGATCAGACCCGGATAGCAAGCCGCTTGCAACACTGGACAAGGCTAGGGATGTTACGATTGCCAGAGCAATGATGAAAAACCACCAAGCTGGAGCCGAAAGGGTTGATTAGTAAACAAGGCTTGTGAGCGAAACACAAACGATGAACAAGCGAAGTATGCATACCTACGAAAAAGGCCCACATATCTGCCGATGGGTTTGTGAGCTGATATCATGAGACTCAGCAGGAAAGGAGACCTACCCCCACGAGTCCCAGAATACAGTATGCTCAGTGACAGCGACGCACCTAGAGCTGCTAAAGCTCCAACTGACGATGCCGTTTCCTTTTGGATATCCAAAAGACGCTGTAACCAGATTTAGGGTCGTGACGCACACTAAGAATCGAGGAGCTCGAACTAACATCAACTACCATGGGGTCTAGAGCAACCAAGCTCTTTGAGCTTGCAAAGGCTCTCCATTCAAGCAGGTTCAGCTTGTTTCGAAGCTTTCGAAGCTAGGAAGAAATTGGTGAGGACCGGGGAAACGCCTCTTTAGAAACAAGCCCTTGCGTACATGCCCACGCAGCGTAGCGTCCTTCTCTAAGTTTGTGATCAAGTCGGCATCATGCACACTAGAGTCCTAGGGCAGACCATTTGGACGAGGAGACAGGACCGTTGGTTCCTTGACGTACCATGTTCTCGCGTTCACTTTCAAGCCTGCTCAACTGAAAGAGTCGAGAGGACTCGGGTAAACTCGGTCACTCGTTTCGGGCCAAATAGTACTTACTACGGTCACTACGGTGGCAATCTCCTTCCTTGTATTGTCTATGCGTAACTGATCGTGATTGAAGGAGAACGATAAAGAGTCCATCCGTTCTGGATCAATCGTCCTCCTCGAGACCGGGGCGTTTTCTGGCTTCTCGGAGGGGTCCGAACCACTTGCTGTTTGTTGCGACATCGGAGGGGAGGGGAGGGATCTGATTTGTGTTGCTCGAATATCATCTCTGTTGCTTTTATATACCGGCCATCAAACACCACATCCCAATTATGGCTCAGAGGCTCGATCCGGGGGCCCCTACCCTTGTTGTTTCTCATGACTCATTCCCATCAAAAGCCATGAGCCTCTGGGACGACATGCACCAAATCGGGCCAATCACTGCCTTCCCACAATCACCATGGTGTGATAAAGGGGCTGGAGCGTTGCGATGTGGGATATAACTTTGAATTGATTCGCCAGGGTTTAATTCAAATGGAGGCTATGTGCCATGCTGACAGATTTGAAATTCGCCAAGCTCGTCAAGCGCCCAACAGAAGCACTAGAGGACACAACACCGAATCATCAACCAGAACACTACCGTGTGTTGACGGTCTATGCGCGGCTGCAGCGTGATGCAACGGGACAGTGGTCATGAAGCCGCGAGGTGACAACGTTGGTTTTCATCGTATTCCAATAGAGACTGGTCACCTGCGTAGGTTGTCGTGATACCGACACCCAACGAAACTGGGGACCTCACAGGAATGCGGTGTGATGGAAAACGCTGGGACTGAAGTTGCCATTGTGCTTGGCTTCGAATGAACAGACCACCGTCCCCATAGTGGATTCGGCTATTTCCGCCAAGGTGAGCGGAGTTGGGGCGGAGGTTGTGGTCTTGTAAGCAGGTTGCGGATTAGGAACCCTCCTTCCAGACTCAGCCCTAACATCAAACACATCATCAGCATAAATAACGCCTGCAAGGACAAGCTGACAGACAGGGCGGGGTTGTGTACGGTGGCTCTTTGAACCGCCCAGTAACAACGGGCGTGCTTTGAGGCAGGCCCATGTGGTATTACTTTTCCATCCAGCGGCAACCTTCAAGCCTGCAAGCTCTAAGGAGTTTAAGAGCCCCCGGACTGACTAGGGGAACGTGCCACAGCTTCCAGTGTGACCACAGCCATCTTGCCTATTCCAAAGGAGGCTAGTAACCCGCCTACTATCTTGCGCATTTTTAGTACGTGCTTGATTGTGAGCGAGAGAACGAAATTCCGCAGAGCCCAGGTCCCCGACGTCGGCAAAGATGTGGAGCAAATCGAGGACAGTGCGTCAATATACTCTGTATATTTGCTGCGACATTCTGGAAGGGTAGAGAATTGTGTCGGGGATTAGGCTCAAAGTTTGACAATTATCGCATGCAGAGGTGGAGAATCTAGCACGGCTTGACGAGGGGCTTGCCTATTTCTACCGAACGACAATGCAAGAGTATTCGGTTCTGGGGATCATGAATGCCAAGGACCGATTTTTTGAGAACGACTTCTCCCATATGTCACACAAGGCAATTGGTAGGCTGAGCAGCACTGGGCCCCGGGTCTTCTTTTCTTTTCTTTTCTTTTTTGGTGGAACCCTTCGTAGCTTTCGCGGGCAGATCCTGCCTGGGGGTTTGTAGGGGAAGGCTGGTCCTTCCGGGGACCCGGGTTTTCTGCAACCCAAATTGGCGTGGAGCGTGTGCTCATGCATGCCTATAATTTATATGCAGGTGACCAGCCTCTATTGAATTAGAGCCTATTTACCAGCATGTTTAATAACAGGACGAGAGATCTCGCGAGCTAGCCCGATGAGTCGTTGGCAGGGAATCATAGAACCGGGGCGGACAGCATTTCGAGGCCTGAAGGGCGAGTTCGAACGGACAGAGGCTCGACAACCCTTTACCCCATCCGCAACACACAAAATTGGGGACTAACTGATCAACATAGGCTGCAGCAACGATGCTCACGCGAAGCCATTGACACTTATGGTCGAGTGCCAGCAAACGTGCTCCGCATTCGAGCAGGTGCCAGGATGACGATTTGCACCTGCGTCGTCGTCACACCACGGACAATGGATCAGCAAATCCGTTATTTCCGGAGCAAGTAATGTCACCATGTGACCCGGCGAGACAAACCCTTTCGAGCACGTCGGTGAACTCGTGACGCCAACGAACGCAGAGGTAGGGTCAATATCTCCGTCAGATCGAGTGTCCCGCACAGATATTCTTATGGTGCCTCCCATCTTGCATCAAGATGTGGGGGACTGCTTTCCGATTTTGATGTGATGAAGCGCCAACTTGTGCACAGGCCACAAATTAATGATCAGATCTGCCAGTCACGTGTGGGACCATGCGACGTCGAAGCAGGTCATCCTCTCAGGGAATATATAATCCTATGGTAAACCCCTATCTGCGTTCTCCGGACTATCCTCAGGTCTGTCTTTTTGATCGTGTGCATCCTGAGAGATATCAGCACTGGCAAACAGACTGATACAGCTGGGCTCTTGAATGTTGATTTATTGTCGATCTAGGATTTATTACTTTGAGCTTAACACGCGTCACATAGCCGGTTGCCGCCTAGCTTCAACATTTTCCTCAGCCAAGCCTTTCGCAGTTGGATTGCGCAGAGAAGACTCTGCACGGTTATGGGAGCGGCGAGCGCCTCTTACACCAGGTAACTGACATACGCTCCCATGATACGCTGCGTGGACTCATGCAAGAGATAGATGCAGTTAGTACCCTCGTGGGGAGAGGTGTTCAAGTCTTGGTCCAAAGTCCGTTCCATTGAGGCTTCTCCACTCGTCAGCTGATAAGGCGCATGACCACAGGTTGTAATCGGCGCATCTTCTCGGACAAAGATTATGCATCTGTAAGTCTCCGTCATGGCACTTGCCTGATTTGGCCTGATTTTGACTGTTTCCAAGGCCGGTGCTAGAATTGTCTCAACCCTTGATCCGGCACACTTGATACTTGGTATCAAAGAAATTCCTTTGACGGAGCTCGAGCATCTTTCCTCTCTGCACTACCCTCGGCCACGTACACACTTAATGTTCTCTCACACGCACAAGGGCCAGCCTTATAACATGCCGCTTCTTGCCCATTTTCTTCAATCTAAAGATAGTCCCCGACTCATTGACTACGAAAACATAATCGGGGACGACGGAAAGAGGACAGTAGCTTTCGGTTTCTTTGCTGGGGCCGCCGGAATTATTGAAGGATTGGGAGCTGCTGCACTCGATTTGCTCCATATTGGATTTGCATCTCCTTTCTTGGTCAGTGCCCCGGACCAAACCATTCTAAACCAATTAAGAGAATATTTCTTCAGAATATTCCTCGGGCATATGTGCACAAGGACCTCGCATCGGCCAAGGCATCGCTGCGCGCCGTCGGGGAACAGGTTTCCGCTCATGGGACCCCAGAAGCTGCTGGACCTTTGGTTATTGCTGTTACTGGGTATGCCCTGCCATTTTGACGCTGGGGCGCAAGGGTGTGACGAATCCATTATGCGCCATCTAGGAATGGAAATGTGATCCAAGGTGCGATGGATATGTTGAAGGAACTCCCCGTTGAATTTGTGCAGCCGCGTCAGCTGCCTGTTCTTGTCGCTGATCCTGGTATGTGTTGCTGATATCTGATTGGTGACTGCACTGCGATATACAATTACTATTTAGCCACGGACTTGAAGAAGGTAGGGTATTTCTTGCCAGTGCGCCACTTCCGTAGCTAAGGATTTGTGTTTAGGTCTATGTTGTACATGCTCAACCCTCGTCCTACCTTTTCCGCAAGGATGGGGGAGCGTACGACCGTCAAGACTACTACGATCGTCCCTCCGAATACTACAGTCGCTTCTATGAAACCGTGAGCTTCTTGATCTTCGCAAGGGTTTTGTTGACACGCCATTCTTTTCTAGATTGCTCCATATGTATCCCTCCTCGTCAACGGGGCCGGTTGGCAACCTGGTTTCCCGCCCCTCATGTCGAACCAGCAGCTTGGCCTTGCTCTTCGCAACGCGAAGCTGGTTGGGAGGGCGAGATTCAGAAGCATCTCTGACATATCATGCGATGTTAATGTGCGTAACCGCTTTCCTCCCAACTGCGTCGAATCTCTGATGGCGCCGGGGTGTTCAAGGGAGGCATCGAGTTCCTGACACGAGTAACGACTGTCGACGATCCATTCTACTACGTTTCTCCCATTTCCTCATCCTCAGTGGAGACCTCAGCGAAACCCTTGAGGCAATCGATCCAGATGGTGGCGGTGGATATTCTACCTACTACTTTGCCTCTCGATGCGTCTCGGCACTTCAGTTCCAGGCTTGAACCGTATTTGTGGACGCTCATCAAACAAATGAAAGGCGAGGCGTTGAGGGGTGATGATATCGCATACTCAGAGGCTCTCAGCAAGGCCACCATTGTTCAAGGTGGACGGCTTGCAAAACAACACGAATGGCTATATAATAGAGCGAGGGAACAGCGACGGGCTACTACACCGACTGAGCAAGCCCATCTCCTCTCCTCCGATATGTCATTAGGTACAACTCCGAAATCGTCGAGTTTTCTGCGTCCAAAGAAGAGGATCCTCCTCTTCGGTAGTGGAATGGTCGCTAAGCCGTTCCTTCAGACGATATGGGATCATATCGAACACAAGGACTCTGCATTGAAAGTTGTAGTCGCTTCCAACAACATTATTGAAGCCGAAGCTCTTGTGAATGGACATGAAGCAACTACAACAGTCGTCGAAATTGACGTTAACAACGAGGTAAATGCAGGGCGCCTTGTTGAGAGTGCAGACATCGTTGCTAGGTGCGTATTACTCTGTCTCTGCTTTCTCGAGTTTAACAACATAATTTACTATAGTCTCTTGCCTGCCTCACTTCACGTCCGCATCGCGGAGTATTGTCTTAAGTATCGCAAGCATCTTGTCACTGCATCGTACATCTCCCCGGCAATGAAGGATCTTAATGAACGGTAAATTACTTAGGTCCTGGCCTCCATACGCATTTCTGACCTGGGCGTGCGACAGGGCGATTGGGTTTGATCTATTGTTCTTGAACGAAATTGGTCTCGATCCAGGATTAGACCACTTATCTGCAATGGAGCTTCGAAATAAGTTAGAAGCTGAGGGGAGGAAAGTCATTTCCTTCATCTCCTGGTGTGGGGGGCTTCCGGCTCCAGAAGATAGTAATGTGTGCTGGTATCCCTACGTCTGTCGGAATAGTTCTGAAAATCTCCTTTAGGTGCCTCTTGGCATGAAGTTTTCATGGAGCCCCCGTGCTCTCCTGAGTGCTGTTCTCAATGATGCTCATTTCAAGATGTCAAATAAGGTGCACTTTGTCCCAGGGAAGGAATTGCTATCCAGATACTTCCCAGATGTGAATATTGCAAGGGGCTTCGCCTTGGAAGGCTTGGCGAATCGTGACAGTCTTTCTTATGCGGAAGCTTATGATCTTGGGTCTCTGGATGATTTGGAGACCGTCTTCCGAGGAACCTTACGGTGAGTGCCCGACAGGGGCTCATAGACTGATGCTTTTGCTTAAGTCGAGACATCAGATATAAAGGGTTTTCTCGTATGCTACAATCTTTCAAGAACATTGGGTTGCTGAGCGTTAGCGGGGAAAGCGAAATCCAGATCGAGAACTGGTCGGATCTTGTACCTGCTGCACTTGGGAAAACCCTCGGAATGCCTAATCCCTCCGTATTCTCATCGCTTGAATCACTTCGTTCAGGGTTAGAGGACGCCATATCTGATGCTCAGTCTGTCGAATCAACATTGGCTGCCATGTCCGAGTGAGCTTCCTTGCAGCCAAAGACGCTTCAACCTGCCTACTCACATCATAGCCATTAGACTATCGTTGTTGCGCAATTCTGCTCCTCCGCGTGAACTTCCGGTCATTCCTAGGGGATCATACTCGCCCATGGAACTCTTTGCAACTCTCTTATCTCACAAACTTCGATACCATCCTGGGGAACGAGACATGGTGATTCTTAACCACGAGCTCGTCACAATCCCTTCGACTGCACGTTTTGATCCGACTCTAGCACATGGCACCTCCCACTCTGGCCCGCACCAAGTACACACGAGTACCCTTGTTGCATATGGAGACACCTCTCCCGACGGATCATCCGCTATGGCACGTACCGTCGGATTGCCGCTTGCTTTTGCTGCTCTTAGGATCTTGAATGGAGATATTCGAGTTCGAGGTGTGAGGGCTCCTGTCGATGAGGAAATTTATAAGGTTTTACTTGAGGATTTACGGGGTGAAGGGATGATCATGAAAGAAGGGCGGGTGGAAGGGGCTGGAATGGGTCAGGAGTTGGTTGATGGTTTAGAGTGGATGAAGGCAAGTCAAGTTGCCACGTAAACTCATGCTGTTTTAAGCTTGCATTACAATTGTAACTTTTCACTCTCAGAATTATCTGGCTATCCCGTGTAACTTTTCTAACTGAACAATGTCCTAGCTCAATATTGACTGACACTGAATGCGATTCATCGAAGCAAAACACGGATAATTCGCCTCCAACAACGGATACAGGCTCACCCTCTGTACAGGATACTGATGTAATGATACACAACGTCAAATGATTTTCTACTATTTCGGGACGAAGTGCAATCCTACCTCGGTTTTCCCTTCGGTACACGTATATATGTACATATCCTCGACGGAACACCGTACCAATAACGAAGCACTCATTTCAAAAACTGATCAAACCGAAGACAATGCCCGCCTAAATAAACATCCCACATAACAACAAGCCTCGAGAATACTGACATTGCTACTACGGTCGAACCTGATCGTTGTGAATTCGGGCCATTGATTCTCTCCGTCAATTATTCGCATCGAGCTATCCATGGTAGTTCAAATGCAACGCGAAGTGCATGAAAAGAAGAGGACGAGAATAATATATATGAGAATTATGATACAAAGCACACAGCAACAATTAGGTGTGCTGGAACAAGTGCATATCTTGAAATCAGGTCAATCAGTCAAGATCCTCCAGCATTTTCACCTTCACAGAAAAATGCTCATTTGACCGTCCCCAAGTGAGAACTTTGTGTTTAAATACTGAAGTAAAACAGCTAAATGCAGTAAAAGCACCTCCCAAGACCTGATAGATGTGGTCAAATGCACATCAATACAGGGATCAGAGAAAGTTCCGTACCACGTAGGTAGCAATCATGCAGACTCTTGGTGAAGAAGTGAACGTTGGTGGGGCGTCAGGGTTACGGCCCAAAACCTGAACGGAGGTCAGTAGGAAGGCCATAGCTATAGCCATAGACAGTCTAGCTAAAACAACAACGATAGTCACGATAGTGTACCAGAAGGTTGGATTTGGAAACGGGTAGTTCCCCTGGCGACTACACCAAACAAGCACAACTTGAAGGGTGGTGGCGACCATGAGACAACCCAAGAAAAGTACAAAGGAGATACACATGTAAGATATATTTCCTCGAAGGGCACTAAACGGTTGGTAGTGGTGAGAACTATGATATGTATTACCAAATGACCCATCCTAACTCTCACCTGACAATGGAGGTATAGCTTATACCGGCACCCAAGATAGACAATGCGGACAATATTCTAATATTCTCACTATAGTCATCGAGAGCGTCCTTTCCGTCATTGTTAAGCAATGCTTAAAAAAAAAGCAAATTCGAAACTGTTGTTACCTTTGCCCAATCAGAAATTCCTAAAAAAATGTGCCCCAGTATCAGTCAAGCAAGTGGGATACCCATTAGGTGACTAACTCCTGACCTCACCTTTGTATCCAGTCGTCTTTCCATTAGTTTGCGATCGAACAATATCTCGAATTTCTAAAATTTCGCCCTGCAGAACTTTGATCTGGGAATTGACAGTGATGGTCAAGGTTCAACAGCAATCCGGACTAACGCTTTGCACAAGACTCGCCTGCTTTTTCAGGCTCCTGCAATCGGCAGTGATACGCTTCCAGGTACTTGTAGCTTCCCGCCTCCAGCCATCAATCCTTTTCCCCCTCCCCTTGAGATAAGGATTATCGTTGAGGGGATCATGCAGATTTCGCCAGTACAAACAGGTTTGGTGTTCACGGGGAGTCCCAACTTCCGTAGCTGCTCTAAAGCTTTTCTTTCCTCCTCGTTCCAGACTTTATGCTAGTTGATATGACGGCAATTCACTAACAACAGTCAACTGGGGGCATGCGGACAAACTCACTATGGCTTCCAAAGTCATTAGACGCATTTCCCGCTCCTTGATCATTTCAGCTCCCTTCTTAATTAGTGTCTTGAATGACTTGATTGGTTCCGCATGGGTCAATGAAATTAGAGCGCCTTTAACAAGAGTGGCGACTGCCACCTTACGTGTAAATGTTGAATCTGCGGTGAATGGCTTGGCAGACGAAATTCGGTGCCCATTTCCCTGCGGGTTGTCAGCCATGCATGTGGAACGAAAACTATCCACAGACTAGCTTTGAGCGACCATTCATATGGGGGGAAAAGGGACCTCCTGTCCCCAAAATTGCGAAAAATTCTCTGTTCCATGATGGAGCATGCTCTAAATAATATGGGGCGGGAAGAACGGGATATAACTTACATGATACATTCGGGGAACGGTCCAGCGAAGCAGAGCGAATATGGTGAAGGGGATGATAATAACCATGATGAAAAGAATCAACCATCGCAGTGCCTCCACTACCGTAATTGAGAAAGCTCGGTTGTCCTTCTTATGCTCTTCTTCGTAAAAACTTTCCGCATGGTCCAAGGCGTCCATCGTGCGGATGACGTAAAAGCCTTACTGTTGCTAACCCAGAAGTGGGACACATAAGCAAATTTTTATTATATTTCCGGCTACAGACCTCAGAATCGAGTCGTTATTTTTTTGAGCGAGAGCTCTGTATCACCTGTATCTACTGGAAAAATACTGGAGATATTCTTTGAGTTGTGGTGGCTGAAGAAAAGTTTTGTGTTGCGAGCTCAAAAACGTGCCGGGAATTTCCGTCACCACATCGTTGGACAGTGCTATCAGAAGCCCCGCGCCAGCACCTCCGCTGCCTCTAGCTCCTCATTTGATATCTGGCTGTTGCCTTTCCAATGCACAACTGGTGGAGGAGGTCCCGGGAAATCGCGGGTGTATTTCCATACATATACTCGACTCCCTCTTCATCCGCGACAGGGTTCGGATTTCCATAGACTCTGAATCTTCTTGCTCTGCAAATCAGCTAGGGCACATGATATTCGCTCTTCAATGTCAGAGGAAGGTCCCATAGTGTCAGAGAAAGAAATGGACGGAAATTTTGGGGGGATCTGGCAAGGTTTATAACATCGCATTTTCAGGGTCACTCACTGTTGGTAATTCTGGTCCTGACAGCGCTGACAAGCAATAGAACTTTCCAAAAATGCGAAGAAGATTTCTTGAGAGCTTTTAGAATCGACTCCAATCATTTTACGGAAGGGTGTAAGGTAGACTCGTGAGCTACAGGGGCAGGAGCATAGCAGAATGACGGTTTCGGAGACAATGGCCCGATAGTTATATGTCAAACACCACAACACTCATATAAAACTCCGGGATTTTTTTGGACAGTTACATACATGTGATTCCTCTGCACATAATGGCAAAGAATGGTCGGTGAAGGAGGAGATATGAGGCAGTTATGGGCATTTGTCCCATTTCTAGGTGTGTCCAATCTCGTGATATATTATAGTATTCGTGTCAGTTGTCGCGTGACTCAGCTCTAATTTGGTCCCGCGCTCGCAATATGAGCGCTACTACCATGATATGGCCATTTATCTCGACCCCTGCCCTTGGCGCTCTCACGAGCAGCCTACAGTTTGCAGGTTAAATATCCAGAATAAACAACAACAACAACAACCATGATATGGCCAGCGCCAGCGCCACAGTCGTAGCACTACCGTGTTAAGATCAGTGTTTCAAATATAAGGCTATGGGGCGTAAGTTTCTGCGCCAATTAGTGTTGTTTGAGCAAGACATGACGACGCGCCGGCACGCATATCATGCCCATATCGGCTATGTGCATGTGGTATGATACCCTTTCACCATGTGTTTCGTGTTTCACTGTTGATTGCGTTCCACATGTAGTGCTTTCGCGTATCTCATCCTTTTATCTCTTTTGTCTGATATCTGTTATTATCCTAATTACTTATACCGCCGTGCGGTTACAATATTGATAAGTTGGTTGTTCCCCGTTATCCGAGTGTCCTCGCTGAGAGCTACATAACAACAATTAGCATACAGTCAGATATTTTGTAAGGAATAATAAACCCAATCTCACCTCAGACTCTCTGAGGGAGAGGGAGCCAAAAAAAAAACTCCCTTCTTATACGCGAACTACACCAGTGGCGCATAAAGAAGAACAAAAAGGGGGTGTAAAGTACAAGTCCCCAAACCTCACTTCGCCACCAACAATCATTTGCCTCCGTCGCCGGAAATTAGCCAAGTCGCACGGGATACTGATGCTCATGCATGAACAAAGTTGATCAGGGGAGGCATTCTAGCAGTTGTCTTGAGAGTGGCGTGGCGACGAGCAGCCTGAAGGCATGCGCAAAGCTGAAAGGGACCCAAGCCAACTCCTTGCATCTACAGTTGCAGTCCGGGCAAGTAGTGGCTTTGATGATTTTCCTATCACGATGTACATACCTGATCTCTTCAAGGAGCTTCCCGATCCGATCGAGGATTTCAGTCGAAAATATCGCTGCTAATAATTGCCTCGAGATCAGGGACCTGATAATTGATTAATTAACAGCTGTCATCACTTGATCCCGACGATATCGCGAGCCTACTAGACATCTGTCGATAGCACATGATAAATACCACAAACGCAGCCTCTAGTAGGCCAGTTGTGTCATGGTCACCCGGTTATCCACGGTCAGGCAGTACTATACGTACTACTCCGTCAGCTCGACCGGAATCCCGGCGGAGAAGCTCCCTTGTAACGCAGGTCACTAATTCCGTCAGCCTTGCCCGAATTCGCACCCCTTATTCCTTAATATACGAGTATGCATAGGCATTGACCCACACCGTGCCGGGGCGCACATCCGCCTCCGCCTCCGGTTGTTGTTTCCACACGGACCCTTGAAGAAACTGTATATGCATGGTGCGCATATGGATACGAACATGATTAGTGGGATACATGATGGGAATGCTTCACACACCTCGGACTCGATGCGCCTAGCTTGGTGACACGACGAAAGAAAGGCTGGTCACCTGCCTATGACACAACGGGCAAAGCACCACTGGCGGAATTCTCTGCTTGCAGGTCGCAGCATATATCATCACATCGTGTGTATGTGTCGATAGTTATCCTATCTAATGTAGTTGTATAATGGCTCGTCGTAATTCATCCAATCCCAGGATCAACTCCTAGCCCTCTACTTAAGCAGAGCCATATGACATGAATGTTCATATTCTTCGGGTGGGGATATTCACAGCGCTTGCGTGGATGCGCTTGTAAGTATGTATCCATTCGAAAAACCTCATCGGTTGATCAGGAATAACGCTGCACGCACATATTACGCCCGACTGACGGTAACACGTATATATTCACCCCTGCCAGTACTGCTGCGCCTCCAAATGTTCACCCAGTTCGATCCTGATCCCCTTTCCGGGTACAGCGATTCCACGGGCTAGACTCCCGAAAGAGGAACGCATCAGATGTTCATCCAAGTTGCGCAGCTGGTGTGGCCATGCAGAAGCGCTTGGAGTTATCAATTGTCTCTATAGAGACCCGAGTCCAGACTCCAACGTAATGAAATGGAACATGCCGATGAACAAGCAACGGCGTTTGCCATTGGTGAATCGTAAAAAATGTTTGCTTTTCCTTTCCCACAGAACGCTTGCTCCTTCCCCATCATCTTTTTTTTTTGTCTAATAATTTCCATTTCCGTTTTCCTTTCCCCTTTGTTGCATGCCGTGCATGCACACGCACAATGTGCATGAGAAATAATCTGACTGCACCCCCGCGACTTTCCTCTCCTATTCGGTTACGTACATAAACCGTTGCGGCACAATGTCTGGAAGGACCATATGGTCTCCACTCTCCGCTCTTTAAGGCCGAAGTCTACGTAATTGGCCATATGTATTCAGCTTATCCATCCTATCTCACGTCATCTGTAAATTGCATCATGTAGAAAGAAAAATCCATGTATTTTGCCGACGTTTGTGATAGAACGAGTCGTCCATAGAAGCGATCAACTTTGCCTGAATCCTGAACTCGAAGAGGGGAACCCGAGAAGGCGATGATCTTGATCTTCGGATCACTTGTAGGAATCGTAACGGATCGGAAGATACTGCGAATCGCCATGACCCTTCTCTTTCATATCAACGAGAAAGGGTTGATGCCTTTTCAAGTTGTGTTAGGTAAACTTAACTGAGTCGAAAGAAGACGAAGAAGCTGATGAAGTTGGAGGTTGGAGACAGCATATGCAGGTCATCCTGTTGTGTGAATATATTGTATGTACATGAGCGCAAGGGCCTCCTTTTTTGTCTAGCAGCGCTTTCACGTCCACGTCGTTGACGCTACCCCTCACCAACCCCAGGGTGGGACGAGCGCAATAGTTACAACCGATCAGGGACAGGCACATAGCGAGATTTTAGTGACGATAACGACGAAAGCGGAGGAAAATTGGCGCTCGTTAATTTTTCACAGCACTCGCGGAAATTGTGCAACCCTTGACAACGGAAACAAGACACAGCAAAGCCTTGGCCCCAACCATCTTTCGCATGAAAACCAAGTGGAAGGCAATGATTTGAATTACACATGGCTGCTTCTTTTTGATGAGTCGCACGTGATTAAATAATGGAACTGGAACTCCGAACGAATCACGTTTTCACTTCTTGGGAATAATTTGTAGTGCACCAAGTAGACTAAGTTCAGGGATACATGGTGAGAAGGGGCGAAATGAGTTAAACACGTCATAGCACGCAATCGGAAAGATGCGGGACGCGTGATTTGACGCTGCATATTACGCACTCAAGTGATGCGTTACCTAACCTAAATCAGGTGTGTACAATACAAAAAAAATATTGAAATCGGGATTAATATTGTATATTGCGCCCTGTGGCTGTGTGGTCTCGAGCTACTCATGCGTTCTCTATACTATCCATTCTTTTCAATTCCAATTTCCATCCCCTTTTCCATGGGGTTGGAGAAGAGGTATATATACCCGTTCACCCTCCCCTTCAACCCCGCTTCCACTTTTTTCATCACTTAGCCGTTTAGCACCAGCGCTAAGCCACTATCATCAACTCCATAGCCCTCTCATACCATAAACTCCCCTCATTTGAACGATGAGCGGCATCTATAACACCTTCTGGGGTAAAGACCCTTACAATCACGAATATCGTGCTCCTGGTCCAAACGACCTCAGGAGTCCTTGTCCTTTCTTGAACACGCTTGCCAATCATGTGCGTACTATCCTTATGTAAAAAAACAAACGAAACGAGTTCTTATCTGGTTGGTTACCCCAACTGCATGGCTTGGGCTTTCCTCGTTGGTGTAGGGATATGTGTGAGTAAATACGTTGTCCCGTTCATCATATAACCAAGAGCAAGTGTGCTGACGACCACTCCTTTCCTCTCCATCTTGTTCCAATCTACCCCTACACGCGACCAACAACAACACCATACAATGACAACAGCAACCGGAGTGGCCGCTACGTCACTTTGATCTCCGCAACCTTAGCCATCCGTGAAGTTTACAACTTTACCCTGATCACGTCTTTCATCGTCGCTCTCGCCGGTTGGTTCACGGGTTTGACGCAGGGTTGGAACCCATTTTGGTTCGATTTGAAACAACAAAGGATTCACAAATCATATTTGATTGAACATGATGCTAGTTTGAGTAAGTTGGTTGTTTTTTTTTTTTTCCTTTTTTTTGGTACTTGAACTTGTCGCCACACGCACTCTCCCACACTCCACATATCTAATCACCTTCACACACACACACGCACGCACACACGCACACGTCCCTTCAACGTGCAAAAACAGCCCGTGGGAACTGGCCAGAGAACAACTGGGAGCCAAATCAACAACTCTTCGAGGCGCTTATCTCCAAAGCTTCGTCCCCTGATGGACTCTCCCACGAGGATTTCGCGCATCATCGTATTGATCAAGAGAAGAAGTTGAGCTATACACTCAGTCAGCCTAGACATATTTTGGCCACGGGAGAGGTTGGATTGATCATCCCCGCGTTGGGAAGGGGGAGCGATGAGCCCAAGGAGGTTCGTGTGTTCATTGTTCCCCATTATTTTGCCGCTGACTCCCCCCCCCCCCTCCCCCTCCGGTTTTTTATATATTAATTAAACAGAGGAGGATATCGCTTGATTGGGCACGATCGTTCTTCTTGCACGCGCGTCTTCCAGATGATTGGAAACGTATAGACAAGACCATACCTTGGAGCGTGGTGAATGGTGTTGCGGGCGTTGTGAGGGATGATATGAAAAAGATTAGAGATGGAGAGAAAACCAAGTGAAGCGTCCGTGCGGGCGGGGGGAGACTTGTGGGCGGGTGTTGGGGAATGTAAATGTTCGATTTTTCTTAAATTCTTTTTGGTCATCGGACTCGATCATAGTTTGAAGCTCCATCCCCCCCTCTCCCTCGACTAGAAACCCTGTTATCTTTGATACCTATGTGGAATATTGGAGTGCGTGGCTGTGCAATTAGAGTCGTAATTGAATTTCGCTTGTCAGATACCGTAGTGCTTCAGCCTTATCGCAGCGCTTCTTACCCCAAACTACGGGTAGTTGTGGTGCTCACTTGTTGAAGTGGCATTCTGATGCCCATGTTATTGCGTTATTGTTTCCTTTTATGGGAAGCCTTATTGTTCTAATGTTTTGGCCTTTGTTCCGCTGTGCCACTCAGAAAGTATATAAGTGCAATACTGTAAGGAATGGTAACCCCACCCTTTACTTTCTATCTTTATTCTACAAGTGGACAGCCTTTGGCTCGATTTCCAATCATGTACATCAATTAGCAATCTCATTGACAATTCTGTACATCATTCAGCAGTCTCATTGACATCATTCACCATGCAGTCACTTGGTCCACATGATGGACCAATGCATGACGCATCTGGCATAGGCTCCTCATCCAGATTCCCAACTTCCACTGCACCAACATTCCTTATACTCTGTATAGATGCCTTCCTTTTACTGACACTCTTGTGCAAGGATGTGCCAGCCTTCTTCTTATTGTCCATCTCAGTGCTGGGCATTGCAGTGCTAGCCCCAAACAATTGCTTTTGTTTTGAAGCAGATGTGGAAGGAGTAGAGCCATCTGCATCACCCATCATGCCAGGTAGAGCACCTGTCAGAACTGTGCAAAGTCTCGCTGATGATAGCTGTTGGTGACTGAACATTGGCCGCTAATGATATAGGCATCCTACTCATGACCAAGCTTTAGCGAGGATCAACCTCACTGTGTCAGGGTACTGAGCTGCTCAGACTCTAGGTTGAGGGATCCTGAGCTTCCACTGGAGCTGAGGCCGAGGGGGACAGGCATCAGCAAAAAATTGTTATGCTCCTGAGTGCTCCGGAGTATCGAGAGCACTGGGAGAATCAGGAGGAGATTGGCCGGTCCAGGAACAGCCCATTTCCTCCGGAGTTGGCTAGGTACTCCAGGGCACTCCCAGGAGGGCCTTGTTACAAAAATGGGGCCAGAGGCGCCCATTTTCGTCCATTTGAGGTGCAGGGAAAAGGAAAGGGGAAGGGAGGTGGTTCATTAGGGTCTACAGATGGTTTCACAAATGGTTTAACATGTAGTTTAACAGGTAGTGTGGCAGCGAGTTTTTCGTTGATTATTGATTGGTTAAACTATATTACTATATAAATCACATGATACAGAACCCATAAGAGTCTAAAATGGAAATTCCCATTTCCATAACATTGCCCCCCAGACTCTTATGGGATTCTGTGCATGAGTGACAACAGTCCCCAAATTGAAAGAAAGAAAAGAAAATGGAAAGGTTGTGAGAAGTCTCACAATAGAGAAAAATTCCCTTGGCCAGCACCAAAACCCAATGGGAAAGCTTGGCACAAGGTTTAGATTAAGAAATAAAACATAAAAGTATAAAAATTATAAGAAAATAAAATAAAAGTGGCCTCAGCCCCCCAAATTCCTATGATCCCACAGGGAGGTGGCTCACCATGTTATGGAAATGGGAAATTTCCCAATTTAGACTCTTATGGGCCCTGCACACACCCAAATCACATGATATGTAAATAATTAGAGTTTATCCAATTATTAACCACCAAAATCGCCACTTGTGAATTATTTGTTAAACCACATGTTACACCAACTGTGAGACCATTGTAACCTCTAATGAACCCTCTCCCTTCCTCTCCCTTCTCTCCTGCGCTCAGAACGGACGAAAATGGGCGCCTCCGGCCCCATTTTTGTAACATTGGTGCCCCAACCCCGGTCGCATCCAGGAATCCGGATATGCGACACTCTGCGCAGGAACAGACACCCCAGAACCTCGCGCTGAGACCCCCAGACGATCGCCAGAGGGCGATTTTCCATTTGCGGCAAGCTTTGGAGGAGTTCTCTAGTGGAACGCTTCCGGACGCGCCTGCACCATTGGAATTGCTATGGAATTGGGGAAAATTTACTCTGGAGACAATTGGATTGGAAAAAGCTTACGATCAGGCCACAGGGAAAGCCATCTATCGCCTGAAACGCTCGCGCCGCCAGCAAATAAGCGCCATTGTTCAAGCGGTGCGAAAATTCACGCAAACGGCAGCGATTCTGGGATATATGCCGGGCGACTTTGAGGTGGACCCCCGGGGTGATTACTGCTTACTATTGGGTGGTTCTCAGCTGAGTAGCATGCGTCTGGCTTGGGATCTTTTGATTGGGAGACTACTGGACTTTTATTCACATTTCAATCACATCAAGGAGTTAATCGCTGCATATCCACCTGAAATGCGGCCTCCCAGCGCCGTTCTGACGCGCTCCCAGCCCATCCCAGCCAATTCCCATCCCCAAACGCCCATTCCAGCATCATCCAACCCCCCAATTTCGCATCATCTTCATGCAATCACGCGTCCGCCTGTGCAGACGCGTCTGGCCCATGAACTGCCGCAATTTGGGTCAAAATCGACACCCAAACCGGCGATTTCGTCGCGTTTGGTCGCTCAAACTCCCCCTCCAGCCCCTCAGCGCCCCTCAACGCCGTCCCATCTGTCGATTTCGACGCAAATGCCGATTTCGACGCGTCCACCGCTCCCTCCCCCACACCCGGTCGATCCACCACCCATTCTCTGGCATACCCGGCCGATTTCCAAGCGCCCCACACCGTCTCTGGACACCCCACTCGCTGTGCCGTCCCCGGAAGTGCCGCATCCCCTCGCCATTTCTCTTCCCCTTTCCACCCCACCACTCCCTCTCCCTCTGCCAACTTCCACAATCCCTCTCCCCAATCATTATCTCCCCTTTCCTTCAGTGCGGCCACTTCTCCGCTGCACTCCAACCTCATTGGGTCTGCTCAACTCTGCTATTTGCAGCGCGGACCCAACTCAGCCCCGACTCCAGTCTGGGGCACCACTTCTGCCTCCCCCAAGGCTTTTGGGGCCTATGCGACCACCTGGTGAGCCACCTCCCTGTGGGACCATAGGAGTCTGGGGGGCTGAGGCCTCATTTACTTTATTTCTTATAATTTCTTATAATTTTGATGTTTTATTTCGTAATTTAAACCTCATGCCAAGCTTTCCCACCGGGTTTTGGTGCTGGCTGAGGGAATTTTTCTATATTGTGAGACTTCTCACAACCTTTCTCTTCTCTTCTTTTTGTTTCGCTTTTAGTTTTTGGGTGGGCTATTGCTGTTCTGTGCAGAGACCCATAAGAGTCTGGGGGGCGATGTTATGGAAATGGGAAATTTCCCAATTTAGACTCTTATGGGCCCTGCACACACCCAAATCACATGATATGTAAATAATTAGAGTTTATCCAATTATTAACCACCAAAATCGCCACTTGTGAATTATTTGTTAAACCACATGTTACACCAACTGTGAGACCATTGTAACCTCTAATGAACCCTCTCCCTTCCTCTCCCTTCTCTCCTGCGCTCAGAACGGACGAAAATGGGCGCCTCCGGCCCCATTTTTGTAACACACCAGGTGGTCGCATAGGCCCCAAAAGCCTTGGGGGAGGCAGCAGTGCCCCAGAGTGGACCTGGGGCTGAGGTGGATCCACACCACACATGAACGGGTGTGGTGGACCCGGAGACGGAGTTGGAGTGTGGCAGAGAGGTGGCCACACTGAAAGAAGTGGGGGAGAATGGTGGGAGAGAGGTTGGGGAAGAGGGATTATGGAAGTCGGCAGAGGGAGAGGGAGTGTTAGAGTGGAAAGGGGAGGAGAAATGGTGAGGGGACGCGGCGCTTCCGGGACCGGTACAGCGAGTGGGAGATCCCGAGAGGGTATGGAGCACGCGGAAATGGGCCGGGTGTGCCAGGGAATCGGTGGTGGGATGGCCAGATGCGATGGGAGGGGAAGCGGGAGTGTTGGACTCGGCGTTCGCGTCGAATTTGACGTGTCTGCCGCTTTTGACACGCGCTGGGGGACTGGAGGGGGCACTGGGGCATCCAAATGCGATGAAATTGCGTGTTTGCACGTCGATTTTGACCCAAATTCGGTTGGTTCATGAACCAGATGCGTCTGCGCAAGCGGGCACGCGATTGCATGAGCCTGATGCAAAATTGGGGTGTTGGATGGTGTTGGAATGGGGGTTTGGAGGAGGGAAGTGGCTGGGAGTGGCTGGGAGCGCGTCGGAATAGCGCTGGATGGCTGCATTTCCAGCGAATATGAGGCAATGGCCTCTTTGATGCGTTTGAAATGTAAATAAAAATCAGCCAGTCGCCTAACCAGAAAATTCCAGGCTATATGCGAACTACTCAGCTGAGATCCACCCAGTATTAAGCTACAATCGCCCCGGGGGTCCACCTCAAAATCGCGCGGCATGAATCCCAGTGCTGCTGCTACCTGAGTGAAATTCTGCGCTTCTTGGACAATGAAGCGCATTTGGTGGCAGCGCGGGCATACGAGGCGATATAGGAGTGTTCCAGTGGCCTGGTCATACTTGCATTCCATCCCAATCGTCTCCAGGGTTAACTGTCTCCATTCCAACAGCAAATCCAGTGGTGCGCGCGCATCTGGAAGCGTTCCACTAGAGAACTCCTCCAGGACTTGCTGCAGAAGAAAAATCGCCCTCTGGCGATTGTCTGGGGGCCTCAGTGCGAGGGTCCGGGGTGTCTGGTCCTGCGCAGAGTGTCGCATTTCCGGATTCCTGGATGCGACCGGGGTTGGGGCACCAATGTTACAAAAATGGGGCCGGAGGCGCCCATTTTCGTCCGTTCGAGGCGCAGGGAAAAGGAAAGGGGAAGGGAGGTGGTTCATTAGGGTCTACAGATGGTTTCACAAATGGTTTAACATGTAGTTTAACAGGTAGTGTGGCAGCGAGTTTTTCATTGATTATTGATTGGTTAAACTATATTACTATATAAATCACATGATACAGAACCCATAAGAGTCTAAAATGGAAATTCCCATTTCCATAACAGGCCTGGAGCATTGCTTTGTGCACAAACATATCCAGTAAATACAATTTAAATGCTTCAAAGTGTATAGGGGTGAG